AAAGAGGATCAATAAGATTCACAGATAAAAATCGGAATTGGGGGTGGTAGGTACAACGCGAGACACAGTTTCCAGGGTGATTCTTTCTTTACGCGTGCACTGAATTGAGAGTTGTCCCCACCCTCTATGTAGGTACGTATTATGTACCTACGTATTTAGTACCTATACCCCGCTTGAGCCTGCCCAGTTGGCCAGCCCTATCAAAGCGGAACTAGATTTTTGGCAAGCAGGCAAGCTAAAATAAGAGGTACGTTAGGTGACCTCATGTACCTTACATAACATCTGATTAGGCGTCATCTTGCAAATACTAAATCCGCTTAGCATACGTCCTCCTATTTAGTCTCAAACTACATACTTCTCCCTACAGTCGCTATGGAGAACGGTACGAACACCCAAGGTGAGGGTAAGGACCCGTCTGGGTTTTTATCAGACATCATCGGCAATCCTGTCACCGTCAAACTGAATTCTGGCGTTGTATACAAAGGTGAGTTGAGTATCTCAGATACTATTATTTCTAGTAACAATACTGATATGTCCGCTGCAGGCGAGCTGCAATCTGTTGACGGATATATGAACATTGCGCTGGAAAAGACCGAGGAGTATGTTAACGGCGTAAAGCGAAGGACATACGGAGATGCCTTTGTCAGAGGCAACAATGGTAACTAAATCCGGCCCCGAACTAAAATCTTCACGTCCATATACTAATCATTGGCTCAAGTTATGTATATCTCAGCCGACTGATGATCTAAATATTTGGTTCCTTCTGGTCGGAATCATATCCAGAAAGGCTTCTCATGAGATCACACGGGGTCTGCAACAATGCATTAGGCACTACTTAGCACCGAGAACGCTATGTATTTTGAACATTCAGTCTTAAGATGGGTTACGAAAAAAGGCCTGCGTTTAATCTGATCTTCGTCTGGCTTCGATAGCTATAGAGGGGCTTTCAGCAGCATAATAGCTATGGATATCCATGTAAATTCATGGCCTAGAACGATGCCCTTGTTTCTCCCCGTTGGTGATATATAAATGGCTCCTATAGTCTATCGGTCCAAGTGAAGAATGTGACACCATGAACTGCAATTTCGCCTTTCTCATTTCTCTCAACGTCACCATCTTGGATCGTCTCTTTGAGGAACTTAACCCAGGCTTCTCGTTCATCTGCTTTAAGCACAGCAATCTGGCTTAAGGTGTTTAGCCGTGAGGCAAGCGCTTCCTCGCTAAGCCAAACCGTCCATTTGATAGAATCCTCCCCGAGCGGAAGACTGAATCTAGGTAATTGGTCTGTGAAGGTATCTTTGATAACTTGAAGTGGGTTGCCAGGTAGTTGCTGATCAAATACTTCTTTCCATTTCTTGACACAGAAGATTAGTTATGTTCAGGGGTCATTGCCAGATAGGGGCTACCAACCTGATGTCTAAACCGAGGAAGTCCATCATCTAGTGACCAGATGAAGTCATTTATCCTCTGTTCCCATTTCGTAGTTGCCTGCCAGTTCTTGGGCTTATTGTCTAGTCATTTGTTAGAATTTCCTACTCAACATTCTCATAGATTTTACAATTTCGAAAACGAGCTTACAGTCCTCAATGTTCCATATGGCGCCGAACACGGCACCCGGTCTCAACACACGTTGAATCTCCTTTAGAGCTTCTTGAGTAGCAAACCTTGACGAACAATCCTCATGAGTAAATATTAACGAATCGTAAATCAACTAAATATCTCACCAGTGAAACGACTGCGAGGTTAATATTAGCTTCTAGCCAGAGTGCACACCGGCTAAATATAAAAGATAGACTTACTTGAGCCGCGATGCAAGCCTCACCCCACTCGTCTTCGATCGGCATCTTATCAGCCTTGCCATCGATCACCTCTACACCTGCTAAGTCCTTCTGGGCAAGCTTTTCCCTCATACCATGATGAGGCTCTATCGCTTTCACAGTAAACGACTCGGGTCGCTGAGCTAAGAGCTCTGTGAACTTGCCGGTACCAGAGGCTATCTCCACGATCTTGGAACCGAATTGCTGCTCAATGTTTAGCTTTGCAAGGAACGCATCGACGGCCTCTGGAGGGTAGGAGGGACGGTATGCATCATATGAGGCAGCATCTCTAAACCCTTCTTCCGCAGCTGTTGGAAGATTGCTGCTTTGGGAAGCCATGATTCTAGGCTTGTTGTAGATTTCCCTGGAAATGTATATGAGAGAAAGTTGGAGTTATTCTCAGCTTGCTTGACGAAGGTACATAAGGGTGTCGACCCCCACAATTATATCCTTGGAACTCTGCCGTCCCGATAGCGTCAGTTTCGATAGTACAACAGACGGATAGTCCTATATTACCTATAGTCGATCACCACGACTTGGTGCTACTGTACATTATTATCCGATGAAGCGTTACATTGAAGAATCTGCTAATGTAGCATTATGTGCACGTAATATCTAGGTACATATGATATAGATCCCATTAACCGGGAAACAATATGTAGGTAGTCGTAGTTTGATATAGTTATACCTAAATTATGTACTTAATCATGAGCTGATAGGTTGGTAGATAACATTGAATATGTTGTTGTTGTTGTCAAGTACGAAGGGCGACGACATATTACCTAAGGCAAGCTGTCCTGATTGCCTTGCCTTGCTCTTGCTCTTGCCTTGCCTGCACACCCGGACACCCTACCCGGGCCATCGGGTCGGTATGCGCAACCAGGATCTACTTATGTATTTATGCATACCTACGTAGGTACATATGTAGTACATAGCTAAATTCGGGTAGCGGCAACTGCCAATACATACATATGTAGTATGTTCCAAGGCTCATTTCCACTAAAAAAGGGAAAACTTCCCTGCACAACATTATGTAACAATTCTATTCAATGTTCTGACTCTGATCTCACGGCGACGGGATCTTAGGTAGATTTACCTATTAGAAAGTTTGAACTCAGGGGGTGGCTTATTGCCCTGTTAGGTACCTGGGAAAAGTACCTAACCTAACCTATGCAAGGTACCTAAGCCAGGATGGGCTAACACCCGTGGACGCCTCTCAAAACCTCGACACCTTTTTATTCGACCTTGGCTTTAAACGCCCAGCATCCCTAAATACCTAGATATACATACGTACGCGGCCCCTTGGCTTACAGTTCAGTTCCATGGGATTTCTACACGTTGCAGTTATTCGGTCATCTTAATGCGGTAGCCATACGGTAGCAAAGTAGGTAGTTGTCGAGAATTCTATAATATTCACGCCTTGTCTGCTTCGTCTCTAGAACGGCGGTCGATGGACACAGCTGTCGTTTCTTCAATAATGCCATAGCTTCCAATTACTAGATCCCTTCAGTCCTTCCTTTGCTCCCTTTCCTTTGTGTGTAGACAGTTCTCTGCCTCCCAAGGCAATTATCTTCTTCTAGATGCTCATCAAGTACCGCCGCTTTAGGCGTAACTACTTGCGCCCGCTCCTCTTCGTCCTGTTCTTCCTCTTCTCCATCGACGCTATATCCCTGGTACGCCACCGACCCGATACCTACCGCGAGAACATACACGTTGACCGACAATCCGACTCTTCCCTCCCGAGAAACACCAGCGTTTTCATTGCATCGGTACACCGCAACACCGAACCGATACTACGATCGACATGGAGCCAGGCCGTGTTGGATTTAGTCGACTTCTTCGGTCCAGAAAACGTTCACTTGTCAGCTATCGAATCGGGGTCCCAAGATGAAACGAAACAGGCATTGATGGACTTGAAGGCAGCCCTTGATCAGAGATATGTCTCCAATACAATCAGCTTGGGGATGACCGTTTGGGAGCAGTTGGAAGAAATTGACACTCGACCGCCGCCAGACGCGCGAGAGCCCGGATGGATTTGGAATGCCGCAGAAAGTCAATTCGAACTGCGTAGGATACCTTACCTTGCAAAAGTTCGAAACCAAGCAATGGAACCACTCAAGCAGCTGCAGAGCGAGGGAAGAGAGTTTGACAAGGTTCTCTGGCTGAACGATGTCGTATTTGATGTATGCTCACATGATCTTGTGCGGAAGTATTCCCGTGGTAATTAAATGGCTAACATTGAATGACCTAGACCGAAGATATCGTCACACTGTTCAACACTCGTGACAATAACTACGCCGCTGCGTGTGCCATGGATTACAAGGTAGCACCCTTATACTACGATACATTTGCCCTACGAGACGACCTAGGCCTAAAAACGATGTCCCTTTATTGGCCTTGGTTCCAATCCCCTATTGCGAGGGCGGCGGCTGAGCGCAATGCGCCTATCCGTGTAACCTCATGCTGGAACGGAATTGTAGTGTTCGACGCGGGACCCTTTTACGCCAATCCACCTCTACGATTTCGTGGCATCGATGACAGTTTAGCAGATCTGCATCTTGAGGGTTCGGAATGCTGTTTGATTCATGCCGACAACTACCTCACGGCTAAGAAAGGCGTATGGCTTAACCCGAATGTTCGCGTTGCCTACGGCGTCAATGCATATAACCAGGTTAAGACGAATCGATTCCCTAATCCCTTCTGGACGGTCATAGGAGCGTGGGTTAATCGGTTAAATGGCTGGCACGTCGCCATCCAAACCCGGTTGGAAAACCGAGTAGTGCAGACCAGATTAGAACAATGGAGGTCAGAAACCCCAAATGGGGGACCGCAGCGGTATGAACCAGGAGATGCGTGCCTCATCAACGAAATGCAGATAATGTGGTCAAACGGATGGATGCACTTGTAAAAGTATAGATTAAAAAAACGGCATAGACAAAAAGGAGTTAATAGAAAAAATGTATTTGAATATTAGGTATTGGATTGAATACCTAAGGTATATTATATTCTTCTAACAAATTATCACAACTCCATTTGGATTTATAATTTAGCACGTTATATAGGTAAAGCTTCATTGTTGAAGTTCCTATACCGTCTTCCACGTAGTATGCCAAGATAGATCTGCGAACCCACATCCTCCGATATAACTGTCGATCGCCTTTTGGTTGTTCAGCTCGTTCGGCCATAGTACCAATGGGTGACAATTAGTTTAAGCGAATAAGGCGGCTTATAGCAGCAAGGGGGGTTGGGGCTGAATCTTGTCGAGGATTATACATGGTTGCTATAGTCGATCCCCCGTCAAGCCGAAGGATATCCGTCTTCTTCCGTGCTGCTCGCGTCATCAATGGGAACCTGGCTGTTTGCCCATGCTAAATGCGCACAGCCGTATGTGTTAATATAACATCCAAGAATTCAACACAAACGCCTCTGGTGATATCGTATAGTAGTGGAGCCCATTTCCAGATCTCTCCCATGCGCTCCTATGATTCCGTTTTTAAACAACCCGCTATTTGTTATGCCAAATGAAATTCCTTAGGCTATCCCAATGGTCTGACTGTTGGTAGATATACGTCATGCTGCCACGAAGCGATGGTTGCAGGTCGTCGGGGTGATAACGGAATAGATGCATTACACTAGCCCACGAGAGCGACGCAAAGACGGGCCAAGCATAGCGCGTTATAGACTCGGAGACGCCCTGCCGCGACACCAGCGGTAGCCCCGTACCGCCCTCTGGCTTGACGGCGAGCCGCGCAAGCGCTAGCACGACGCGCGCGAACACGTAAATCACAATCTGCTGGTTGACGCTGGGAACCTTGCCGGTGCGCCGTGATCGCCCGCCGAATACCACGTACCCGCCTAGTAGCCCGGCCATGAACGAATCGTACCGCCCTGCCTTCCCGGGTGTCGGCCCGTACTGCTTCAGCAGGAAGCACACCAGCTTATAGATAACGGCAAAGCGCGCGAGGTTCTGCGCATGCGTGCGCGTGGCGCGGACCACCAGCGAAACCTTCTCCCGAATGGTGCCGGACCGGAACAGAAACACCATCACCAGCGCGTGCGGGAAGCGCACCTTGGCCCCGTACACGGCGCCGTTGCGAGCCCCCTTTACGACGGCGAGGATGTCGTGGTACGCCGGGTTGAGAATTACTTGCTCGACTGCGGCCTTGAGGCCTTCGAGCGCCGACGCCGATGGCGGTTCCATCTTGGCACTGGGGTTAGGAGAAGAGGGAGGGAGAGAGGGAGAGAGGGAGGGAAGCTCGGTCGGTTTCGCGTCGCTGCGATACAAAGAGGAGAAGCGACGGCGACTTTCGAGAGGTTAGGACGTACTCGGAGACGTTATCGGGTCATTGGTTTGTATACGGTGTTTGAATTATCGGGGCATGGCAGATAGTTGCGATGTTTGTTAAAAGTAAAAGGAACGCATTTTCGGGATGATTGGAGATGACGATGGCTGAATCGGTTTGGCCTCGGCAAGTGGCACATGCTCGGCTTAAACAAAGGGTGCCGGGACCTGCAAAGACGGGATTGCGCTAGTGGTGCATATCGATACGCACTGAGGTTACGTGAACGCTACCTATGACGCAGCATAGCCAATCCTTGCTCGCGAATTGAGGCATGCTATTGATCTAACGCAGTTGTTTTGCATGTGAAAGTTATAAGCTTCTATCTACCTATGCAGCAAGTCGACGACTAAATACTAGGTAAAGAAAGGCTTATGTTAAACGTAATCAATTGTTGTAAAGTATAATTGTTTAGGTATCTCCAAGGGTAAGCTATAATGGCCACCTTTAAATCATGAAAAATATGATTGGCTCAAACGATCAGGGACCCTTTGAGCAAAAAGCAAGGAAACAGTTTCGTTGTTCCGTGAGGGACTCCAAGTCAGCATACTGAAAGTTCTAAATGTCTCATCTAGAATTCTAGATAGGTAATACCTTCCTCACAGACTATATCCCAGTCCTCGGCGGAGTCTTAATTAACCAGGTGAGTGATCCGTGGCTTTCTCTCATCTTGAGATGTTAAATTGCTAACCGGGGTTTACCTATGAGATGGAAAGGAGGCACATGATATATTAGAAATCTCATTGGTTAGGTCGTTTATATTGTCATTTCACAAGATTTTAAGCTTTTCTATAACTAAGTCTTTATTTATTGTTAGTTAACTATAGATAAATAGAAGTAGGTTAGGTAGGTACATATGCTTTTCTCATCGCGGCGAGATAAGACCTGAAATACTCGATAAGCTAATAGTAACTAGAACGTATTATACTCATAAATAAATCCACAAGTAATTCTATATTTAAATCAAGTTTCTTATAGTAAAATGTTTTGATAAGTAAATAAGTTTACGCCCAGTGGGAATGTAGAGACTATCTGAGATGATTGTACACTTAATAACCCGACCCGCATCTATGGCGTGCGGGACGACTGGAGTACTAGAGTGGGATCGTTGATTATTTCGCCTGTCAAAAAACACCCCGAATATGTTGATCTATACTAGTAGTAAGTCAAACCACCCTTACTGGGGCCACCCTAGTGGGGGCCACCCATTTCCCATACAAAATCAATGTAGGAAGGACCAGGTATAAGGTAATAATGTAAAAATTAAGGTGTACACCAATAAGCGTACGGCAAAGGAAAGGAAACACACGGTACTGAAATGAGGCTATCACGATCTGTTGTTGTCTGTTGTTTAGTTGTGTGTGTGTGGGTTAGCCCCACGCACGTGGTAACACGTGACTAGATTACATAATCGGCTATTCCCCATACTCCAACAATCAACGATTTCGCATATCTGTATTTAATTCAAGAAAATAGGTAAAATTATATAGTCTTTGATTTTAAGTACGGTATTGGATTTTCACCAGGTATAAAATTTTGGAAAAATGGCAGGGCTAATATCTGTAGTGAAATGAATATAAGAGTATACATTAACAATTACGCATACAAATTTATATGCAAAGCTGTTAAGGAATATTATTGCTTATAACTTTACCAATTAATATGGTATAAATGTAGAATCTATATTGTTAAATAAGGGACATTTTAATATAACTTTTAAATCTAAGGCAAATTATATAACTTATTTATTTAAGAAATTATAAGCGTTTATAAGGTTTTATAATAATTTAATAAAATTCCCATATAAAATTAAAATTTTTAAAATTTTTAAAATAATATTAAAAATATACTTTACTATTTTACTATTAAAATATTAGATTTTAAATATGATAAAATGTATATAAGATATTATAATGATCAAAAAGTAAAACATAAGAGATTGTATATTTTTATCTATTCTTTTGAATTAATTATAGACATGCGAAGTTGTTGATTTTGTATGGGAAATGGGTAGCCCCCACTAGGGTGGCCCCAGTAAGGGTGGTTTGACTTAATACTAATTCACGATTACACGTTTATGTCAAATCTGTATCTCATCGCTTAATCTCTTTCCAACGCACAATTTCCTTGTGTTTTTGACTTTACTTTTTCCCTTTCCCTTTCCCTTTCCGTTTCTTTTTTCTTTTTTTTTTCTTTCCCTACTTCAGTATGCCCTACACAAATTCTTCGGTCTGCCTTTCGCAGTCTTGCATTCAAGCATCGGCGGCTATATACTCCCATCTCGATTCCAACTTCCAGAATATTGATCCTTGTACAAATTTTTCAAAGCGTATGTACTAATTGGCCCCCTAATAACCAGCATATATGAGAATTATTACTAACAATAGCGGGCAGTTGTTTGTGGCGGGCTCCAGGAGCGTAATGTGATTCCAGCATGGGAACAGGTCTTGGGGGAGATAACTACCCTGCAGGAGACGAACCAAATTTTTATGAAGAATGTCTTGGAGGCGCCCTCTGATCCCTCCTGGGTATGTGTGCTCTTAGCGATATCATTATGCTTTACATAACTAATTGATCGTCTAGATTTCGCGTGGATCCATCGACGAGAAGAATTTCGAGAAGCTCGTCGCCGGCTACAATGCCTGCATGAACGAAACTGCAATTGCCGAAAGAGGTGTCCAACCACTGGTAACTTTCCTTGGGAATATTACTGAGAATTTCCCGGTCATGCCGGATGAGCACAAAAATGCCGGTCGTTTCGATACTGCCGATTACGAGAAATTCAGCAACACCTACCTCTACTTCGTCCAGCACTCTATATTCCCCTTCTTGACTATAGACGTCGATTATGATCCTGAAGATGTAGTATGTATTCTCTCTTTGTTGCTTTGAGAAAGTGTGCTAACCTAACAGGAAACTCATATCCCGATTATAGCGCCCACAGGTGCCCTTCTTCCAAGCGAGATTCATGAGAATCAGGAAACTAGCTCTTTATATCAGAAGGTGATCACGGAAGTATTTAAGAACGTACTACCTACCAACGAGTTAAGGGCTAAAGCAAGCGAACTGGCTCGAGGTATAGTCCAGCTCGAGCGGCAGCTTGCTTCCAACATGCCTACCTCAAATGATGCAGTAAGTGTACCTAGAATTCATATAGAATATTGAGAAAATAGTAGTAGTTTCATGGTGCTAACTAATATTAGGGTCCAATTCTAGCCACGACTTTGGATAATACTACGCAGCTGGTCCCTGAGTTTGACTTCGCCTCGGTATTCAAGGAGATAAGCCCTTCTCCCATAGACAGAATATCTTACAGCTTTCCCGAATACTCTACCTGGCTATCCCAAACTCTAGCGAATACCACCAAACCTGTCATCCAGGCTTATTTCATGTGGAAGGCGATCGTTAAGTACGAGCCAGCTATCGATGGACCTGAACTAGAACCTCTAAGACAATTCCCGAACATCATCTCTGGAGCGGTATGGAATATCTCGGCTTATGGCCATGTATTTATATATCAGATTTCTAATTTTATGTATAGAAACCTTACATCCCTGAAAGATGGCGAACCTGCGTTACTGATGCCGACTCGAAGATGGCGTGGCTGATTAGCAAGCCGTACGTGGAAGCCAAGTATACGGAGGCGATCAAGAAGACTCTCGAGGAGATGACGACAAGAATTCAGAACCGTCTCGCTAGCAATATCGACCATATCGAATGGATGACGGATGAAGTAAAGGCTATAGCGAAGCATAAGGTCCAGGTCATTACCCCGAAACTCGGCTATCCAACTCAGGTAAGTTTAAGAACTAGATTACTACTCAACCTATGAATATCTTAGGTACCTAATGCTAACGACCTCCACAGTCGCCCAACCTCGACGATGCGCAATCGCTGAATGATTATTACGCTGCTTTCGATGTCTCAGACTCTTATTTTGACAACACCGTCTCGTATTCGAAGTGGTTATCGAAGACAACTGCCTCGCTCTTCGGGAAGAAGAGAGAAAAGGGCGCGTGGCCAGCCGTAGCCGGTTCTGCTCTAACGATCAACGCTTTCTACTTACCACAAGAGAACTCCATCATCATCACCGCGGGAACGCTACAGCAGCAGCTCCTAGACCCGGAGCTTCCGGCGTACATGAACTACGGGGCTCTCGGCCTGGTTATCGGACACGAGTTTACGCACTCGCTTGATAGCAACGGGCGGATGTATGACGAACGGGGCGCATTCCGCGACTGGTGGGACGAGAAGAGCGAAGCAGCATTCGACAAGCGTGCGGAGTGCCTTGTGAAGCAATACGGATCCAGCAACGTGACGCTGAGCGACGGCACGCAGATCCCTGTCAACGGTACGCAGACGCTGGGGGAAAACATCGCCGACACCGGGGGCATCAACACGGCGTACGACGCGTGGCTTGACAAGCGGCGCGAGGACCCGGCATCCGATTTCGACTTGCCCGGACTGTCGGAGAATTTCACGCGCGAGCAGCTCTTCTACGTGTCCGCCGCCCAGTTCTTCTGTGACAAGTCGGAGGATGCCGGCAAGAAATTGTACCTCTCTGATGTGCACTCACCCCCTGATGTTCGGATCCAGAACATGATGGATAACGCAGATGGATTTAGGGAGGCTTTCAACTGCCCTGTCAAGGAGCCTACGTGCGTGATTTACTAGATAGGGAGTTGTGTTTGATATAGTTCACTCCGTTACTTAATTATAGACTTGATTTGATGCGTTACATTCGTGTATGGTCGCTGTGATAAACAAGCATGTATATATTTCATTTTGAATAGCCATAGCCCTGTTATGCCCATAACTCTTTAGTACGGTTTAGTCCCCTTCCCCTTTTTATTTTGTAGCTATATTAAATAGTTACCTTATCAATAGACACTTAATTCAACCCCCTATTAGCTAGTCTGAAAGTGTGGAAATTTCACATCCCTGTTTTATTTATTATACATCATTCGGCATTCCTTGCTGGGGCGGATGGAGCTACGGATAGCTGTCGCCGTGCCCATATAGATGAGCCCCTGCGACGATCGGGATTGGGCTCGGTCTGAAATCCTGCATAGCTGGACTCGTGAAGACCACGTATAATACCTATGGCTAGATCTGGGTTGGAAAGGTCGACGAGTGACCACTTAGCACCTCTCCAAAGCTTTAAGGCAACCCATACCAATACGAAGATGACAACCTAGTAATTTCATGTTAGATATTGTTACTCTTATAGGTATCCGTGGAAGCGTACGAGAAGATATGACGACAAGAAGGGCTCCGTGTAGAACCCGTTCCATAGAGCAGCCCCATCAAGCACCAGAAGGATGAGTAAACATCCAAATAAACCTAGATATGCCGTAACTGGTTGCCCGTTACTTATATAGGGGTAGTCGTTATCGTCCCTATCGCTGAAGCGCTGAACACGCGACACCTTTCGTTCAACAAGTTCGTTATGGTGTCTACTAATACTAATAAATATATGTCAGACTCTGCCAGGGCTTCTATCATATCGGTTGTAATTTACCAGTGATAGTATCGAATGAATGCCCAGCACTCGCAGGCCCAAGCGATCAGCACTCCGACGGAGCCCATCTCGGCAAGAATGTTGATGAACTAAACCGGGTAAGCAGAGCTACATGGTATACAAGCATCTAGGGTCTCACAGCGCCTATTCCATCCCTTTGGGACCCGTCACCTCCTATTTGGCTTTCTTGACTCGATTTTGTCTGTGGCTGATCTGGATGGTGAAGTTGTAGGAACGGCACCCAAATGAAAGCGATCGCAGATACAGTCATAGCCCGGATTGGAACTCTGTAGCTGTTGGTACGTCCAAGCCATGCAAGGATATTCAAATACCAAGGTTCGTCTGGACCACCGTCTATCTGATTAGTTAAACCGAATAGTGTTCTAGACGATATATAGAGGTTTGTGTTGGCACACGACAACGCGGTGAATACAAGGAACGCATTGAAGGCGCTCGCTATTTCCGCAGTACCGCGAACTTTTGCGACGAGAACGAATGCCGACTGAACAGTCTCGCAGCTATCGTAATTCAGCCAACCGACCCGAGGCAGCCGACAATCGGTAGGATCGACGCTCAGAGATACTAGGATACCGCTTAGTGTATATGCAATACACGCGAAAACTGAGATCCATTTCGACGGAAATCTAATGGTTTCGCCAATATTACTGGCTTGATTGCGCTTATGGGCCGAGGCAGCGGTAGGACGAGCTTCGAGTGCGGCGGCTGCTGGAACTTCGACGCCAGCATAAGCGAATGTTGCGGTACATAGACATATGCTAAATTAAGTGTTAGTCTTAATATGTCTAGTTAAATGTGATTATAAACTTATTTACCATAGAGCAGGAAACCAACTTTGCGCTGCGGTATCATCGAACGTGACTGGTTGCGCCCAACCTAATAGCTTGGTAAATATCTAACGTATATTCTGGCGGGTTGAACTAAGTAAACTTAACTCACTATGCTTCTCGTCGGGGGTTTCGGGGCTCTGAGTAGCTAAATACTACTATTAATAGGAATTCTGGTCAACGTGTTGATTCGACGGCATCGTACCGAATACAAGCATTGCAACGCTAATAATGGCCAGGAAGATTAACTTGATGATACCAGTGGCAACCTCGAACCATCCATATATCTAGGTATAGAGAGGTTTGTTAGAGAGCTTCCCCTGCTGGATGTTTTCGATAATCGTCGAAGTACTTACATGAATTCCAAAACAATTAATGACTATTAAGATTACCGGTACAAGTAAATATAACACTCCAGCATCGATCCCGTCCTGTACATCGCCAATAGTCCAATAGTGAACCTCCTCCGCAGTATATGCTATCAATGCAGCGAAGGAGACCGAGTATGTAAACCTATGGCATGTTAGTGATGGTGATCTTGTATAGCCCGATTCAATTTCTATCGCGAACCAATATGCGATACCCACGGTAATTCCTAGCTCAAAATCTACAAACTCGCGTACGAAGACGGACATGGCACCGGGGACAGGCCAGATGCAAAGTAGTTCGGTAATGCATTGCGTAACTAGCCATGCAAGTATTCCGAGTGACAAGAAGGAGATGATAACGGCTAGGAAGCCGCCTAACTCCAAGATCTGTCCGCCGCGCCAGTATAGTCCTGTACCTAGAGTGGCATTGACGGCGATCATCTATCTTTATTAGCTAGGTACTATACAGGCATTTGGCAGTGATCAAGGTTCCACTCACAAACACATGAATAGGGAGCAAGCTTCTATGCGTCACCCTTCCCTTCTTCGTATTGGCCCGAATCGGAGATAGTGTTTCTATACGATATGTTTGGGTATCTGGATTGCGGGTCTCATTATTGCTGGGAGTAGAAATCGTCCTGGCATCGTTACCAGCGCCGTGTTCTAGTGAAAGACCCAAATTCTCAGACGAACCCCATATCGTATGAGACCGGTCTCGTGTGGCCTCGGTCGCCATTATTGGTTTGCTGGCCCGATTCTTATGGTTATTCCAAGTCTAAATGACCCGATTCATTATGAGGACTTGAGTAATGTCAAGACTGAGAAATTCCCGTGAATTGGTTGTGGGCTTACAAGGCTCTGAGGATATTGGCTTCCGTAGCACATGTATGCACCGCCGCCACCATTCGCCCCCCTGCTCCCCTTTCGCCTGCTCCTGTTGTACTACGTTTCTCATACTTTGGAGAGATTTAATTGGTTGGCTGTTAACGCTGCAGACTGCGCCGTAGCGCTAGTTGACCGAGCGCTGAGTTCTATCAGCTGAGGCATTTTTTGAGTACAGTTGAGCCGTTCATTTGACTTCACTGCCTGATCAATTGGCAATAACTGCAAGTTCCCCGCGCGAGGGTCTGACTTATATCTTCTATGATTTTTATGATAATAGCGACTTTTTTTTTTTTTTTTTTTTTTTTTTTTTTTGGATATCATTCATATCTTGGTGTCAATAAGAACCATGAAGAAATATGCTAATGGCAATTAATTATACTGGAACTATCTGACTCCCCATTATTAAAATCTGGTAAAAGGAGCCCCTCATCTAGAAATGATACGCGGTGGCTGCGTTACAGAGCTGCTATTGGTTTTCTAAAAGCTTAGATTCTTTCGTATCAATCCTTCTTTGGTACTTTGGGCGTATTAATAGATCGCCATACATTTGGGTTGCCGCATCTCACCTTGCTTGCTATCTCTCAAGTCACGGTGATCTAGCAAAATACGCCTACAAAATTATTTCTATAAACCCTAATCTCTACTTACTCGAAACTGGACTGTGTCAGAATGTCGGTAACCCAAAATACCAATACACGGTACCTCAAGGAGAACAGCCTACTGAGACTTCTTCAACGACTTTTCCCGGGTCAGGCTGATTTCAATATTCGGGTTAGTGTCGGCCATGCCACACAGGGATTCTGGAGCATGGGCTGACTGACATAGCTGAGAGACGACCAATGGTGTTTCACTGTACCTAGTGCAGTCAGCGAGGTGAGTTCTCTCTTATATGCCTTAGGTACCTATCTAAGGCATATCCCGTAATGCCTATAAGATTAACATAAGTTTAGAGTGACATCAAGTAAGCAAGCAGATGCATCATTTGACATATTCTGGGAAGTTAGGTATCTAATAGAATCAGTGGGGTGAGAGATAATTGAGTTATACCAATGCTGTGTCTGAGCGTGGCGTATATTGTCGGCTGCTTAGTGGTGTAATGTTATATCGGGTATCCCGTGTCCCTGGTGTACATACAGCATTAATTATGTACCCACCATAGGAGCTAACGGGTCCACGAACTAAGAATGTTATATATAACTGCTTGCTTTACCATATATCAAAGCGTATATTAGTCGGACTAACATACTAGCTTTAACGGACTCTCTTCACTATTATACCAAAATGTCTTATCTTAGCAAATGCTTTGTCGACCAAGTTGTGGCTCCCATCAGGCTCATAGAAGTGTTACCTCAAAATCAATGCGATGAAGAGCAGTCCACTCGCCAACTATCTACAGCGCAGGAGATTGAAGACTTTCTGAATCGGAGTAAGCTAATCAATTATTCGCATCGTCACTTGTATGTCTTAATAAGGGAGTAATCCGGGTTATCGCTGAAATCTTCCAGGTCTATATGCCAAAAGACATCGTGGAGCTCCTTGCAAATAACCAGGGGTTTGCTAGAGCTTTTCGTTTCTAAACACGATATAAGCGACTCATTCTGGGATCTTCCATCATGTTTCTACTACCGGAACGACGACGTGGAAATAAACTCCTGTCTCCCTGTTACTGTAAACAGGATAGGCTCTTCAACTGGTAGGCGTTTGACTTGACAAATTGGTTTGACAGAGCTATCGCTAACTGGATCTAAGAAATCTATTATACGATTCGTTATCCCGAGCTGAAGCCTAATGGTGGAAACTGGGCTATTCGTCAAAGTGGCTTTTATTATCGATTCGACGCGTCGACTAATCAGACTATATCGGTCTTATTCAACCCAACGCCAAACTCGGCCGCTCATCAGAAGATAGAAGATTCCTTACTTGGCACAAACTGTGGCTCGAGAAGGTTTCCAACTCCATGGTTTATCCACGAAATACTGTTTTCGGTGTATTTTCCAGCATGGAGAGAGTATCTCGCTTTCTTGGAGAGAAAACTGCTTCCGGAAGTAAGTTTATCATATTTTATAATGTACCTAACCCATACTGATAACTCTAACCCTTTGATGAATATAGACAAGTACTACGTTTTCGACTTTCATAGACGAGCCATTGCGCGTAGGATATGACAACCTTAGTGCTTTGGCAAGCCTTGATAACCAATTCCTCCAAGTCGCCACCCTCTTATCTCATAGTGAAGATGTCCTGAAGGAACTTTCTTCCGTATTCATCCGGGAAGGCTTAAAGACCAGAATGCCGGAGGCAATAGACGCGCTTGATAATTATCGTCGTCGATCTGTGGCTCATTGTCGTGTTGCGACCCTTTTGCAGCAGCGAGCACAGACTACTGCACAACTCCTGGCTAATACTTTATCGTTCCGAGACCAGATCCTTGCCAAGCAACAGAACGGCAACATGCTGCAACTGAATAAGTCAGCTGTTTTCCTCACCACGTTGACTCTTCTCTACCTCCCAGCTTCCTTCGTGGCCGTGAGTATGAAACAAGCCCAGTTTGTTTCGCGATACCATGCAATTACTAATTATCACTAGACTTTCTTCGGTATGAACTTCTTTGATTTAGACTCTGACTCAAAACGAATCATCAGTACTCCTATGATATGGATATATATATTATCCTCTATCCTGCTAACAATCATTACCTTCTTGGTTTACTATTGGGTGTTGCATCATGATAATGTTGTTCTCAAGAGAATGTCGCCGAACGTTCACGTGGGGGACTGGAGAGCATTGGCGCGGCGTGCTCTGACGATAAAAGGGGACTCGACGAAGAATATTAAAAAGCTGCCTGTGTAAATACGCGATAGTTGCTGTTTATGCCACCTCGATATGTATATCATAAAGCACATGTTATTAATTGAAATCTAGCTATGCGTGTAAAGAAGCTGCTAGGGGACTACTTTGAGGTACGGTACATGATATCTTGGCGTAGAACGTATATATAAGAAAAACCTCCCCCCTCACTCATACAAGTGACATATTAAGTCAATATACAACATACAGCTCATATACCGTATCTTATAAAACTATAGAGGCAATAGCTAGTATACCAATCATATACTTAAGCACCTAAAATACGAACCTAGATACAAGAAAGCCTCTGGGCTATATCTCTTCGCTATGACAGACAGTATGATTTTTCTCAGCTCACATTTAAATTGCCTTTATAAATACCGCCTACACTACCCATCCGTCTTTGACGTTGTCAGGAATCTAGATGAGACACCTAAAATAAGGGGCGTTGTCAGTATGTTGTGACGAGCCTATACCTAGGTACGTTGAGGTATAGTGCTGGTTGAGTCTTGATTTTAGGTAAACAGTAACAATACGGGTCAAGGGGCGAAGGAAGAAACCCTTCCTTATTTCTCCTCGAGGACAAATGTATCTCCGCCCCACCCAAATGCCCTATTAAGCCTCCTCCCATGTCTCCTGGCGGTCGTGAATGGTATTTTCCCTCGAGGATACGGCTCATGAAATTGGATTCTGCTCTGGTCGCCCTCTAGTTTATGAAACTGCCAGACGGATCCGTACAGCTTCTCAGCTGTAAATAAGCCTGAAGATGTCATGGCGTGTAGAAAGTCGTTTCATGAGACTTCGCCAGGCGAAGATGTTACAGTCGGATTAAAAAAGATTGTTCGAAATACTTTAAGAGAGCGAGCGTTGACAGGTATGGTAATTTGTTCAGGCTTTGGGTCTTCATCTGTGACGAGAGTTTCTGACCCCGTGGCAGCAGTAGAAGATACGTCTCTTGTCTTGGTCTTGATCTTCGGTGCCAGCGCTTCAGCTTTGTTGCTGGTAATTCCGGCTGGTTCTCCAATATAGATGGTAGAAAGGGGTTTATACAGATCAGCAATGTTTGGATCCAGGACTGGTTCTCGGCCTGGAGCTTTTGTTGTAGATGGTGGGGGGTCAACCCAGTTTGGTGTACGTTTAATCATGCGTGGTTGGGATAAGACGCCATGGACAGCCATACCCTTTAGACCTCCACATTTTGTATCTACAATCTTGTCAATCGCTGCCCAGAGCTGGTCGAGATGTTGCTCAGCTCGCCGCAGTTCCTCTACGTTCTGCCTAGTCCGGCGCTTCTCATATGGGTAGGCGAATCTTCTATCAGAAGGATCACCGATCTGGGCGACCTGTAAGAGATTTCTATCTTGAAACGCTTCCGCGAATATGTCCCATGTTTTAAATCGTTTCTCAAATTCATCTTCGATATCGTCTGACATCTTGACTGAAGCCATCTCAAAGCTTCTTGCCCATGGCTGATATAGGTCGATCTGGCTTATGCAATGTGAGATGATGGCCAGATCACTAATGATGCCGGTGATCCTCTGAGATACCAATTCCTGTGCACGTGGTTCGGTTTCAAGTAGCCTTCCGAGCTCGTCGACAATTGTCGGTAGGCGACCAAAAAAAGAGATCATCGCCGTTGTCCCATAGCGTACGGAGAATCCAGAACAGCTGGTGCTCAATGGTGCTCATCTTTACGCCCATCTTCTGCTGTGCATGAGTCGTGCTTGAGGTAGGGTCCGGTAGCGGTAGGCGAACAAAGTACTTACGCCATTGAGGAGAAGCAATAACGCCGTCCTTAAGTTCACTCAGGGGGCCGTTCGCTGTTTGGTATAAATAACGACGGAATTTGAGTATAGCACTCATCAGCTCCCCAGGCAAGTCTTTAGCAGGTGATATAACGGCCGCATACTTGATCTGTAGTAACCGCAGTGTTTGGGCCTGTTGGTAGAGGTCCGAAAATATCTGAAAGTGTACCTAAGTAAGACTCGAAAGGAACTCTACCATAGACGCGAGCCCAAAACACCTTTTGGTGAGCTTTCTCGAAGATGGGGTTTTTATCTCCAAAAGTGTCCTTTAATAGCTCTTGCCGGTGTTCCTTAATCTTAAGGAGCTGCTCAAGGAAATATGCTGGATCTTCCCGTATGGCCCATAGATAGTCTTCAGCTGCGGATACTCTGGCGCCAAGAACTGACTCAATTCGGCCGAGATCTAGCTTGGAAGGTAGTCGATAAGGCATCTCTGCTGCCATCACAGCCAAAGAATCAAAGCCATTCATTTCCTTTCCTGTCTTCAAAGGTGGCTCAGGTTGAACAGGAAAGGTATCTGCAGTGAGGCTATGGACTGGAATATCGTGCAGTATATACTGGCAACAAGCAACCAAGAATTTCATAAGCTTTTCTTGGGCCTCAAGAATCAGCAAGCCCAAGCTAGGGAGGAATTTCTTTCGAGTGTTCGCCCAGTCGCGGGCGTCGGAGTGCTCGCTCCACTTTCAGAGCTTGCCATATTCACTGGCATTATGAGCTCCGTGGAGGACCATAGTATATCCCGTTAGGAATATAGACCTCATATTATTCGTAGCTAAACCTAGGTTCATTGCCTCGAAGTCGGCGGCGGCGAATTCTGGCGGTGAGTTACGCCCTCGCGCGTTTAGTAGTAAGAGCAGCGTTTTCGGCTTCAGAAGATCTTCCTGATTGATTTGCGGTAATAGATAGCAGTCCCTGACACTTTCCTCGGATACGCCCCCATGAAATTTGTTGGTCCGCCAGAAAGCATCAAAGTCTGGGCGATGTGTTACTGCCATGTCTGGCCATGCATCCAACAGAATTTTCTGCTTCTGCTGTCTCGTTTTCTTATTCCAGCGCTTCTGGATTGTTGCTTCATGGCGGAAAATGTATCGCGTAGGGTAGCATAGCTGCTGAAGATATTATTTGATCTCGCCTGAGCCTCTCGACAAACTTGTGCCGCTGATACGAAGCGTAATGAGTCGAACTGCTTCATGAGGATATTTGGGTCAGACTAATCAAAGTCTTCTTGTCCAGATGTTATTTTTACAACTTGAATGGGATTCTTAGATCTTATCCTCGGCAATTATGACTCGCAATTACTGGAGAGTGTTTGCATTGAATTATATTAGGTATCAGCCCTTATAAGAGGTAACCAACACGCATACGTATCTGCTGTGTGACAGTATGTCACATTGACGATAATGCATTTAATAATACTCGTGTAATTACATATAATTGCCTTCATTTAAGCCTTAAAAGGCTGATTTTATATAACATTAATCCAGTGGCAGTATAAGCTAATATGATGATGTTTCCCCCATCTTCATCTTTCCTATTTTCCCCACTGAAAATCATAGCAGTAATTTTATCCCTATAGCCAATTTCAGGGAGTTCTTTGATTTCTCGAGGCTTTTCTCTATATCCGAGATGAGGCAGGGGCAATTCGATCAGTAGCATTGTGCTGTTACCACTCTTAGACGCCAATGCAAAGAGCCGCGAGTTCTGCTTGTCCATTAAGAGTTTACTGATGAAATAATTCCTGAGGGTTATATCACTATTAAGTGTTGGATTTCCACCACCAAAATTTCGGATGCGTAGTTGATTTTCATAGAGTACGACTGCGAATGTTTGTTCGTCGTTTATTGCGGTAATGGTTGTTAAAAGGCGACCCCAGTTGCCACTATCGACGTCCTGTAGCTAGTTAGTTGCTTGAACATCGAACTTTCGTTTAATATGTAGATTAGAACCTACTCCGGATGGCGTTTGGGCGGAGTTTTCCACATGCCTAATCTTGACCTGTCTGGTAAGTAATGATAGGTAGTAAATCTTTATATCATGTCTTTCGGATATATCTGGTTGAGTAATATAATAGAGAGCTGTATCGGAAGGGAATGATAAATGTGTGACGCTTCCCGCTGGAGCGTCTACTCTGAGTCTATCCCATGGTTCTTTCGCAATAATCATATACTGGAGTTCATCGCTGGATGATAACGTACTTTCGGAATCACCACTAATATAACGTTAGTAAGAATTTAATGATCATAATGTTATAGTATTACCTCGGGATTCTGCGACTGAGTAGATCGCTTATTTTGGCGTAGTATATCCACGAACTCTCTAAGTCTTGATGCACTACGCAAGCAAGGATTTCACCCCCTGGAGATATGGCTATTCGATCAATACCATTTGGGGCGTCAACGGGGAGTTCGATTTTGTAGTTTAGGTCAAAATTTAGCCCCGGCAATCTGCCACCCTTGATATCAAAAAGATAGATCTAGACGCCGCATTAAGTTCTGTTCTATTCGCTATGCAAATAGTACTATACTTACGTAGGAATGGCGTCCTGTTATTGAAGCAATTAGATATGTCTCATTTAGCTTCACGCTTCTCCATGCAGCTGTTCCTCGTCGTTCGTAATATGGAACCCTCTTGTCGTCACCTCGTCGTTGAAAATATTGCAAGTCATATAACGAAATACAGGTATCTGTCCAATGAGCGATGACTGGCTCGTTGGGGGCTATAGAGCATCCTACGACAGCTCTTGCATTAGAAATCCACCAGCTTTCTAGCTTCGGTCCGTCAGGTTTCAGACTGATGAGGGCAATGTCAACTGCGGGAGTACAGGTGTGGAACCGGATAGGTACTCTTGTGTAGGCACTTACTGTCTTATTAAAAATCGAGAAATTATCCTCGAAAGAATTCCGTCTTGCGTATAGCCTTGGTATTGTTCAGGATTCTCGCCTAGTGTATGGTAAGCTGCTGATGCAGCGAGAAGTTTATCCCTAATGCACCTAGCCGGCTCTCTCTGTCGAGGATCTAGCTCTAGGACCTTCTCTTCAATATAGTTTAATACTTCTTTCATCACCTTGCCTTCGCCCAAATTCCTTCTATTGGCTTCCTTGATTAGACGCCTGTGGTGTTCTTTGATTGCTGGATGAGGCTTGGGTGGTGTACGATGTCGACTGATGAGGAAGAAGTGGTCTTTGTCCCCTGCTCTGGAGCTTTTGGATGTATCTGCTCTCATGTCCGCGTATATATCAATACCCTCTTGTCCTTCGTTGATATATGTTAAAACGACGCTAATGACACACCCTAGAGACCAAATATCACTTTTCTCGTTCATATTCCGTACTGAGATAGTCGACTCGGGTGCGAGGTAGGTGCCCTCTAACCGGCGATTTACAGTATCTGATACCGAAATGTCGCCTCTTCTCCTCTCAAAAAGAACGCTGATATCTTGATCAACTGTGTTAGTGTGGTTATGTGATACTTTCACACGCGACATGCCGAAGTCACTAATTTTCCAAACTAATTTTCCATGTTCCCTATCATAAAAGATGAGAACATTTGCTGGCTTCAAATCCATGTGATAACAGACCATCCTATTACCGCTGGAGTCTCTGATCTCGGAATGAAGAAACTCCAAGCCGTCTGCAAGACCAGATGCACATTCTAGAATGTCTGCTTTTTCTGATTCGAGGATCGGAGGTGCATTATTGCGCATCCATTCTCTGAGGTCGCATTCCGCAAGCGGCATGAATAAGCTGAATATACTCTCATCGAGCTGAAGACTACCGAGAGTCTCGACGACGTTCTTAGATTTCCGAGGAGTGCATAGAATCTGCTTCATGGTTCCTAACTCTTTCCGAAAATGGTCGTTTTTCTCAAAATCTTTTCGGGCCATTGGCATAGGTTCCGAATTCACCATCGCCATGGACTTATTTACCAAGTGCCCTTTAGCAACGACGACGCGATAAACCACACCATAAGACCCCATACCGATTTCCTCTTCCTCACACATGTAAGGCAGCCTCTGTTTTTTCCCATCGGCCCACTGAACGTCCCCACCATGAAGCACAATAGGGCAAAAGCAGGGTTGCATATCGATGAAGCTGTTGATGTCAGGTCCATTTTCTACCCCGAATATTTGCTCGAGTTGTTCGCGCTCCGCTGGAAGCTGATCAATCCTAGTCTGGCCATCGTAGCAAATTGGCCAGCTGTTGGGATCAGAGGGACAAGTGAGAAGTTTCCTAGTAAAACATCTAACCGACTCTATACTACAGCGGGAGTAAATTAAAATGGCTACAAAGTTGTGAAGACTCCGCTCTTCGACTCGAGAGGTTAGCAAATCCACGGTTATCCCAGGTCCAAAATGCGTTTCCAATGAATCGTTTGGAGGTACCAGGCTGCAAAATAAGCGCCTTAAGTTGTAAGGGGCCAAAACCGCTTGGGTGGTACCAACTTTAGCGAAGCGCCGGTCGGCAATATCGCGCCTTTCAAGTTTCTCGTGGATTTGACTATATAAATCCCTCAGTATCTCATTGTATGAAGGCGAAATCATGTTTGCGGAGTTAGCTGTGAGAGATTGGAGCAGGGTGAACACCAATATCAGCTTATAAGTACCTCCTAGGTAATATATATTAAATCGGACGGAGTGGTGATACAACACATAGCAACTATGATCGATGAGACAGGTAGATTACGCGGCTAGCCCGGGAGCGGGCAATATCGAGATGCTCATTCTAAAAGCATACCTAGGAGGTACGTAGAGGATAAGCCGCCTTTTCCAGACCCGCGTAACTCAACGCAAGAATAGCATGTGTAACGCGAAATATATTCCATGGGGGAGGGCTCGTATCCGGCTAAGAAGTCGCGGTTGCCTATACCTTTAGGCGCCTAGCTAGGTACCTGATAAGGAAAATAGGGATTATTGGATTATTTCAGCTGGCTCAGCGTAGCATGGATTTGTAGGATCTGTCATACGCTATACTTGAAAGGTAAGGTACCTAATACACTCAGCCATGATTTTCACCCACAGGATTTTCATCCAATATCCCCAGCGAATAAACAATTGCATACCTACCTAATACAAAATAAACCTCATTTTTAAGCTTGACCTGAATAGATATTTTAAAATAACGATCTACCTAGCTGAAGGCATCTCATAAACATTTAGTCCAGATCTATGCATTATTTAGATACGGGCCAAGCCTTAAAGGGGCATGTCAGCCGCAGCGCTACCTAACATAACACGAGTAAATTTCCACACGCTGACATCGGAACACTCCTATAGCCAATCAAGTTCTTACGGTAGTTGCAGATAAGTACTATGTCGTACAGCAAGCAACGCCGACAGAACAACAAAACTGAAGTGATCAGTTAATCATCGATTAGTAATTAGATATATGTTTACAACTTAGCGGAGTCTTCCTTGGTGAACTCCACCTTGTTGGTGACAACTCCGACGTTTTCAAGCTCGACTTCGACGATATCGCCGTCTTTTAGCCACAGCTGCGGCTTGCGGCCCATTCCAACGCCCGACGGCGTTCCCGTCCAGATAAGATCGCCAGGTAGCAACGTGTGGCCCTTGCTCAAGAACGCGATGGTTTGCCTCACATTAAAGATCTGATCGGCTGTGTTGCTATTCTAAATCTTATGTCAGCCGCTCGTCTAAGTAATTATATCTCCATTCCCCGCATCGAGGCTCTATTCATTTGCTTACCTGTACTGTCTGTCCATTCAATCTAGTACTAATCTGAAGCGTCTGTGGGTCTTTGATGATATTGCTGGTGACGATGCCCGGTCCATATGGTGCCCAGCCGTCAAACCCCTTACCCAGCGACCATTGGCCACCACCGCGCGCGACCTGCCAGTCTCGGTGCGAGACATCGTTTCCGACAGCGTATCCGAGGACATAGTCGAGCGCCTCAGACTCCGATACATCCCTAGCCTCCTTTCCGATAATGACGACAAGTTCAACTTCATAATCCAGTCCTAGTTCCTCCTGTGCAATTGGGTGGATGGGAATAGGATCCGTAGGCCCTGACAGAGAAGTGACCGGCTTGTACTGTTCGGCGTATTTAGTGCGCGGTCCTACATACATTTCAAGTGAGATGAAAAGAGCCCACTTACGAATAGGACTGGGTATTTTGGTATCGGAAGATTGGCCTAAAAATATCTCAATATTCTGATCAAGACTCTGTACGGATTAGATAGGTAGGCTAACCTCTTTCGCGTGCAGTGCGTAGTTAAGACCTAGACATCGGACGGACTTAACATCCTCTAATGCGAGAGGTGCTAGAAGTAATCGGACCTCCGCAATCTGATCGGTAACTTCATGCTTGCCAAAGATGTCCCCTTTGATGACACGCGCTTTCTTCGTCTTAGAAATGTCTGTTACTCCCTCTGGTAGAATAGCATCTCCATGGTACGTTTTGCCATTCTTGGCCAGAAAACGGATAAGTCTCTAAGAAGTGTCAGCTAGATGAACATATATGTACCTTGGGAGGTAGCTAAGCCTAGTTGAAGATACTTAAGTACGTAACGGGATTGGTTGGCTAAAATACTGAGGGGTTATCACTTACAGAAAAGGCCGGCATGGTATTCTCTTTTTCTATGAAAGAATATGATTTAAGATTCCAGTAAGACCAAATTTTCGGACTCAAAAATGCTAACCTAGATATTAAGACAGCGTGATGAATAGAACGGTATTAAAGCTGGTTATATGACTTTATACATGTAGGACTTGGGTGGAGTAGGATATAAACAGGTAATTAGTACAATAGGGTAGGGGTAGGCGAATGGTCGGGATTTCGGTAAAGTCGGGCGGTACTGCGTTTAGCCTGTCTTGCCTATCCTGCCCATCCTGCCTATCGTACCTACCTACTCACAAAAAAGATGACCCCCGAGGCCGGAGCGTCGGATTCCCCACCTACCGGCAGTTCATTAACTCCCTTCCCCTCCCCCTTTTCTTTGGAGCTTCATAATCCCCACTGCATCTCCGTCGGGCAATTATTAATGCATCATTAATCTGCGTTGCCGACTTGTGCTCATATTCTGTGGGTATGACGCGCAAAGCTATCCTAACACGTAATTGCTTACAACTTTCCTTAGTCTATTCGATGTACACGTTAACTGATGAATGGTCTCCTGTGTCATTGAATACAAAGAAATGGAATTTCGATAGCACAATCCAGTGGAGTTAGTCCCTGGGCATGTGGCCGTAAGGTACAGCGGATGAAACTCGCCAACAACTCAACCTAGTGTGTACTAACTGAACAGACCTAAGACAGGAGCTATCATATTGACATACCGATATATCTCCGTTTACTAATTAAGAGAGGCATATATTTAAGAAACCTCAATTACTGGCTCTGAAGTTCATCGAGTTGAACACACTGTAAGTGAAATAGCTCTAATATATACTTTAAGGTGCCAGCTAAAAGAACATATATCCAGTGAATCAATATAGCCAGTCGCTTGTCTTATATCATATTAGTAGCTTAATCTCTTTGAGGTTGTCCCCCATAGACCGACTGCGTAGTATAACTACGCTGAGAAGGCGGGGGGGTCTGAACCTCATGTTGAGTCCTCAGATGAACCCGCTCAGACCCTGCATTGCCAATATACGCAGGATTGAAGTTTCGCAATGCGAAGTGGCAGAAGAAACCGAATTCTGCGATAGATAGAACCCATATGAGAGCTCCAAGACCTGCGCAGGCTCCCATTACAGATCCGAATGTAGTCCATAGGTCTTTACCACTGCTCTCTTCATAACTATTATTGAATGAAAGGCCATATGAGGCCCAAGACGCGCTCCAAGCCCAGCCTGCTAGCCAAAAGATTGAGCTCAGAGCATAAGCAGCCAATACTACTATGCGATAATAGAATCGAGGCGCTTTAAGCTCAATAGCAAGTGGAGCACCGTAGATGATCCACGTAAATATCGTCTAAAGTAGTTAGAACTGTGTGGATGATGTCAAATACGGAAAAAAAAAACATCTTACTAGGAAGATCAGATATTCTGGAACTCCGGAGTTATAATAGGGGTTACTATGCTGAATAGATAGTACATAGGAGGCTAATGCCAAGACGATAACTGAAAGAAGGATAAGAACAGCTTTGGTATAGAGTAGGAATTCAGGAAACATAGGAGCCCCGCGGGCAATCAGTCCTGATATCAGCATTATAGTAAGGATTAAGTAGTCTTGTTTAAGATATCGAGTAGCCAAATTTGTAACAAGCCAGAGTAACTTTATTGGGATGTATCATTAGGAGGTAGCTATTATGAGATAGATAGGCAAGTTTAGCTACGATAACTCCTGAGAAGGCAACAAAGCAGTGAGAAAGCCGACTGGGCTATTCCGTATGCAAACCTCATTCATCCCGTTCCTTTGCTATGCGTAGTCGTTGCTCATTGTTAGTTGGCTATTATGATGTCAGTTTTTAACTGTTTTTGTGGATATTCGATATTTTCTTTTTATCTTTCTGGGGGAATTTCAATATGGAATTCTCACCAAGCTATCTCCCGCGGCACGCAATACGTATACGCTTTACTGGTATTATAGTAATAACATACAGAGGCAGCATATTTCGGAACTCTCACTTGGCGACTTTGTAGCAATGAAAGAGATTTTTCTCAAATTTACCTAATCTCTTCGTAGAGTACCTAGACGTCTTAACTAAGGTCATAATATTATATGTATCTAGGTGAATGCTAAATATAGATGTACATCCTGTATATTACTTGTATCCGAGGAAGTCGTGAACCTTAAGCGAAACTTCCTTATAAGGTTGTTTAAGATGAATCATAATAGGTATCGGCTGTAGCATGTAGTTCCTGCTCAACTGCATCCTTCCTTCCTGCCATATTATATGTATGTGCCCACCTTAATAAAAGGTACATGCCTCACTTAGATTAAGGGCATTATACACTTACAACTATTCCATATCATCATTTATTCAGCTCATTTCAACTTTAGGTACACTTTCATACAAGATCATTCATAACCGATTCTCCTAGAGCGATGCCAATAGCATCAGTTAAACTGGCGCGATTCACGTCAGAAGACCAGAATGGATCTCCAGGAATCTTTAGTAGACGATTTTTATTTAGAACCTGATGAGTATGCGCGGTTGAACGGGTTATCAATCGACTCCCAAGTCCAAGTTTCTCTTTTACTTGACCATTTCCAAAGGCAAAGCAATCACCTACTAGATGATAAATCAGCCGATGATGAATCGCTTACTCAACTGCATATGCCGCATCTTATTTCTCAAGTCGAACAACTTGATGGTGTATCCAGAGAGTCACTTGAACTATTAAGTCATGCTGCATCGCTGGGACGCGAGAACAGTCACGCATTTGATTATCCTGCTGCTGTGGACTTTTCGAAGTTGAAATTGGAATCTCCATTGCTCCGAAGCGACCCTGAATACGACTGCCGAGAACTTATTAGGTCTATACAGCAGCAGCGACAAGCGAAGGTAGACCTAACAAGTGTGCCACTAGAGCCTCTTAGCAAATCGAATGATGAGAGCTTAGATTTTCCAGAGACATCGTATCGACATAAGCAGATGCTCATCAAGGAAATTCGGGAGGAGAAGATAGATATCCCAAAAGAGGCTCTGGTCTATCTTTCCCGCATGGTGAAAGATACATGGACATCTGAAAAACATAACGAGTTATTAAACAGAGTTTCTCATCGAAGAGTGAGCAATACATAAGTTCAGATTACCTTCTATTTCTACTAGGTACCTAGCCTGCTTACATTACTAACTTGCATCTTCAGGTTCTTCGAGATCTAGCCCTTACACCCCCTCTTAGTCCGCCGCCACAGCACGAAGGTTATTTCATCCCCGATGACGTAGCATGCCAAGTTACGTTGTCTTCAGATACCAGCACGCTGCTTGATGATGATTTGACCAAGGCCGAGGAGGATCTACTAGAAGAGGATGACTATCATCTCGATATTCCCTCGTCTGTAGACCTCGAACCCCTAACTATATCCCCATCAGACGACTTCAAACTGCAAGACACGCCCCGTCTAAAAATTGACACACTAAAAGTTGAAGGTCCCTTAACCCCATTAAACTCATTACCCCCATTCTCCGAATTAGCTGTAGACATGGTAAACCTCGCTAGGTGCGTGGATATCGATCACGTACTCGACAAGCAACGATTAGATGTACCGGGCGCTAAGGGCGTAAGGGATCCAAATGGGATATTTAGTGATGATGTTATGACTGCTTTTGAAGAAAAGGCAAAATCTGTTAATAGAAGCATCGGACAGGAGGATTTGCAGGTCGCAGATGCGATCGCTAGAATAGAAATTCCTACGATGGATTTCTCGATACCTGACCCCGATTGGAAGGGAATTTCGCCAGATCCTACGTTGCAACTGGCGTGGATAGAAACGACATACGAAACCTTTAAAGTACCCCCGTGGCCGAAGAACTCTCAAGCAGAACGAGAGCTTCGTTGGTCCCCATTTCCATCTAAGATGGGCCATATATCTATGAATGAGATAATCGTAGATGATGGTATTGCAAAGTTCTTGCTCAACTACTCGGGTCCTCTCGAAGTGCCAACAAGTGGAGAATATGTCTGGAAAAAGCCAGGTCTGGCTATCCTTCGGGAATTGGATGATGATGAACAAGAGGAAGAATTACCTTACGTTTCCGGCGAGAAAAAAAATATCGAGTCATTGGTGAGAAAGAGGCGATTAGAACTCAGCAACTCATCAGATTCAGCTTCGCCGGTAGAGGTAGTTCATGCCCCTCAAGTCATGCAAACAGAATCATATCAAACTTTACTTAACGAGCAGGGTCAGAACTCCCACCTTCTCCTCGGTTACAACGATACTTCCGCTACGTCAACTCTACTTTCTAATTACTTCGACTTTCATACCGCAAAACGGCAAAAGAATATGAAAAGCTCCTTCTTCCCGACCGTTGTTAAACAAGCAGACGACCCCAAAACAAAGGTAGCTTTAAGTACCTCCATGACAAGTCAACTGAATGAGACATTGGTATCAAAACGAGAGCTGGAGAAGGAACCGGCAATTCCTGCTCCTTGTCCTCCATTACAACCAATTCTTACGCGAATGAAGATAATAAAGGCGTTGTCACTTGAACGAGGCGTGTTCTCCCGCCTCGAGCAATCCCACCCGAATGTCGAAATAATCGAACGTGATTTCGAGCGTTGGAATTCTTCAGCATGGGATCGTAACTCAGTATCTCGGTCGCCGATCACATCACCACTGGCCGCCGAAGCGGACATAATCGTCTCCCCCGCCACCGGAATCGTGATCATTACATTGCTCAGAGCTATACAGAAACCACCTCCGGGTCAGAAAGGCCTTTCGAAGGTCCGGGAACGTATCCGTAACGTCGCACTTCGGTACGAACGTCTCATTATTCTTGTATCGGAAGGAAATCGCGTTGATGAGACAGCTCGGAATCTTACGCCTGCAGAGTGTGCTGGCTATGCTGATTTTGTCGGCTTCGCTACTGGGCTGGACACGAATGTGCAGGCCTACTATGTGGGAGGCGGCGATGATACACTCGTGAAATGGCTGATATTCTTTCTGGCTCGCCACGCACCAGACACAGAAGCCTTGGAAGATATAATCATCCAAGAGGAGTCGCTATGGGAAGTGTTTTTACGGCGGGCTGGTATGAACGCGTATGCGGCACAGGCTATACTCGGACAGCTCAAGGCCCCTGATGATATTCCTGAAGAGCAGGCGGGTAAATACGGGCTTCCAGCATTTATCAACATGGTGCCAATGGAGAGGGTCGAAGCGTTTCGAAATCTGATGGGTGGGGAAAGGGTGCTGAATAGAGTCAATGAAACTCTGGAGACTCAATGGGGCTGATGGAAGGATTGCTTAATCTGTGCTTGATATACATATTGTCTCTTATGCTCGTCAATCTTCTACCTAATATCGCGATCGCGAAAATAACGGGGGAAATATGGCCAAGGGTTAGAAGATGTTGGCTACTTGCCTGAAATTGGCTTACCAACTGCTTTAGACAGCTTCATGAATGAGTGGGAATTTAGTAATTCGATGTCAAGAAGTTCCATAAAGGCTCGTACTCGCAAATAATTCTGGGTGCGAGAAGCGACGATATAATGAAATAAGTATACACGATTTACCTATGGGTATCATTGCCGTCTAGCCCACTATACGTCTTCCTAAGGCTCTGTTTCCTCAGAGTTATTTGATATACTCCATATCTTCAAGCTACTTTCTTTATTTTGTCTGCGCATCCAAGGCGATGCGGGCCTTGAAATATTGCTACTACTATCGCTTTCCCTGCTATCGTCGCTATCGCTGCTGTCTTGCGATAGAGACTCGGTATCTCCGTCATCGTCATCCGGAAACTCCCAGGATCCAGAACAAGTAGCGACTACAGTTCCGCTTGGATGAACGCACGCACTCCCTACGGTCGACTTACGGGCAGCATCCCAACTCCAAGCCGGTTCGTGCGCACCTTCGCGAGTCCCGACACCTTCCCACATCTTAACAGCACCGCCCGTCGTCCCGGACCAGACTTCGAAACCCCCTTCTTCACTCCCGCCTTGTCCGGGAAACACATCGCAGCTTATCCGCTGGTTGCCGAGCGCCTCGCGACTAGCAAGCCACCCGAGTAGTTTCCCCGTTACGCGCACGTCGTATATCAGGACGCCTGTCGACTTGCGCTCCCCGAGTAGTAAATACCGGCCACAGGGGCTCCAAATCGCCTGGGTAATGCCATCGCCACCAATGCACGCCTCCTCGTTGGCCGCGCTCGCGACGCTCCAAGTGGCGGCCCACGACCCGCCAGCCTGTGCGAAGTCATACAGACCGACCCAGCGGGTCCAGGTGCCGGCGGCAACAAGGCTGGCGAAGTTCGCGTCGGGGGGTTGGGCGGCGAGCGAGGAGATGGTGCCGCGCATGCCGACGCCGCCGCCTTTGGATATATGCCGCTCCGAAGGAATGGTCTTGACGCGGAGGACGGGCTCCTCGCCCGTGCGGGTCACGTCGAAGCGCGCTAGGAGGTTGCGGCTACCGGCGATGAAGTGTGTGCCTGGGGAGGGCCAGACGAGCGCGGTGGCGGTGAGGAAGGTCTCGGAGCGGGCTTGGGTTAGGGGGTAGCTGGATGCTGGAGACGGGGATGAAGATGGGGATGGGGAGGCTAGGTAGAAAAGCTGGATGGGGTGGTCTCGGCTCGAGACAAGGAGCTGCTGCGTCCAGGGCTCCGTGAGCCGGAAGTACGGTGCCCCTGCTAGGACATTGCTTGGTTCTGGGAGTTGGATGCTGGCTTGGGGCGTGAGCTTCAGGGGCCGATTAGCTGTGGGGGAGAGTAGGTCTTCGGGTATGATGTAGCCAGAGATTAGGTTTGATGAGGTCGACGTTAGAAGGGCGGTACCGTCCGCAGTCCATTGAGCCGTTTCGAAGTAGCCTTGAAGTGCATCGTTTGTATCGTTTGTATCGTCAAGGTGTTGTATTATATCCCCAGTCGAGGCTACAAGTTCTACCTTGTTGCTACGAGGAGGCTCCTCTTTGTGATCCATGCCGGACAGCTTCTAGTTTTATACATAGCTTCTCATTTCTACGGCATGCGAACTATTGATGCATGTGTTCCCTATGTAGACGAGTTGTCAAAAATAATATGGATAGAACTAACTAGGTTAGGAAGTGTTAGGAAGTAAGATTGACGATACCTGGATACGCTATCAACGATGTTGACGGAACTGGAGTTGGTGGATCTTAGGTTGCGTACAAGGTTCCACTAAGAAATAGTATGTAGGTACAGGTACATACCTAGGGCGTGTTAGCAAAGATGTATTGTACAATACTACGGATCCGTACGAAGTACCGTTGCTTGTATTTATGTAATAAGCGTTTTTACCATTAGAATACCTCACTATGTATATGCACGCTAGCTTGCCCTACTGTCAAGCTTCCAATGCAGGGGCTAACCTTGTCTGGGTCCCTCCACACAGCTTGCGCTTGCATCCTATCACATGCCCCAGATTCTAGGCAGGTGCTGATAGGTCGCCTATCATAACTTGTTCCTGATTTCTGACCTGAAGTTCGCCGTAAAATCCCAAGCATCCGTCTTCAACCCTAAACTTCAAAAAAATAATAATCGCAACTGCGTAAAGGGTCTCGTCCTCATCCGCCATGTTAGATAGCAAATAGGCTATCTACTTCTGGCGTGACGGACGCATTCTACCTTTATTTGCATTCCGTTCCGATCGCCTTGACGATATCCTTGACGATCGCCAATTAACCTGGTCAGCTTAGGTCGACCTACTCTCCTTAGCCATCTCAGCGACCACCTGGTTTTAGGACCTAAATTACTTCTAGTACTTCTCAGCTTTGCCCATACCTTCGATATCGAAATTTCCACGTAGAGAATTGCCATCATGGACAGTCTCTTCGTTAAGGATCGCTGTGACGCGCTCCGCGAAGGCGGCTTCACCAACTTCTTTGTCTCTATGTTAGTGGATTTAATCTGGCAACCACAATTTATAGTAGACCATGCAATACTGATCACCAACCATCTACGTCTAGTCTAATTGTGATCGGTATCATGCTATCGTATGTCACACAACACTATCGAATCATCTCCCGCGGATCCTCTGAAGGAATATCTCCGTACTTCGTGTTACTCGGTGTCACCTCAGCAAACTCGCAGTTTGGGAACATCCTCACCCTGCCTCAATCGCGAGCCGATGTCGCCTGCTGCAAAGTAGTTAGCCCCTTCGAATGCACTGCTGGATTACTCGGAATTGCGCAGATTGGGACACAATGGGTTTGCTTTGCTATCATGTTGGTTTTTACCCTAGCAATCCTACGTGAAGTTGTTACTGACCCGATATAGCCTCGCTCTGTTTCTCGTCTTCTTCCGTAGGGAGGACGTTGACCTGTCGGACGATGAATGCGAGCGAGATCCCGACCAACCGACCTGGAGGACCGCTGTTACCGTAGCAGCTCTATGCTTGATTCACGGTCTACTCGTCGTTATTGTATCAGCTGCATTTGCGTTTGGTGCTCCCTCGTACCTAGGTGCGTGGGCGAATTTCTTGGGAATCATGTCTGCTGCACTCGCCGCCATCCAATATATCCCTCAGATTTGGACTACATACCGCCTCAAGCATGCTGGTAGTCTTAGTATTTTGATGATGTGCATACAAACCCCCGGCGGGTTTCTTTTTGCTGGTAGCTTAGCAGCACGTCTTGGTTGGGCAGGTTGGAGCTCTTGGGGAGTATACGTCTTGACGGCCATAATGCAAGGTATCTTATTGTTTATGGCCATCTCGTACGAGTGGCCGTCGCAGGAGGAGCGCCGTCAGTCTACTCCGCAACCGCAACGTCCTCCGTATAACCGACGTACCACACCCAGAGTCCTACCTTCGCCAGGCCCATACTCTGCTCACTTACAGGCCTATGGCGAAACGCAAGAAGAAATCGAACGTGCACTGGACCGCGAGAGCGTCCAAGGCGTAGGAGAGAACCAACCCCTCCTGGCACCTGGTGGACTTGGTAGCTCAGGTGTTCGCTAGCTTACTAGCTTTGAAGAGTTAAGATATCTACTCTATCTCGTTTCTCCAAACATCTATCTATTGACCACGAGAATGTCTATGTCTATTTGCTTTAAAGTTGGTTGAAATTGTGTTACTTGAATTATGAAAGAATAACTACCTACCTACCTATCTACCTAGTTACCTCTAAATATAAACTACAAACAAGTACATATGATGTTTCCACATGTGCAAAGTTAATACTATGACCAGGAGACCTCGTCGTATCTAGTTTAAACAGAAGATTGATGTTTATAATCGTCTGGTTATGTCACAGCTATCTACGAGCGTAATGAAGGTGAAACATGATGCCTTCATTCTTGATGATTCCTATTTTGGTAAAAACCTACCTAGGTAACCACGTAAGTTGGGGCAAAGTAGGGGCACCCGAGCTAAGCTACCTGGCTACCCGGCAATACAACCCGGAGCAGTCACGCCGCGGCTGCATCCACTTAAGGGCCCTTTAGGTAAGATATGGGGTACTTGCCGCAGCAGTGGGACCAACCAGTAATGCGCGTGTTTGCGCTATAGTCCTGATTGGTCAGAGCTTATATCTCTCACACTTGGACCAAATGTTGAGTCAAGGTCCGATGTGTCATGAATCGTACTCCTCTTATCCTTAGATATCCGCAGATAGAAAGGGGGGCTTGATTACTATGACCGGTCACGCCGCCAGCGTTGATTGATTTATTCAACTTTTTAATCTATGGATACCATTTCCTTGAGACACCATATTCTCTTCTTAATCTATTCATAGAATACACAACTAGAGCATCTATATCATTCTTTTGCTTCAAGCAAACTTCGTTATCATCATCATGGCTATTTATAGCGCTGTCCCGCCCCCTCCGGAGTTAACCAACACCAACACGGCGAACAATTCAAACAATTCGAACCAAGAGCAGCACCAGCCACCGAACTCGAATCCAATAACAGCAAGTTCAGCACCAAATGGGCCTGATATTGAAGCATGGACGATATCTGCACTCGAATCCCTTAGTGTATCTTCGATCGCTCGTGGTATTGGTGCCCCGCTATCAATTCCATTAGATGAGCAGGAGTCTACGAGGAAAACATCAGTTACCGTTCAAGATCCTCGCTCCAAATCTACTGCCATTACGCCGCCACCGCGTCCTCTGTCTCGTCGTGACAGTCAGCGCAGACGTGAGGCACTCTTAAAGGGCAAGGAGGGCAGCCGACAGCGGCGGCGTTGGGAAAATGGTACTTGCAATCTATCAGCCCCTCCCTATTCACTCGACTCCATTTTTCTCGGGCGAATAGGGGTACAATAGCAAGACTAATATGATATCCTACCCTTTCCTCAGACCGCCTCATGCATGTACCCAACGCACAGCCTCCACAGCCTTTCGACTGGGAGCCACGCCCGCTACACCCCGTAAACCATGTCCCTTATCAGATCGCAGTCGTCTGGGACAAACGTGTCCGCGCCGAGGTCGAGACGAAAACAGCCATAGCGGCTCGTCGTAAGCAAACGCAGACTAGGACGTTAGGTGACGCCCACGTCGCTGGACGAGTGCCTCGCGAATTGTTCCAACGTGCCAAGAAAACCCCTGCCGTTAAGACCTGGGTTCGCTCGCTCGAGGAACCTGTCCGCCGATACCTCGTCGAACAGGAGCTTGCCAAAGAACCTCTATCCTCAGAAAGTGAGGATACTGAGGATGAGGAGATTGTGTTCGTTGGTCGGGACGGTAATACGCGGGATGGCTGGAAGAAAGCAAAACGAGAAAGCAAGGGTAAGACGGAGGAAGAGGGAATGATATTTGATGCCTTGGGTGATGATACCGATAGTGCATTCAGGTATGGGCCTTTGAAACACGAGTATGCTAATTTAGTCGATATAAACGATACTGACGATTCTAGACGATGGATCACGCATTCCATTTCTGATTATTACGGCCTCAACTCTCGCTCGGTCTTCGTAGGCAACCCAAAGCGCAAGGTGGTATATGTACAAATGAAGACCGGACACTCCCCACCACTGCAACCAGACCTTCCGCGACCCCTCTGGGAGCTATGCTGATGAAGCTCTGCGGCTTCGGAACCATCGTCCATTTCTTCGTTTCATTCTCGTTTGTTGGGTTGCAGGCAGCATAAGTACTGTAGGGTCGTACTCGGCCGAGACAGATATAGACTTGCATAAGCATACTTCCATTATACAGCTACAATACTAATTCCAGCTCAACTCTTACTTCCAGGGGCGTTTTTATTCTACCCGTCTTATATAATCAATGATAATATTGATATTCGCCCAATCATAGCTCAGCCAATCATACAACTAGGATTCAAAGGAACCCAAACTGCTGCCTTACCTAGGTATATAAAGCACTCTTATACCGCTTTTCTCCAACTTCTCTTTTTTTCATCCCTTAGTTACCCTCTCTTTTTAGTCACTATTTTGGCCCATCCCTTACAACTATAATATATTGGTACCTAACCCTAGATATCCAACCCACCCAGACACTTAAGCATGTCTCTCTCAAGCCTGCCTCCCGAGACCCTGTCTTTAGTTCTAGAGTTCCTCGCAGACGAAGACTTGACCTCTCTAATACTTGCCCAACGCGTGTGCAAGCGCTTCCAGGCAATCATAGAACGCATCCTATTCCAGCTACCCTTGAGGAGGGTATGGAACGGAACCAACCCCATCGGTGTCTGTCCTCTCCTCTTGGGCAGATTCAACCACCTGTTCGTGAATGGAAAACGTAAATTTAGTCCTGACGGAGGCTGGAATACTGGGATACCGTTCCGTCGTTTACCATGGGCTGCTAAGCGCCAGGCGGATGGAGCAGCAGTAAAAGCGGTCGTGATGCAGGACTCGCCGTACTTACGCCGCGAGGCAAGCTGGCGTCGTCTAAGCGTAACGTTCGGCGCGGGGCCAAGCGTTAGGTCGGTAGAAGTGGTAAAAGTGCTGACCGTGTACGGCGGCACGAGCATGGAGTACAAGCAGCTCGATATCCCACACCCATTGTCTAAGGTATCCGGGGACGCTGACGAGAACGTGGATGTGGGCGAAGAGGGGATCCTGACTATGGGCCTGCTCTACGACCTGCTAGCGTCGGGCGTAGGCCACATGGGCCAAATAACGACGAGTTGGCAATTCCTACCCGGCCGCCGGCTGGGCAGCTACGACGACTGGCAGAAGCTGCGAACCCAGAACCAATACCCGGATGTCAAGCAGATCAAGAAGATATTTGTTAAAGACCACGAGAGCGCGGTGTTGTTTGTTACGGGACACAGGGGATGCACGATGGGCAAGCGTATGAGAACGAAGAGTTTCGATGATGAGGATAAGGTGTGGGAACCCGAGGTTATTGGCGGCATCCCGATTAAAATAAGGCCAATGCCAGGGACCATCTCCAGATCAGTTTTCAAGGACGTATGAGAGAAGGACATAAATATAAGTCAAAATATCAAGCAACTTACCCCTAGGTACTACCTTTTTTAAATTCTTCAAGGTTCAAGGTCAAATAGGGATATTATAGTTCATATAAGTTAATAAGGGCCACTTTTCCATTTTTGCCGTGTAAGCCTGAAGGCATGGCCAATTTTACCGCTCAGTCTTACTTAAGCCTCGGCCGACCCCCGGACGGCCCCCGGAGACGAGTCGGGCTTTATTCCCGTTAGCGGGTCCGGGGCGAACCGGTCCCTTGAACTTTAAACGGACACGGCGGTCTCATCTAAGAAGTTTAAATCGCGGACGAGAAGCTGAAAGAGCCGGATTGGCCAAATACCACACGCTGGCTGCTTTATCAGCGCAACACGATCGCTTCGGTGATATAACTGTGCCCTCCCAATAGCGAGCACCGAAACTATGAAGCAGCGTAGATTGGGCTTAACAATCAATTGAGTTGGAATTCGATTGCTCCGGAACTCCTTCTGTGCTCCAGCAGGGCCAATAAGCTTCACGAGAGGCGCGGTATTGCTCTGGTGGTATTGTTTCCTTTTCCAGTAACGAGCCTGCTTACGCCCCAATTCTCGCGAGCCGAAGGGGAGCCGAAATACTACGCATAGGTGCATCATATGGTATGATTTTCGAGTGGTCATACCCGCATTATGAATTCGTGCATCGAGAAGTCATCGAGGCCTTAGACTATTGGTTGGTTGGCGTATCAAGTATGTCATAACCCATCAACTATCCGCATTTATCTTCGCGTAGTGCAGCCCGGATCAAGTAGGATTTTCAGGGGTGCTTGGGGTATTCTCAATAATAAGAATATTATAAGCAATTTTAAGCAATTATAATCCGTGCTGCAGAAAAGACAGTGGTGTCAAGTATTATCTGTGAGATGTTAAAAGGCTATTGACATATTGATATGATATCCTGCATGTAATATCTTTTCTTGAAACGGCGAGTTCAACGTGCTTTACGTCCTCATCTACCTACCCAAGGTAGATGGTCAAACTTACGTGTAAGCATCTCATCCCATGAAAGAGATGTATATACCAAGAAGAGGAAGGCCACGTGCCCTCAATAACTCGGAGAATTCTTCATGTATATAATCGCAGAGGGTAACGTCATTGGTAGAAATTGTTGAGTTGCCATTGAGAGTAACATTGAAAGTGCCTAATCTGATTAACTACCGACAGTTTCGGAGATAAAGGTCCCATAGTCTTGACTCTTCGGTCCCGACACATTGCACATCCTACGAAAGGGATTATTAGAGGCGCACGGAATAGGATCGTCTGGCAGCTCACGATCCGGAGCGTAGGACCTATACATACCAAACTATCTAGAGCAAAATGCAGGATCTGATCTCGTACCACACCTGTCAATCCAGTGTATGTTCCACGACACATAGTTAAATCTTGAATTGAAGAGCAATTCGTGTGACATTTGTACGACTTCTTTCTCTTTCTACGGATTTGTTTTTCCGGTATGCAGTTACCGTTGATACTTGGCGCCAGGCCTTGGCCAAGACATGGCTTCTTTTCCCGCACTTGGGTGTGTCCCAAGGTTCGCCCATCATTGCCCCTAGGGTCTACACAGAGCTACCAGCCCTCAGCTCAAGCTGGGCATTGCACACCTATTGATACGGCCTAGTCGTTCGTTGGCTTTAGACCGAAACGGGACACTTGATTCTTACACTTCAATGCTAGCTAGGCAACCTACACGGAATCATAGCAATGTACGGACGCATATAGCACCCATTGTCAGATTGAAGTTGCGTCTAGTATGAGTCCAATGTACGCCGGTTGTATTTAACCCCCTTATATGTATCATCAGCCCGCTTAGGATCCTTCTACCGGGACCGAAAAGGGATATAGCTGCGTTCTTATTTCTCTTACCTACCTGATATATGTATACCTTCCTAGAGGTTGGCAATTCGGTACTTCACGCGGGTCCGAAGTAATATATGCCAAGTAGTCACATTACATATTTAGATATATTCAAAGGTCCAGTTAGACGACCTAAGTTACAAATCTCCTTCGGACTTCGATATAATTTAATAATGTACGGTGCTCCGGACCTCGCGCTCGCGTGTCGATGGATGCCGATGTAACAGCATGAACTTAAAATGCGCCGTCAACATATTCCCCTTTCTGGTACTACGATGTCCGATACATTTCGGTGTCTCTCCAACATGGTCCGAAACCTGCCCTTGGGGTTGGAACTGTGTGCGCCCACAGAAGGGATCAAGACAGACGCCTCTTATATATAGCAAACGTCCACCCTTTGGAGTTGTCTAGACTGTCTTCATTTCTCCAACATCTCATCCTCACAAGCCCTTTTAGAAGCCTACCCTCATACCGTCTTTATAACGACTATACCCTCACTTTATATCAACTAGCCCCAATATTCAACATGCCTAGCGCTACCAACCAAACGAGCAAGTACGATGCTATCCCGGGCCCCCTTGGTCTTGCATCTGCCTCTCTCGAGGGCAAGGTAGCTCTCGTTACCGGTGCTGGTACGTGGTTAACGCCCCTTTTCTCTGTCCGTTCCTCAACACCCATGCCTCAATTCCCAACCAGAGTTTAAATCCCATGCGCACGCCACGAACATAGCATTTAACGGCTAGGAGCATCCGAGATTGGGGCGGGGTGTTGCAACACAACGCCCCGGAACCCCCAACCGATGTCCGGTGGCTGAACCGTCAATCGGCGGGATGGCCCTCCATTAAATCCTTCTCAAATAGGAGATAGTATGCGCAGGATCGGAGCTGACCATGACACACGTATATAGGACGCGGTATTGGTCGGGAGATGGCTCTTGAACTTGGACGCCGCGGCGCCAAGGTCATTGTGAACTACGCCAACAGCACGCAGTCAGCTGAGGAGGTCGTGCAGGCCATCAAGAAGGGTGGCTCCGATGCCGTATCGATTAAGGCCAACGTGTCCGACGTGGACCAAATCGTGCAACTTTTCGACCAAGCCGTCAAGGTCTGGGGTAAGCTCAACATTGTATGCTCCAACAGCGGTGTCGTATCGTTCGGTCATGTCAAGGATGTCACTCCGGAAGAGTTCGACCGTGTATTCACTGTCAACACTCGAGGACAGTTCTTCGTCGCGCGCGAAGCCCACAAGCACCTCGAGGTTGGCGGTCGCCTCATCCTGATGGGCAGCATCACGGGTCAGGCCAAGGGCGTCCCGAAGCACGCCGTTTACTCCGGTAGCAAGGGTGCCATCGAGACTTTCGTCCGCTGCATGGCCGTCGACTTTGGCGACAAGAAGATCACCGTCAACGCCATCGCGCCCGGTGGTATCAAGACCGATATGTACCAAGCTGTATGCCGAGAGTACATCCCTGGTGGTGACAAGCTGAGCGACCCGGAGGTTGACGAGGTAAGCTTACTCCTTTTACAATCCTTCAGCCATCTCCCGGCATGTGTTGAGAGATTACTAATTCAACTCCGCAGTTCGCCGCCACGTGGTCGCCTCTTGGCCGTGTTGGCCTTCCCATCGATATCGCCCGCGTTGTCTGCTTCTTGGCATCCCAAGACGGCGAGTGGGTAAACGGAAAGGTCATCGGTATCGACGGCCATGCCATGATGTAAATAAGATGTTACGGTAGTAATTCCACCGAGGGGGGTTCAATAGATGGGAGGCTACTTTGTTGTCGCATGTCACATACACATATCTCCTTAGCCGGCACTCAACCGCCAACCGCAGATACGTACGGCCTAACGCATCACTACTATGTATCATCGAAGGAAGCTACTGCACGTCCTAGGTGCAAATCTTTCACCGAAAGGCTGGCAGCGGTAAGGCACGGCATGTCTTGTCTTGTCAGGTGGTTATTACATGGTCATAAACATACATACGGTTGGATGGATGTAAGCTAAATGGGATTTCTCAGGAGTACCATATAGAGTGAAAAATACCTATACACTACGGATTGACTAGGTTATCAATGTACAGTTTGACTTCTGTGTTGCTTGTTAAAGTCCTAGTCACCGTTATTTACGTGTGGACATACGGCCTTAAGCTCGACGAGACTACTACGTGATGCGGGTGGCACAGCACTAACGTGAGATGATGCGTCTGCCGTATTGGGTTGGTTGTATGCGGACATACAGCATTTGCGTAGATGAACGACGGAAGAGGCATCCCAAAAAGAGAAGATCATACATAGTAATCATACATAGTAGGCAAGGGTTGTCGTAGATGTAGGTCCATCCCAAAGCCCCTGCTTGTTCGGACGATCTACTATGTATGTGCAAAAGCAAAGACCCCTAAACCTATGCAGATACTTCTTATTTCTACATAGGGGCGTGTTGTCTTGGCTACCTCCTCCCCCAGAAAAGGCGTCAAGATACCTAGCGCACCTCTACTATGTACATATGTAACACCTATCCTGGTAATAGATGTGCCACCTTTTTTGATGGAGGGGCGGAACAGCTTGTAGAAAAGAATCTGATTGGTCAAGGCAAGAATATGCCGACAAAATTGTAGCCTGCAGCCAGCAGCCTGCTGAAGAGTAGCATCATGTGCAATATAGAGAAACTAATAGATAGATAGTATGAGGTAGATATTCCTTGACTGAGTGCGCTTGTTGTATTCGTTGCCACCCGTCCTGTCTACGACTCAACTTTCTCTACCTAAAATACTTTACCTTAGGTTGGTTACCTTGAACCAAAAATCTAGTCTTCCCACTATGTGTTATTCTAGATATATAGGTACGTATTTGTTTTTTGTATTTGGTGAAACGTTTCTCATCACACGTACATGTATAAGAGATTGCGGACACATGGACATAGTACAAGTAGGTAGCAAAGAAGCTTGAAGGAAACTTGTATGTATAGGTGGATAGGTACCTATGCAGAATATTAAAAACAATTCCAAGCAATAAGATGCGAATCGCACGGATGAACATGTTGTACATGCGGTGTTGGGAGCCCTACAGATTAGCAAAAAGTTCCTTGGAGATTCTCAGCCAGCCAAATAGATCCGAACTCCTGGCAAGGTCGGACAGTTGCATGATATGTAAGTTAAAATACCTACCCTAACGGATCCCGAGCGGAACAGAATGAATATAGGTCATATTAACGCGAATAATATACGAGATAGTTACATACCCAGCATGTAGGAGATACCTTATGGAAGAGAGCCGCATCACGGATGATGCAGGAAGTAAAATGTACGTACACGTATGCGGTTAGTTTCCAGCTCCAGGCCCTGTCGACTTGCTGCACGACAAACAAATGATCATAAACAACTATATCGTGGGACCAATCAGATCCATCTACCCTGGCAAATATACATTCAGAGCTTAGCGTTTACTGCAGACCTACACCTACCTATAGGACTCCTTACTGCAGTTTGAACGAAACAGCTTTATCACTATACTATCTAAGGCAGCTAAGAGGCAAGTAGGCTGGCGAATGTAGATTCTAAAATTCCTATACACTTACTCTTAATGCAATGCAGCCTGCTTATTGTCGCCCTACACAAATAGAAACCCGGCGAGTCATCTTGCTATGAGTGTAACGTTTGTCACGAAGTGCGTGGGTGTATGCGCGGCTTTCGGCAGGATTAGATGTTCGAATATAAATACCTACCTACCTACCTTCAACGAACGAGTGTTCATCCCAATCGATCGTGCTACTCGAAAACCTCATCAGAGAGAACATAGATTCTGCACATATCTTCCCAATAACTTATTCTTTCAAACTCTTAACACTACTGCTGCCCATTCTCTACAATATGACTTCCGACCATGTTGACGTAGAAACTCCCAAGACGAACGGCACGCCTACAAACATAACCGTCGGCGAAAAGTGCGAGTTCAAGGCCTACCATGAGACTATCAAACACGGCCAGAGCAAAACGGAGCCTGCCCCGGACCCCTTTGATAGGAGCAACTCTCACGATGAAGATAGGGCTTATGCCTTAGTTATCCGGAGGAAATATGAGGAGCACAAGCCTAGCAAGACTATCTTGCATATTAACTCCCCATATATCCAGAAAGTCTTCCGTGACGTGATCAAGTCATACATCGCTGTTGCGTCGGACTTTACCTCTTCGGTGGAGCTCCATGGCCCGTTCGAGATGCTCGCCCACTACTGGGACGAGCTAGACGAATACCGCAAGTCTACAACTGATGCAATTACGCGGGAGCATTTAGATCTCCTCTTTGAGTTCATGGAACACGAGGTTAAGCCCGATCGTGACCGCGCCCTCAAGATGATACAAAAACAGCAAATCACCTACGATAATGCCTGGTTTATATATCGCCCTGGGGATATCCTATACACCGAAGTAAGCGGCCATCCTTGGCTCCTGGTGTGTAAGAAGACGGCCTACGAATATAGTAAGGATAGCGGTCCTTACCTCGAAGTCCATTGTACCTGCACAGATGATGACGGCGTGGTGGCAGGCCAAATATTGCATGTTGCGGCTTTGAATCAGAGAACTGCATTCCCAGCAGGAAACCCGGTCTCTATTACGGAACTGGAGATATTCCCACGCAGGTTCGTTAAGGAAGGCGGTAGCCTTGAACACCGTCTTAAGGTACGCGGGGAGAAATACTTAGCTCTGAAAAATCTCTCTACTATGGCTTACGGTACGTATGAAGACATTATTTACTCTCTAGTATAGTAAGAAAATATTTAGATTCCAGAATATTACACATACTAATAGTTACATACCTACAGATGGGGCTGCTGAATGGCTCAAGACGCCCCCTTTCGAGTACTACGATCCCTCCCAATGTAAATTTCGCGGCGTATGGCTGCCATTTACTGAAACGGGAAGGATTGTCTTAGATCGGAAGACATACGGCGAGGAGCATCCTCTAGGTAAGCCTCACGTCAAGAAGGTGGTGCCAGAACCGACGTACTGCCCACCATACACTCTGGGCTACTCGCTTGGGCGCAAACAGTGGTGTCGGTTCTTCGTCGACTTCATCCGTGATGTTCAATGGGATGCGAATGCGTGGGACTCCTTAGTGCTTCCCGACAAGGAGAAGAATCTGCTCAGAGCTCTGATATCGTCTCACGCATATTCTAAAAGTCCACGCGATTCTATGCAGCAGAAAGGAAAAGGCCTTGTCATCTTGCTTCACGGGACACCTGGGTCTGGAAAAACCCTCACGGCCGAGACAGCCGCAGAAGGAACTAATAAAGCGCTCGTGTCGACTTCGGTTGGAGAGCTGAGCAAGGGATCAAAGTAAATCTCACCCTCACCCTATACGTTATAGGCTTCTTTTCTAACTTACATCAGTGCACTCTACGGGTCTGCCACCTTTGAAAAGCAGCTCAAGAAAGTGTTGCAATACGCAACGATCTGGCAAGCTGTAGTACTTATCGACGAGGCCGACGTGTTCCTAGAAGCCAGGAAAGACACCGGAACTGCCGAGCGCAACACGTTAGTTGCCGGTAAGCGATTGTTCATCTAAATACCTTTGAAATATATCTAACATTGGCGCTACAGTATTCCTCAGGGAACTCGAATATTTCGGTGGCGTTGTCTTCCTAACTACGAACCGCGTGAGCTCATTCGACATTGCAATGAAATCCAGAATCCACCTCTCCCTCAGCTATACGCCACCAGAGATTGACGTGCGCAGACGTATCTGGTCTCATTGCCTCAAGGCGGTGCCGGCGGACGCCAAGGAGATAGACATCCAAGGAGAGGTCGACTCTTTGGTGGCTGCCAAGCTGAACGGGAGGGAGATTGCTAACGTCGTTAATACCGCGAGGACACTGGCGAGATTCAACGGCGCCCCTCTCAATCGCAGCCACATTGACACTGTGATAGAGATTCAACAAGGATTTGACGAGAGCTTGAAGAAGGAGGAGCTTCATTAGACAGCAAAGTTGACTACTCACCTAACCGTTATGTCTGACCTAGCCAAACCGTTCATTCATTTTAGTATATCATTTATATAGGGATATTTCAACGCCATAAATGCTTAGTATATAGTTAACTCCCATTAAATTTATGCCAATGCATTATTATGTACTCGAAGTAGAAGAAGAAATATTGTATTGGGTGCACAAATGTTTGCTTTCCCCTTTTCTGGTTTTCCCAGATGCGCATCGGGATCCCTGTGTGATGATAGTGTGTGATGATGATAGTTGATTGGGCATTGATTCATCGTCTTAAATGTATTGCTACGCTATATTACGCACTATCGTGGGTTTTGGCCTAGGCTACGAAGGTAGAGGATATGAAGCACACCTTATGTACCCTGGAGCTTTGATTGGGTTCAAGTGAACCCCTCGTCTTACCTAGTAAGTATCGTGAGTAAGCAAGTAAGCTAGATATAATAGAAGGCATGGGTATGGGGTGGTGAATAGTATTTCTCTTTTCCCCCTCAATTTATTGTTCAAATATTCATCAGTGTAGTCTACGATAGCTAACATGAACTTGAACGTAAACCTCACGATGGACTATGTCAAGGCGATCTTATCATGGTCCAATATCCCTGCCCTGCTTGGTTTATGGATCTTGTACTATGCAGCCGTTGCTGTATACAATATATCGCCTCTACATCCTCTCTACCGATTCCCCGGTCCTAAAGTTGCTGCGATGAGCTATTTATACGAGGCCTACTTTGACTGGTGGCTAGTGGGAAGGTATGGTAGAAGAATCCGTCAGATGCATGAGAAGTATGGTAAGCTTCTGTTCTCATTTATCTATTCACGTGGACTAAAGACGGAGCTCATATACAGCAGGGCCAATCGTCAGAATAAATCCCGATGAACTTCACTGCAATGACCCGTATTTCTCAGACGAGATCTACGCCGGTGGAAATCGCATCAGAGATAAGTGGCAGCATCAGCTCAACACCGGTGCAGCCGGCCCCGTGTCAGTTACTGGCTTTTCCACTGTTCCACATGAGTTGCACCGAATCCGAAAAGCTCCATTTGCAAGATTTTTCTCGCGGCAGCAAGTGTTGAAACTCGAAGGGGAAGTACATGACTTTACCCAGCGCACTATAGATAAGATGTTGCGCTTCGCGAATAGGGGTCCGTTTGATGTTAAGGAAGCATATAACTGCTTCACAGCCGATAGTACGTATTATTCATGGCTTTTTATTACCCCTTTTATCCCAGTGTCACAATATCGATAAAGTTCCTGATCAGGGGTAGCACACATAACTGTAGACAAATTTACCCTACAAATAATCAAGAGGATTATATTAACTCTAGGATGTTTTAGTCATATCTCAGTACGCCTTTGGCGAGCCTATGGGCTTCGTTGACCAAGATGGCTGGGAACCCAACTTCGCGACATGGGTCAAGTACTTCTTCAAGAGCGCATACTTGATAAGATACAATACTCCTGTTAGGATACTTGCCCGGTTTTCACCCTTAATATGCAACTTCATGAGTGAGAACGTAAAGAAGATGCTAGAATGGATGAATGTGGTTATCCCCAAATACGTCAAGGCAGCTATCGACAACCCTGAAAATGGAAGGGTGTTTTCAGACCTGATGGAATCGGACATACTACCGGAGCACGAAAAGAGCATGTACCGCCTGTCTGGGGAAGGGTTTAATCTCTTAACAGCTGGAACGGAGACTACGGCTGTCAGTTATTCTTCTAGTACTGACCTATCATGAAACTAATTGAGTTTATAGGCAACACTCACGTATATCACGTATTACCTCCTCGCACAACCAGGGCTTTATGCCCGCTTGATGAACGCCTTGCAGGGTGTTGACCCTTTCAATCTCAAGTGGATCGACTTGGAGCAACGCCCGTACCTATGGGCGGTGGTTCACGAAGCATTGCGTCTGACGCCTGGCGTTTCGCACAGATCGGCTAGAATCGCGCGGACCAAAGATTTGGTCTACAAGAGTAAAGACGGCAATGTCCAATGGGTCATTCCTAGGGGTACACCGATTAGTATGACTTCGGTTATTAACCATAGTAACGAAGAGATATTTCCAAACCCCGACGACTTCATCCCCGAACGTTGGCTCGTGGACGGGCAACCGAACTACGCCTTGGAGAAGATGTTGATTTCTTTTGGAAAAGGCAGTCGGTTATGTCTTGGAATTTAGTATGTCTACCCACGCTCTTAATATCTGAAGTTATATAATGAGTGATGTTAATTGTCACCTTATAGTTTAGCATATTGCGAGCTTTTCCTCATGACGGCTGCTTTAGCATTTCGTGTCTTGCCCAGGGCGCGACTCTACGAAACCACAATCGAGGATATAAAATACGATCATGATCTCATAGTACTCCAAACAGTTAAAGGATCTATAGCGGTACGCATTATGATATCTTAGTGATATATTATGGCTACTATATGTGGTTACCTTGACCTTGAACGGCCCTGGGTGCTGAGAGTGTCATGGTAATTGGTGGCGTCTTCGCAGGCTAAACTTTACGGAAGTTAACCGCAATAGCTCAATAATACATATCAGATATTGATGAATGCTAATGATCCAGTGTTTATCTAATTTTATGTTTTAAATTTCATTTGTAGCCTTGAGCTTTTTCGACAACAACTCCTAGACCGTTAAGTTTTGAAAAATTGAAATCTAGCGAGGTAAATTTCTCTGCGCACGATATGGTCAGTTGGATGTGACCAGTAATAATAGACAGTGGTAATTCGTCTTGCATATTATGATACAGAATATGCAGCCACTTCCAACACCGTTCGGGTTCACGAATCAGCTTGATATTCGGAACCACCTTTGCAGCTCATCCTACTTGGAGCTGAGGGGTAGTTTTCATTCCATAACCGTATTTATGCGCCACCTAATTCAAACATCAAATAAGCTGTGTCCCAACTTAACAGCACCGAACCATACCCCGAGTCCTTTTAGCGCACTGGTTACATTAGCTATAATATCATTCAGTATTTGAAGAATAGAATACTTTTACTGGGTATTTACGAGCCACAATCACGACGAGAAAGTATTACAAGCGCCTACATAGCCCTATATAATTACAATCATACCTAAGAAATAGACTAAGTATGAGAATGCTCCAGGAGAAATGATACACTCTTTATATTGTGTAGTAGCTTATACTTATTTGAGTAGTATTCCTCCGCGTTAGGCATGTTGGATCCTAACAGCTATACTGTTGGATGGATATGTGCTGCCGGAAAAGAGCTTGTCGCGGCACAAGTATTTCTTGATGAAAAGTACGATGTTCCGGATGATGTGCCTGTCAATGACAACAACACTTATACGTTGGGCCGAATAGGAAACCATAAGGTTGTTATAGCGGTGATGCCACATAAACAGCAAGGACTCGTTAGTGCTGCGATCGTTGCCAGAGACATGGTACGTAGTTTTCCTAACGTCCGCCTCGGCCTGATGGTAGGCATTGGCGGGGGTGCACCAAGCTCGAAGTACGATATTCGTCTGGGGGATATTGTTGTAAGCTCTCCCGACAATGATCATGGTGGTATGTTTCAATACGACTATGGGAAAACAATTCGGTACGTATAAAAACATTTCGCGTTGCTGTCTAGAAACTCCCCTTTCTAGTAGTTCCCAAGGTGGCTTCATATACAGTGGCTAACGCTGAGTAGTAAGTGCTATAACCCTATTGCTTTAAACAAGTCGTAACATAATATTCTGCTTCTATACCTATTGGTAAGGCTACAAAGCTAACATGGGATATTCCAATATACTAGAAGGAGAAAGATTCACGGTCATAGGTCATCTGAACCAGCCGCCGCTATTTGTGCTGTCGGCGCTGGCTGTGCTCCAGGCTTATTATACGATTGAAGGCCATACGATCCAAGAGACTATTGACAGTATCATCCAGGAGAAGCCTCAATTACTAGAGGAATACAAACGGCCGAGTATAGCTACCGATAGACTATACAAATCAAACTTTAAACATCAGCACGGAGATGAGGCAAGCTGCGAAATGGGTTGTGGTGATAACGAATCAAACTTGATACCACGAACCGAGCGAGGGGAGTATCAAGACAATCCTGCAATCCACTACGGTCTCATCGCTTCCGCAAACCAATTGATGAAAAACGCATTGATTCGGGACGAGCTCTCAAAAGAGAAGGATGTACTATGCTTTGAGATGGCAGCCGCAGGGGTCATGAATCACTTCCCCTGCTTGGTTATTCGTGGTATATCCAACTACTCAGATACGCACAACAGCTCGGCATGGCAAGGTTACGCAGCGATGGCGGCAGCTGCATACGCGAAGGATCTCCTGAGGAAAGTCGTACCTAATAAAGTCGAAGCTGAGAGGAGGTTAAGTGTAAATTTTTCTGATGGTGATCTAGTGGCCTTATTTGATGCTGCTGTGTGTTCCTGTATGCAAAAGATAGGTCAGTAACGGTTTAATAGTTGAGCACCTAATATTGGCGAGTGTTAAATCAAATGTTACAAGGTTACATGATAAAAATCTCAATGATGTTGAAAGATGAATTTCACCACCCGAGGTTTCAACCAATTTCAATGGCATATGAGGAGGTGAAACTCCTCTCCAGATTGCCTCAGAATGGAATGATGAGAGCACAGCCCTGAATACGTCTGAGGCCTACAAAAAGGCGTATCGGGGTAGATATTAAAATAAATATATGCTTCTCACAAGAGAAACGGTGAGCAATATTATCGAATCATGTCTTGACCAATTCCTTCGCATTATACGATTCTCAACTATAATCTGTATTATCAAGATAACCCCTTCAGCTCTACCATACCTCTCGCATTCACCACCTCCATACTTCTCACTTCCCCGTATCCTGCGGCCACTCATCCAACACGACCGGCTCGCCCTTCAGCGTAAAGTTCCAAGCCGCCTGCGTCGGCACATCCACCAGCAAGCTATAATCACCAGGGTACAACACCAAATTGCCATCCTCGTCGCGGCGCGCTAAGCTCCCGAGCGATAACGTTAGGTTCGCGGTCTGCTGCTCGCCGGCCGCGATGTCGTGCAGCCGCTTGTACGCGACGAGGCGCTTGATGGGGTATGGCCTGGGCCCGTGCGTGCCAGCAATGAAGCCTAGGACGACGAAGTCGGACGTCGTGGCGCCGGTATTAGACACTGTCACGGGGATGGTCTGGAATGGGGCTTGGTCTTTGTGCGCTGTGGTAGCGAGGGCGCTTGTTAGGTCTGCGATGGCCCACACGTCATTTTCGGTTTCGGGCGCGGCTATAGAGGCGCTGAAGTTGGTGTAGTGAAGGCCGAATCCGAAAGGTACCGTTGCCTTGTCATACCACATGTATGTACGGCCGGGATTACCGGTCTTTGGGTCGGGACGAAGACTCATGTCTGTCATAGGTACATCGTTAACGTAATGCGCTGGGTACTGCGTTACAGGTAAACGGCCGGCGGGGGCAACTTTGCCTGTTAACACGTTCAAGATAGCATCGCCACCGGATTGGCCTGGGTAACCGCCCCAGAGAATGGCGGAAACGTTGGGGTGGTTGATGAAGGGTGCATCATCGCGCTGGCCACCCATCTGCACGAGGACAAATGGCTTGCCTAGACTGGCTAGATGGGTCATTATATCGATATTCTCGCCGGACCAGCGGATCAGCGTGCGGTCGTCACCTTCAGATTCGCTCGCTGTCGTTGGTCCATCTACATAGATGATGATATCTGCATCTGCTGCTGCCTCCAGAGCTTGTGGGTAGCCGTTGGTTATCGGGTCACCCGGGACGCCTCCGTATATAGCATTAATATTTGGGGCTTGGCTAGCTGCGTAGTATGGCGAGTGTAGATACTTGGCAACACCTTGATAATTTCCCTGCATATCTGTTGTTGCGTTTGCCCAGGGTCCGATAAAAGCAGCAGTAAGATTGCTCGCCGTAGATATTTGGAGAGGAAGGGTGCCATCATTCTTGATCAGCACAATACCCTTTTCTGCAGCCTTCCGAGCAAGGTTTTCAGCGTCGGGGGTGAACACATCAGAGAAGCTGAGAGAACGGTATTTGTTAGAGTCATCCGGATCGAAGTAGCCTAATTTGATAAGCGACGCGTACAGTCGCGTGACAGATAGGTCGAGGACAGTATCATTAATAAGACCTTGTTCGTAAGCCGCGGGTAAATGTATTTGATAATAGGTGCCGCAGTTGAGATCAGTCCCCGCCAAGAGGGAGCTGGCAGCAGATGCCTCGCGAGTATCCCGCCAATTGTGAGGCTTGTAAACATTTTGAATAGCATCGCAGTCCGAGACAACATATTGATAGTCGCGTGTCCAATTCCAGTGATCCCTAAGGATGTCTTGGAGAATATACGAACTCGCACAAGTTGGAACACCATTTAGAGCATTGTACGAGCACATGATAGAACCGACATTTGCGCGGGCGCAAGCCTCAAACGGGGGCATATAATACTCGGCTAATTCTTGGGGACCGATAATTGCGTCAAATTCATAACGCTCATTCCCTAGCCAATCTTCAATATCATATGCGGAGAAGTGCTATTATACGGCCCGAGTAAGTATCATTCTCACAACTCCTTCGAGATATTTGATGACTTACCTTGCAAGTGGCGATCACTTTGAGGGTGTCAGGGTCCTCTCCTCCTTGGAGACCTTTTATTAGAGCGGTCACGTAAGAGCTCAGATGATAGGGGTCCTCGCCAGGTGTCTCTTGGCCACGCCCCCATCGAGGGTCACGGTATGGGTTGATGTTTGGAGTCTGTATCCTATAAGTTAGCATTTATTATTTAGAAAAAAATTGCACAAGGAGTATTGGCGACGGATTTCACTCCCACCACCTATACGCTTGGAATTGGTGAAACGGGTCGACCAGTGCGTTCAAATAGGGGTAAAGGAGTAACAAGTTGTGAACGTGTCCATACCCAGTAGTCCAATCCCGATCGATTGAAGTTGTTGAATGCCCGAGCTTCAGTGCTGACGACAGTTGCCACGGCTTCGATAAGCTCATCATCAAATGCAGCGCCCATGAGAATTGGCTGCGGGAAGGATGTTGCATAGGAAAAGTTGCCGGAGTCTGAGAATGTGACACCTGGAGAAGACGCCACTCCATGAAGAGCCTCCTCTAAAATAACATCAGTAAGCGCTTTCGCGATAATAACTCTTATTGAAGGAAATAATACGTACGCCACCATTCATAGCTAGGCAGTCCTAGTCTCTCAACTCCGAGCGATGTGCTGACCAACAGACCATACTTCTCCTCGGTTTTGAGGGCCGCAACCAAGGCTTTTGCTCGTTCTCCAACGGAGAGTTCCTTGTTACAAACATCATTGGAAGCTAGAGGTCCGTTTCCGCAGTCTGGGTATATGTGCCCGGCAGCTAAAACCCCCGAGCTCAGAAGCCATATGGCTGACCCTAATAAAAGTGCCATATTTAATTCTTGAAGAACCTCAAGACGCTTTGGAGACTTACACAATGGCTTATAATATTTACCACGTTAGCCTTTATAGCTTTTATAGCTTTAAGCTTCCCCAAAGCTGTGGGGTAGCGTAGCAGCTCGTTTCCTTCCTTTCCCCGCATCAATGATGCATTGATGCTGCAGGGGAGCCTGGATAACTCCAACTCGCACCCACGTACGCTCCAGTTGAGCGGAGGAGAAACTCTGGGGTCAACGGTAAACGATATGAGTGTGCTGATTGAGGCGGGGGACGACATGCCGGGGATGGATCCGTAGATTAATTATTCTCCCGATCTCCAGGTCCAAGCCCACATCCTACTCTAGACTTGTCGTCTGGGAGTAGATACGAATGTAATATTACGTCACTTATTAAGACGGATTTCCGTTAATAGTGATGCCGGCTGCGATTGCGCACCAAAAAACTTGGAAAAGAGAAAACTGACGATTTGAGCTAAGCATATTTTACGAAATCAGATTCTAACTGATCAACGTAATGCAATGTCTTGACTCTGTGGAACGATCAGAATAAAAAAAACACCCCCTGCAGAGGAAAAAGTAGTAGCTCATGCTACACAAGATAGCTACCGAGAGAAGGTCCGAGGAACCGAGGATAGCCAAATTGAAATAGCTCAAGTATTGCCGTGCTAGCAGATACCGAGTCTTGGTATGATTTTTCCGCAAGTTAAGACCCACGATGAAAACAACATAATTTTAGCATATTCCTACCGATATTTAGACTCTATAAGATCGTAACGTTACTCTGGTGGCCATATAGCTCGACAATTCCACAGGTGCAAGCCACGCTACAGTCCCCGATATGCTTCCGCACGCGTCTCCGAATGTCCTTGGGAACGCCGACAAACGGCCTCGATGTAGAGAAGGCCCATATTGATGGCCAGGGTAGGCCCCCAAGAGTGGGAAGCTGCTCAAGGTCTTTCTCTAATTGCTTAATGAAAACTGAGTTGCAGGTCAGTGTGGTGAGACCGCTTGCCCAGCCATAAGAAAAGACGGATCTTCCAGGATTTAACACGCCATCAAGCTTCTTCTTTATTAGTTCAGTAAAGCGGGTCTGGCAGTCATTCTCATTCGTATCGACGATGTCAATGGGGAACTGTAAATTCTCTGGGACTTCGTGAATCGACAGCGACTGCAACTCTTTGACCCGCTGCACTTGAGATTTCTCAGCGTCAGGGCCAAGTATCAAATAGGCGCGTGCCTTTTCAGACTCGGTCGCTAACGTGTTAACAATATGGAAAAAAGTTTCGGCTGCTTCCCGTGTGCACACGAGCTTATGATTACCTATCATGGGATATACCAATGAAAGCATCGACTGCTCGCTTTCTAAATCGGCATGATCGTTGTGTGAATGACTAAACCATGGCTGCTTAGTGACTTTGGTATGAGAAAAGTCAGATGCGAGAGCGACAAGGAGGGAGGTATCAATGTTCAAGACTTCAGTAAAATTGGCTTTTGGACTCGGGGCCATTATGTGAAGGAGACTACCCGAGAGAGGTGGAGCTGGCGGTAAGGCATCGCTACAGAGTGTATTGACGCCCAGCTGTCGACAAGCCTCCAGGACTTTGTCAACTTCAGGATTTTCGCCTTCCTTTATGCGTGGTAGGATGAGGAAAGTACTTGGATTCTTCGTTTGAATGCGATGTCCCTTTGCTGTGTCAGCTAGATTCCTGGCTAGCTTCACGAGAGGGATATCCGTGTAGTCCTGAACTACACCTATGTCACTATCCTCGTCATCGTCGCTATCTCCGCAAAATATTGCTTCCTTTGCTAGGTCAAATAGTAATCTTTTATTAGTCATTGACGAAATTTTATACCACGAATGGCCGCCATCTGCGATTACATCAATGATAAAACTGCCTGACCGGAAGGGCTGTGATTCGCCTTGAGTTCGAACAATACGTGTTCCAGGAGCCAAAATAGGTTTCTTAAATGGACCAGTAGATACAGCGCATCGCAGCCTCACCACATCCTGGGATCGTTTCGCGGTATCCCAGACGGGCTCGAGGAAGGGAAGATTGGTAGATTGCGCTCGGTGTGATGCTAGAGGATCCGATGATTTGACATCCCGGAAGGCCCTCTCCAAGCTCTCAACCTCGGCCCGGAGCTCACTGGTGAATGATGTATGCACATATGTTGGCATATGTTGGAAGTAATCGCTATATACTTCTGTGAGGTGATCCGCGAAAATTTGAAGCTCGGACTGCAGTAACTCGGCGCGTTTGAGCAAACCCTCACTAAGGGCTAGCTTGTCGGCAGCATCCCGCGCGACATCATCGGAAGGATGATGGACTGCCGAAAGGGACATGATTGTAGGTTTCGTCCGGTGAAGAACAAGTAACGCAAGAGAGAAAAGTATTTTGATCCAATCAAGTAGTTAACGGACTGTTAACTAGCATGACACTGAATACGGTTAGACAAGTAATATAGGTATTGTATGTACATAGTTAACTATTAATTTTATAGTTATTAGTTTTAAAGTTGGTCTTTTCTAAAATCTCGTTGGTTACAATATCATTCTATTATCACCACGTGACCCAATAGTAATAACCTACTAACCTACAAGGTTGCCCTCTCAGGGAATCATCTACATACATAGTACTAACAGGGGAAGTTGAGGGGAGAGTGGGGTGACGTGCATTGAGCTTGTAGGGACATTAGGAGGGGGCATTAGAGCATTTAGTTCTCTTTTTGCGTGCTTCACTAAGGTCCTTTAGGGAGTCAGCTATACAGGTACCTACCTAGGTACCTACCCACCTACCTATCCTATCAGCTCCAAGGATCTGCATCCAGGGCAAGTCCAGGGGTCCTTCTTTACCTGTCAATGGCGACAGGTACGTCCACGTACGTAATGGAGGGTGAATGGTAGGACATAATTTTGATATCCCGACTTTTTTACTATATTTACCTGTATGATTTATTTAACTTTTCCCCTTGCCAAATATGTTCAAATCTCTTCGTCTCCCCTTAAAAGGAAAATAATTTTCTATTAGGGAGCTTCAGTCAGCTTCCTCTTTACTCTCTGCTTCGTCAATTGGGCTTATACTTTCAACGGCCAAAGCCAATACCTACCCTCCATAGCTATCAATTATGGCGAGCAAAGAGATGTACGAGGTCACATTTATTCTTACCTACGTATAATAACTGCAATGTGCTAATAAACTATTACAAGTGATGTCGACGTTCTAGTCATTGGTGCAGGTCCTACTGGTTTAGGTGCTGCGAAGCGTCTCCAGCAAACCGTAAAGTCACTTACACCATCATATCGCATAAGCTCGTCCTAACGGGTTAGTTACAGAACCAGGCATCGTGGCTGATTGTTGATTCCAATGAGACCCCAGGTGGTCTCGCATCTACGGACGTAACCCCCGAGGGATTCGTGAGTGCTTGTTGTTTCTACCGTTCGTTGATAGACTGCTTATGAAGTGACCCCCTATGTAGTTGTTCGATGTCGGTGGCCATGTTATCTTCTCGCATTACAAATACTTCGATGACTGTATCGACGAGGCTCTACCCAAAGAGTCTGATTGGTATACCCACCAGGTCAGTGCCTAAAGCCATTAACCCTTATCCACTTAAGAGATAGACCAACCACGCACCAAACCAATGTTCGTCAAGTAGATCTACCAATCTCTGAATATTAAGTGTGAATTATAGAGAGTCAGTTATGTCCGCTTCCGAGGCGGTTGGGTACCATATCCATTCCAGAACAACATTGCCGTCTTAGATAAGGAGGAGAAAGTAAGGTGTCTAGAAGACCTTATCGATGCTGCCCTGGAATCCCGGGTTCGATCCCCCCCCGACAAGCCCAAGAACTTTGATGAGTGGAACATTAGGAACGTAGGGAATCGTCTAAACGAGATCTTTAGTAAGTAGCAGCATGGGGTTGTTCTACCCCTTTTAATTTACGGTGAAATTTCTTATTATATTTACCCAATGTCGTTGATCTAAGTCGTGATCCTAAACTACGAAGTTCTCACCACCCGATATTTAATGAAGGGTTACTGACTTTGCATGTTTAAGTGCGTCCATACAACTTCAGAGTTTGGGCTGTTCCTACCACTAAGGTATACATATATGTCGGTAAACCATTAGATTTTCAGCTAATTTTGCTTTTATCTTTTATTTAGATGAACGCAACATGGGTTGGAGAACGTGTCGCGGCTCCTAACGTGAAACTACTCACCCGCAATGTCATTCTCGACAAGGTAGCTGGAAATTGGGGCCCGAATGCTACATTCCGCTTTCCAGCCAACGGCGGTACAGGTGGCATTTGGATTGCGGTAGCAAAGACCCTCGATGAAAAGAACACACGATTCGGTGCTCACGGCACTGTGACAAAAGTAGATGTCGACGCAAAGAAGGTTCACTTGAAAGATGGTCAGCCCATTATTTTACTCGGGATTTTATTAGAAGCAAGTGGCTAATACTTTAAGGACCATAGGCACGGTAGTCAAGTACAGCTCGCTCATCTCTACCATGGCTGTTGATTATCTTGCCCAGTCTTTAGGCGATGTAAAACTACAGCAAACTCTCAAGCCGCTCTTCTACTCATCTACTAACGTAATTGGCGTCGGAATTCGTGGAGAACGTCCTTCACGCATCGGTGACAAATGCTGGGTGCGTCTTGTGTAACCTCATGCTCCCTAAAGTTTCTTGACAACTAACTAAATGACATCAAAATAGTTGTATTTCGTTGAAGAAAACTGCCCCTTCTACCGCGCCACCATTTTCTCCAATTATTCGCCCTTCAACCAACCGGGCAAGGACGTCAAGCTTCCAACCAAACAACTCGCCAACGGGGAGAAGCCTGCGTCGTCAGATGCACAGCCTGGACCTTACTGGTCTATTATGCTTGAAGTCTCCGAGTCTTCGTACAAACCAGTCAAACACGAGACGTTACTCGAGGACTCCATTCAGGGGCTCATTAACACTAACCTATTAGAACCGGAAGACGAGATTGTTAGCACGTACGTGCGTCGGTTTGACCACGGATACCCCACCCCCAGTTTAGAGCGCAACGGCGTCTTAGCAGAAGCTCTTCCGTACCTCCAGGAGAAGGATATTCTTTCTAGAGGTCGTTTTGGAGCTTGGAAGTACGAGGTTGGCAACCAAGATCACAGGTGAGTCCATCGGCATGTACCCCAAATTATCATGTAGTTACTAATATTTCAATCCAGTTTCATGCAAGGTGTTGAAGCAGTTGACCACATTCTCTCGGGAGGCGTTGAACTGACTTTGAATAATCCTGACTTTGTCAACTCCCGTGCTAACACGGAGCGTCGCCTTACTAGCGGAAAGTAAGGAGTAGCTAGTTTAGGTGCTTCATACACGGCAAGAAGGTAGTCTGGGAAAAGAGGTAACCCCTAAAACATTGCGATAAAGGTGACGCCTTTGGTTTGATTTGATCCTATTTTCCTATCTAGATATATATAGACTAGACCGTTAGAAGACCGGCATCCTCTATATCGCCTAATCTATCGCTGGCGGCTAGATGAGTACACCTCCAAACCTAAGCAAAAGATCCTCCAAAATATAAAGATAGAACATTTCTAACTAGCATTGTCTTCTCGTACGTTGATACTGTCATATGTTCAGACGAAGAAAAGCCGAAGCCTGTTAGCAAGCACACAGCCTCAGTGAGACCGATATACAGTTCGTAGTCGAGTACACGACATAATTCAATTCAGTGTTGGAAAGCCTTTGCCATAGCTGAGTCTAGCGGATTCGTGCGTTCATGCAATCAGAATTGAAGCAACAACCCGCAACTGAATTCCCTCCTAATGATCCGGCATGCATGTTTGCGTGCTGTGGCATCACGGGCACTTGCAGAGAACCTCGGAAGTCCAGAAGATATCCAATATATTACATGAGTCATAAAATTTTACATTGATATTAAGTATGATAGTATTAAATCTGTAGGCCAGAGATAATACCATTGAGTTTGTAGAGTGCGTACCTTTCTGGCCTTGACAAAATCAGGAGTTAGTCACTGGATGATACACATGTACTCCTTGATGGTCTTATGTAGTTCATCTGGAACCTGGGAATTTTCATTATTCGGTGAACATGAGAATTGTGAGTTTTTATAGTTGTTATTGCTTTAACAATCATCCCATCTGACCCTGTCGAGGCTGTTTGCTACTTAAGGCTAATGTTACCTCAAATATGTGGATATTCATGTAAGTCGCCGTATACAACTTACCATCCATCCAATTAGGTATACTTGCTCTTTGCCTTTGCCACCCATTCCCGATGTACAATTATAAATGCAAGTTACCCGCAAAATATCATATTACTTTGAATTATATTAGTACATTCCCAAAATCTTAATAGTTCACCACGGCTATCAAATTAGGAAACTATCCGGAAGGGTCGGGAACATGCCACTTAAAATCATCATCTGCGGCAGTGGCATCGGAGGGCTTTCAGCTGCCGGATACCTCCGTGCCAAGCATCATGTCACGATCCTCGAGCGCGGCACGCTCGACTTTACAGTAAACGACTATGGAATGTCAATCGTCTCCAACGCATTCAATCTCCTGCAAAGAGCTGGCATCAATCCGGGAAATCTTGACATGGTCGTCATGACCCATGTTTGGACGAGAACCCCTAGTAATGAAGAGCTGAAGACTACCCACTTCGACACGAGGGCGAGATTTGGAGGAGCTCCCTCCGTCTTGGTGAAGCGAGCAAAGCTGCAAGGAGAATTGATGCGATTCGCTACTAGTACCGAGTTTGCCGGTGCGCCAGCTGAAGTTATTCAGAATGCGAAGGTAACTAAAGTCGATACCGCCGCAGGGAAAGTATGGACCGAAGATGGAAGACTCTTCGAGGGCGATTTGATCATCGGTGCCGACGGCATCCACTCGGTCGTTCGCAGCGCCATCCTCGGAGATCAAGACATCTCAGCATCCATCAAAACTTACAATACTTTAGCATTTATGACACAGCTATCTGTCGAAGATGTCCGGTCAGACCCTGATTTTGCTTACCTGTCTGACCCCGCAACCCAGGCTGGCCTCGCCAACGCGCACGCGAGCTCGGGTCCTGAAGTGAACAAGCACATCCTCGCCTATCATACCTCGCTGAATTCCCTACAAGTCCTCGGCTACACCTCCGAGAAGGAATTTTCCGAACAGTTCGACTCCGCCAAAACAGCCATCGTCAAAGACGTCCCCGCATCCAGGGTAATCGAGGAATTCGAACCGGAGTTCGGCGAAGGATTTATCAACCTCTTCCGACATAATAAGATTGACGCGTGGAGGATCCGCGACGTAGCCGCCATGGATACCTGGTTCTCCGGCAAAGCGTTGCTAATTGGAGATGCCGCACACGCGGTAACTCCTCTCGCCGGGCAAGGATCCAATATGACCATCGAAGACGCAGAAGCTTTAGGTTATGTTCTTCGGGACGTGGACACGCCCGACGCCATTCCACATATTTTGCAGAAATTTATGTCGTTGCGCAAGGATCGTGTCGATTTAGTTAGGCGCCGCTCACATGAGATAGGGGGCATATGGGAGGAAGGGGACGAGCACAGAAAGCCAATCACCTCAGAGGAATTTGCGCGGAAGATTTATACTTATCAGGGGGTTGAGCAAGCGTTGAGCGGACCGAAGCACCCGGGTATGGGGTAGAAAATACGAACGGGCAGAATCACCAGGGGTTGAACCTCTAAGTCTATCGTCTATTCTAAGTATTTGAAAATGCTTGTTGAAGAATAAGGCTATCTCCTATTCCCATGTGCACTCCTGCACCGTGAAGCCGAAATACGGTAGACTATCAGAATAGACACTACCTATAGGCTCGACTCATATGTCCATTTAAATACATCGAGAACGAGGTAGTTTTACAATTCTGTCCATCGCTAGCCCTATCTTAAGCTACTTGTAAACCGCGTAGTTAGTATTTCAAGTAACATCCTCTGAGGATCCTTGATGTCCTTCCTGGGATATTTTGCAGTCCTACGTGCTTCCTTGGAATGATATGGACTCAATTGTGGAATGTTTACTTTCTTCATAGGTAGGTAGTTATTGATATTATATTTTTAACATAATTACATCAATTTAAAGTTATGGAAACCTCGTCATTATCATCCCCTCCTCCAGCATCCCCTCTCCGACGCCGCAAGTTCCTTCAGCCTCCTCGGCGCCGTTTTCTACATAGCGATAACGCAGCTCTGCCGACTCATACGTCTGAATCAACCAACGCCCCTAATGCTATATCCTCCATCTCCAGCGATAAACCCGCACCATCTTCTTACCCAACGCCAGAGGAAATCGCAACTAATACGTATAACTATTGGCGGCTAAAACGGAGAAACGGCTACAACTTTGCACGGTTTATGGAAGGATGTCTCTTGTCAAAAACATCTAATGGGAGGAACAATGGGAAAAAGTTCGGCGAGCTGGCTCAAGTGCTTAAAAACCCACTTGTACAAGAACGTTTAAAAGCTGCCGGTGTCCTGATACGAATCCAAGGTCAAAGTGACCAAATTAACGACGAAGGTAATGATGAAGGCCAGGATAAAGGCAAGGGGAGCAGCGAATACCACGAGGATGACCCCTATATATCTGAGCTCCGTAAAGAGCTCTCTATTTTGACATCCTAACCTGCTTTTGGTATATTCGATCCTACATTATTCGTTGCGCCGGGTAATGAGCCATGTGCTGTTAAAGACGTTTGTAACATGGAGTGAATTAGCAGCACTCATGAGTCCGCTTGGCCTCAAACATTAGCCACGTCGCCTAAACTTGGTGCGTTTCTGACGGCTACGCTTGCCAACCAACGAGCTAGCCAAAAATCGTATATTGCTGCCAAAACCAACACTACATTTTCAAATGAGGCTAGGGCATATACGATCGTTGAATTGTTATTAAGCGCTTACGCGCCTGATCAAAGTAATTTCCTACCAATGTCTTTAGGTATATACCTTCATAACAGCGGAGTGCAACGGCGAGTGATAGAAACGTTGGCTCGGTTTGGCATATGCGCGGGGTATAAGAGTGTTGTTAGGCAGATATTTCAAACAGCCGATCAAGCGCAAGTACGTGTTGATAGCCCAGGTTCAACTGATACGTCGGATTTAAAAAGGGCAATGGTAAATAAGAAAGTGTAAGAAAGTCTCAGACGGGTTGCCCACGACCCGAGTTATGTTTTTGTATATGATAACTTTAATATTAAGGATAGCATTCGTGAAACGCCTCGTCTGTGACCAAAGCCAACAAGGAACACGATTATCAAGTTACTCTTTTTATCTCGGTCGATAGCAAGCCTAGAAGTGATACAAATCGGTATTATAACCACAGTGATGTCGAATATTACAGCAAATACGCCCAAAGTGATGGTCTGAGGTCCGGTGGATGTGGCACACATAGAGACGAAGGCAGCATTCCAGTGCTCGTTAGGAACGGGTATACAAACAGCCAACATGGATATGAGAGGGGCGATAGAGAAAATAACAACCGCCCCCATGAGCACGTAGGAGGTGTGTCGAAGCCATTTTAGTGAACCGAATGATACCCGAATAAAAAATGCTGGGATGGAAATCTTCACGAAAGCATGAGCGATAATATTCAAGATCTCGCCAACGAAATGAAGCCAAATAATGTTAGATGAGATCTTCAAGTGGTAACTATAAGGGTCCCTGTTTGATATCACTTCGAAGAGTCTAAAGGTAATGGCGCTGACGGGTACGTCCTATGTATGTTTAAACAGCCCAGCCTTCGCTTAAACTAGATTTTACTAGTTAGAGTATTGCGAATAAAAGGATATGGCAATGACAAGAAACATACACATATATAATACAACCCAGTAGGCAATCCCAAAGGCTTCTCCCAGAACAGGTAAACCTTAAAAGGATTATCTCAATGTTAACAGTGGTTTATGTTCCAATTATTTGATAAATTGAGGTCTTAAGCTACTCACAGTCGTCAAGATGCAGCTTTCTGCTGTGTTTAAGCGACATTCCCAGACATATAATGATTAAAATAATGCTAATTAGTATAAACTCAGATCCCGCCGCTAGGACTACCCACTGAAGTGTAGGTCCTCCTTCAAAGTTAGGAGGGTCCCCATTTGAGTTGCTGGCGAGGGAGATACTTGACGAGCCTAATCCTGGCAAAGTCTCAAGAAGACTCATCGCGCCGAGATATTCACATAGCTAGTTATTTAAGATATCACTCCCGAAAGCTCTGGAGGCAGGAAATATGGTTATGTATATGGAAGAAGAAGAAGAAGATATTTTCCTACAGACGCGATGAGGAGAAACTCATCTATGACAACCTCCTATAGGGGTCTGGATAAACGAAACAGACTAGGAGCGCAGATGTAAAGGCATTATAACACCACAAGGGCTTAGAATAGACAGGCAGGTGTGCTGGTGTTGGGGAGTATTCAGCTGCTGCATGTTGTCAGGGCTTCTTATCTCCGAGGTGTTGAATCCTCCCCCTTTTTGGAAAATATTCTTCGAGTACGACATAGCGTTGCGCTGCGATTCTGCGGCGAAGAATGACACTCCAGTTTAAAATGTAGCATTATATTGGATCAAAGCTCCCAAAAATCGATTTTACTTTATATAAAGGTTTCAAATAATTAACGTTATGCTTTCTTTTACCAGATATGCCGCCGTAGGGCAGAACGGGTGACGGAGCATACCGGGCTGACAAAACGGATCTCCTTCATAACTCCACGGGCGTAGACGCGAGGCATCAGAATGTGCGCCGTAGAGGGCGTAAGGGATTGACAATTCATAGAACTATTAAGCTTCTTGGTTGAACGCGTACATTGGAGAAATCTATGAATCGAAGAGAAATGTCCTCCATGTTGACCCCCTATTCCGCTAAACAGAGTCTAGCAAGCCAGTCTATGTAAAGCTATCACACAAATAATAAACCATGACCCTATCAAGAAGACGACACCAAATCTTGGAACCAATCAAGAATCACCTGCCCGCTCAACACAGACGCGCCTAACGAGCAATGCTCCCCCGCCCCATCTATCGACTCAAACACATGGTACGTAGCGAGATCTCCCAGCTTGTCCGCAAGTATCTTCCCCTGCCCCTTGAAGAACATATCGTTCTGCGCGTCGGCCACAAACACAGGGGTGGTAATGTTCTGCACGACCCCATCTAGCCTGTACTTATCAACCTGGGTCGCCCACGCGAACGGGCTCGTCTCCTTGAACGACCAGAGGCCCTGCTCGATGCCCCAGCGCACGGACGTCGGCACGCCAGTCGGCTGCGCCAGCAATGCGAAGATGTTAGCGTCGAAGGCGCTTGAGTTGCCGGCGCGGTACAGCGCTTCCATCTCGGGCCCGAACTCGTCGAAGATAACCTGCCCAAAGGAGTACAGGCCGTCGAAGGCGATGACGGCGGCGAGTCGGTGCTCGAAGGCTGCGGCGCGGGGGGCTAGGTAGCCGCCGAAAGAAAGGCCCAACAGACCGAGTTTCTTGCCGTCGACGTCGCTGCGCGAAATCGCGTAGTCAACCACGGGCGACACGACCTCTTCCCACTCTGGGATGAAGCCGATATTCTGCTGGCGGCGCACAGTAGGTTGTCCGGGCCCCTCGAACGTGATCACGTTGATGCCGCGCTGGAGGGCCGCCTCGCCGATTATATGGTACAATTCCTCCTGCGAGCCGTCGTAGCCGGTGCACATGAGAATCGTCGGGCGGTGGCCCGGCTGGCCGCTGCCGAAGAAGATAGCCGGGATCTGGAAGCCCTTGCCTTGCAGCGTGATGCGCTCGCCGGGGACTGGGAGCAGTGAAATTGCCTTGTCATAAGCCGCGAGCTGTTTGTCCCAGAGCATATTGATCCGGGAGTCGTTCCAGTTGCCATGGAGGAAGAAGTCGGCTGAGCGGTAGTAGGTCGCTTCTCGGAAATATGCGTTCCTCGCCGAAACGGGGTACCGACTGGGGTCGATTGCGCTCGCTTGGTTGTGAACCCGATCGGCAAGACTGTAGAAGGCATTATAGTAGCTTTCGAAATCTCCCGCTATAATGTGGTCTGCGGCAACCAAGACTTCGCCCACATCTGAGCCCTGGTAAGGCGCAAGAGCTAAAGCCCGGAGAATCTCAAAATGGAAGTCCCCATCAGAACTCAGCTGGAGCATAGAACCTGGATCTGAGTCATTGCTCCGTTTGACTGGTTGAGGCATTCGAACATTCTTTCCCACATGTGGAAGCCCCTAATGCTCGTGTGTTAGTTTCAAGAAGATAGCTTCTAGATTCCATTGGGAGTTGTTTATGTACTTACAAAGACCAAACTTGAGTAAGTGAGGAAGAACAACGGTACACCTATGGATTTCATAGCGAAAACTCTTGTCAGTAACTGTTGAATAGAAGACTTGATAAAATTCCTTGTCCGTAGTAGTCGGAAGTAGTTGTTGGTTTCGAGAGCTGGTTGTCTTCATAGGACAAGCACATTGTTATATATACTACATTTTGATTATTAGTATCGTTATAAAATTTTCAGCTTCAACTAGAATCCTTCGATACTCGTCATTGCTGGAGGCGCAGGCATATGCTGTTCATGGAACGAATATTCAGATTGTTTGGTAGATGTAAATATTGACGACGAGATCTTAGTGATGTGAGCGAAAGCGAGAACGAGAACGAGGACGAGAACGATGTGCTAAAATTGCTTGGCGACGGCCCCACGTAATACTACAAGTTTGAATTAATGAGGACGCCCATCAACACTAAAATTCTTTGTTTTCTATAGCTTCCAGTGGCCAGGCGAGCATACCCTGCCACACGTCAGGCAGTACGCCAGCGATTGCGCGGAGCTCATCAGCTCCTATATTGGCAACCCACCAGATGTTCTCAAACCTCGTTAGCAGCGCGAAGTAGTGAGCGAGTATGACCATAGACCTTGGAGATTCTTCCTGAACTAGTTCGACGAATCGTCGTCCCACTAACATAGGAAACATAATTAACATCCTTAAGACGGTACATGACAGCCCTTGCCCGTCTATTAGATCAAGGATAGTACACATGTAAGTAAGTATACGCTGATAGGTAACTTGGATTTCTTCATCCCAAGGCTCGATAGCTCGAATCTCCTCGGGGCGGTCCATCAGATGTTGCCATCTCTGGTAATCCCCTACGCCTGATAGTTTTCCGTTGTTGTGTATATCGCGAGTATCCTTAATTAATTGGAAGATTGGCGACTGGGGATCTGGACCCGTTCGCTTTATTACCTCGACGAATGTTGATGTGGAGGCCTGTATTAAAGCGAGCCATTGCCACGGCGGTGTGTAAGGTTGATAACTTCGACCTTCGAGCTGGAGGAGTGCGACGCCCCTTATCAAACAAGATGTTAAGCAGACCGCATCTGCCGTTTGCTTGTTAACATTTGACAGCTCTCTATTATGTTCCCGAACGGCCATGGAGAAGTATGTATTAGCAGCGTTCTCGGCGCCACCTACGATTTCTTCGCTTTTACCAAGCTTTGCTAGGTGTAGGGCTGAGATGGTGTACATGGAATATAATAAGCCATCGGACTCTAGGGCAAATTTCGGAACCACCCGAGAGAATAAACCACTAGTGTGGTGGTCAATGGCAAGTGTTTCTCCTGTTTCAACAACATATTGATGCATCAACCTCATCTCTATCATTCGCCGCGTGCGACTTTCCGGCGGGTCGCTTTCCTCAAGCCTGTAGGTAGGTAACTGAGCTATGGTCGGCTTCCTTAAGGCTGCTTTTACGGATGCATCGCGATCGTAGATGCAAGGCATGCCGTGTCGCTTGCAGTTATGACAGGTCGGCTTTTCCTCGTTGCACTGAAAACCGCCAAAAGTCTTATTAGTTGAGTTTGTAGTTGAGGCGATCAGCTTACTACCACCTTTACTCTTCTAGCTCGGCAACGCTGACAACCTACGGAGAGTGAGACTGGGAATGTACATAAAATTGGGATCAAGCTGCATACCGAACATGGATTTCTTATGCCCGAGTTTCGGTGCTTTGCGGGGAAGCGGAAGATTGGAACCGGACGCCATGATTGAATCTCTACTGTCGTAAATCTAAACGAAGTGTCGCGATGGAGTAGAGTACCTGAGGAAGACTAACAAGGACGCGAGAACGAGCGCGATCTTTAACCGAGAACGACTTCGCTTCGATATCCTTCGCTAGGGCTGAGCGGTCGGGGGTCCCTGAAAGGAAGATCGTATTGGGTTAAGGTGGCTCAGCTACAGTAGGTCCACCAGCATTACCATCCATCATTAATACCTTGGTAATAATCTATTCATGTCCAATCTCTTGAATCTAAAACCCGCTGCCTAATTCATCCGCGAATGATATGACACCCGGGTTCAACCAATCGCGTTTCGGCGCTTTTGAAGCTGAAAAGGGGACGTCGAGCATAAAGCTGAAATACCTAATATCAATTTTAGCATTGCATTCTGTTCTGGTCCACAATGACGACACGAGACTTTCAACGGCGCGTGTCTATCATTAACTGGACGATTTTGTAGCGGCTTTCTCACTCATAACTATTAGTACAGGTTGATGGATTAAAAATTGAAGAAAAACAAAATACATTCATGCCAATCGAATCTGCGTCGTGCTTCTTGCAAGGTAGTGAGCAATAGCTTCTATCCACAAAGCAAAGTAAACATTCCATAGTCTCGGCATAGACAACGTATTAGTCATGCATGACTGTAACTATTAATAGACCATTCCTTAACCTTCATTCAAACTCAACAATTCATCGTGGCAATTATCAAGCTTGGTTGGCAATCCATTGTAAAGAGACCGCCTTGCCAAATGTCATGAAACAGTGTAAAAATGAAAAACACGGATGCGTATAGACCATCAGGAAGCATCGAATCAATCCCTACGTCAGATGCTGTTTGACAGCGAGAATTCGATCGAGAGCAGCGCCCAATTAAGTTGGCGAATTTGTTTGGATGGCAATTCACCAGATATCCCCTGTAAGCTTCGGTGGATGATTTCGCAGGTTCTCCGCTAAATCGGATGTCCAGCTCACAGCATGCTGGGAGACAGACTCTGATGGTGTCGGGGAGCCTCTGACTTTAACAGTATCTTTCCACTTCCTAAAGGAAGTATTATTCTCTTCACTTCCCGGACCCCAGCCGAAGACTGAATCGGACCTCAGCCTACCCATATAGCGACGACGCGGAGGGGTACGACAACCGCCCTGGCTCTCGAGTTGGGGAGCACCTTTGCTGTTCTGTGTCGGCTGTTCTGCTCTAGTAGAATCTCCCCCGCTACGACGCGGCTCTCGGCGTTGGGAAGCATATCTTGAGTTTTCCGGTTGATAGCTACCCCAGTGGTTATAGTCGGTGGCTTTACCTTGCTTCGCATTAGGGGATTCGCCAACCCACGAGTCCTCCGTGTTGTACTTAGTAAGCTGCTGAACAAAATCCTCGACGATCTCATTGTCGGATTGAACCCCAGAATTTCCAGAGACACGGAGTTGCTCCTCGGCGGCCTCAATAGCTTGCAATTCCTTTGTGCCTTGCAACTTTCCAAGAGGAATAGGCTCTCGCCATTCGTGGGGTAACATCCTACGCTGTGGGATTCTCAAGTTAGTTCATATCGTGACACTTAACCATAGAAGAAGAGAAGGATAAAGATAAACGTACATTTGACCTCCCGTATTCCCCGCTGCGGACAAGAAGTCCGGAGTCGTCAGTTGTGATGAAAAGAGGAGATGCGGCTGAACCGGATACCCTCTTGGTGGGGACGTTGATAAGGTCGACAGGTCTAAGAGAAGTGGGTTCAGGGTTCTCCAACTCCGTATGCTGAATACCGCGAGTCACTGTGTCGTCTGCAAATTTCGTAAGAGTCGGATTAATCGCGGTATCGAAGACTCCGTCAGATACCAGTCTTGCACTACTGGTTGCTGACGATGAGGAACCATGCTGGGAGAAACTATCACCATCCTGGTAAATGGAGTGTTTCAAGCTGTATTCCTTATGGGTTCCGACAACTCTATTCATGGAAGAAGACCCATGACTGAAAGAAGCCCCACGATTGAGACAGATAGCTCCATCATGGACAGATTTGAGACTAGTGGAAGTCTTAGTATCCATGGGCTTTAAAGCGTGATGGGTCGAAGTCGGCTGCTTCTCCTGGGTACCAGTAGCCTCACTCTGGAGGAGACAGACCAAGTTCTGAAGAACCTCTCGATGAAGACCGGTAATAGCCGGATTCGATTCAAGAGACGTGAGGACCTTGACAAGTTAGGATGTATCGAGATTTATGTGCCATGCGAAAATACTTACTACTTCCAAAGCTTGCGCTGCTAACTTATTTCCATTGGCATGCTCAGCATGCTTCTGAAAGTAGCTTGAAAGCATACCTTTCTCCGAATCTCCAAGTTGGACAGCGCTCAATAGGACATCAACAAACTCGAGGACGAGAGAAGCCATATTGGCGGTCTGTAAAATATATCAGCGATCAGTCCTTCGTAATTGACTGTAGAGATATGAGGATGGAAATATTGAATCGCCAAGTATAGGCGGGGTGGGCATCTATGGATGGTATGTACCTTTGGCAGGTAAATGTGTTAGGATGTAAGGTGATTAAAGGAAGAGGTAACAACAGTGGTTGTATTTACAGACCTGTCCAAGTTCGGTGCTTACCTGGTAAAGACCTATAGTTATAAGGCAACGATGACTAAGAAAGACGCCACGGGGGAGGTGCGTGTTGACAATCCAACTCAGGAAGGACCAATGTGAATGCTAAGATGCAATACAAAAAGGTGGTTGAAGGTTAATCCTGAGGCAAGGTTGTGAAACAAATAATAAAGTAGGAAGGAGAAAGTTGGTTGTTGGGGATATTGGAGATGCCAAACTGGAAATGTTAGACTGCCATCTGGCATGGAGATTATCTTGTGCAGTTCAAAAAAATGTACTTCCATATAGGCAGGTAAGTTACATGCACGCAAATGTGATTGGGTAGAGAAATGATTACGGAGGATGCCCCGGGGATGTAGTCCGGAGGTGAGTAGTCCGGAGGTGAGTAGTCCGGAGGTAAGTAGCCCGGACAACAAAATTACCGGTGCTACCCTGTACCGAATGATAACTAACATAGTACGTGTAAGTGCACAACATGAGGTTGCCACCTGCATGCCTTAGGTACCTACCTAACACAACTACATAATACTTTAAGTACTTAAGGTGCATAGGTACCTCTTAATTATACACTACACGATGATTCTTAATATTGCACATCTTAACATGCACCAAGGTAAGTTAAAGTAAAATTGCCTGAAATAAGAGAACAATGGATAAGCTAATTGAGTACCTCCCTAAAAAGCAATCGTCAGCAAAGATATTTTGGCAACCAATTATCCAAAGAAATCCCAGTTAATATGTTTGCGCTTTTCCAATATTGTTGTGCAAGTTCATCTAGTCCCTGGCTGTAGCTCATTGATGCACCCGAACACCACCATCATAGAGCATTGTCTGATCAATACTACAATTAATCTATCATTTGAGATGATGATCGGAGTTTGTGTACTGCTACTGCATGAGAGCCTTATTTCGAGAAGGATTTGATTCCAGCTGCATGTAGGCCTTTCCGGACAATTCCACCATTTTGTCAAAGGATAAGTAGATTACGGGTAGATCTACTAGGATTAGGTATATAAGAGGAGCACAAAACACTCGAAAAGGGATAAAGAGCTATGCGTTAATAATTCAGTTCGACCATCCTGAAATTTACTCTATGTATGACATCAATCAAAGGTATTATTCTAACACATGATTAGACAACAAGTCAACTATAAACCAAATTGGGTAATTATGACTACTTTCAACTGCTTAAGATTTATTTTGTCTACTATAATATGCATAGTCATCTAACATGAGGCTAATTCGAGACTAGCATATCAGATAGTACCTAATATAGTAGGGCAACTTCTATGTTTTATATTAAGTATTTTAAGAGCTTGGCCGTTTATCGTTCCGGTCTATAGAGAATTAATCCGCGAAGATGCTTAAATAAACGATGAAAACACACAACCTTGGCTATTTGCTAGTCTTCATTGTCTAATAAAGATACTTAGTAGTTTCAGTCATCTCTACCTTATACTTAGGTAACCATGACCGGAAGTGGGTGATCAGGTACCTAGATATATCCAGGTGGAATAAGACGTTTATTTTACACCAAAAGCTTGCATAACACAAAGCATACCGCCAGGTTTCCTCTCGTCTTACCATATTCGTCTTGAGTCACTAATATATGACCTTGTACCCGTGTTTCCCCCTTCTATCGCTTGATCTCTGGACCACCGAGACAGCTAGCATAAAGATCTCAAAGTTATATTAGATGTTCAATCTCATTTAGCTGCAAAGTTCTTCGTGCTCCAGCAGAATTCTATTTCTATTTCTTAACGACATTATTAGAGGCCATGAAGACGATTACTTAAGATGTAGATTGGCCAGCTTGGTACCTGTATTAACTTTAAGTACCTAGTAACTATAGCCTTTACATCGTGACATGTCTACATTATTGTACGTCGACCAAATATAAATTTATTGTGGATAGAATTAACCGGTAGCAGCTGGTGAATTCGATGTTGAAATGGCATATTATCTTTTGCTAAGATACCTAGGGCGCTATTACTGCGTCGTTTCTACGTAAAACCAACCAGCAATTTTGCTATCCAGAGGAATTCTAGTTCTTTAAGTTAGCATACTCCTAAGCAAATACTACAATGAAACGATTTTTAAATCAATCTCACCAAACGAGCATGCCCTCGCGCTTGAAGCCATATCTTACACGCCTTATGATATTGATGTGTTCAGATGCTTAACACCATACTTTATACGTCTTTAGACTTACTGGCACTGTATCAGCCAGCCACGCGCTCGGATAGTGCCGCGTCCACTAAATCTAGATGGCTTATCACTATATTTATACTTAGTGATGCCTATTATCCGCCGGATTATCATATTATTCGACCATAAGCTCACGAATAGGAGCGTTCCGCGTTGTGTAACCTGGTGTTTTCCGATGCAAAAAGATGAAGGGAATCTCGTGCGGGGTTATCGATGCCTAATGTGTTTACTCCTTCTGGCCTTCTTAATAGAAATCATTGATTCGGTCCACATACAAATCTTACAACATTCTCTAATTGAATTCATTTCACAGCTTAAACCTCACTTCGGGTAGTTATTCGTGATCCATAATGGAACCTACGATGGGCCAAAAAAACTGGCTTGAGCGCAAGGCTAAAAAGGCCAAAGATCATGTCAAGAGCATCAAGAATTATTTTAGAGGCAAAGAAAAGCCCGAATACTCCCAAGTAGGTGTCTATGAGTATGTGTCTTTGGCAGTGTTTATCTAACTGTAGTGACCACGAAGACATCATCTCGGACGGAAAGCCCAACCCCCGAAATCTCAACCTCCCGGCTCGGTACAACGACGATCCAGTCCGCAAGTCATCCAATCCCGCCCCTCGTAGCCGCAAGACACGCGAATGATGAATCAACTAATTCGCCACGCATATCGTCCGACTATACAATTCGTAGAGATGTAACACCGAGCGAGCCTTCCCGCAGTATAACGGACCCGATAAAACCTAATAACGGTAACCCATCGGATATGTCACAGTCTAGCCCTGCTGTTGACATAGATAGTGAGGTCAGGATAGAAACGCCTACCGACAGCCCGGGTAAAAGTAGTTCCGAAGAGCTTCTAGGCCCGGACCAGCTTTGGGCAGCGGCGTATAAAATGTTTGAGGAAAAGGACCCGAAGCTTTTGGAAGCTTACGATGCATTTTTACTAGAGGAAGGTCATTTAGGACAAGCAAGTGCGTTCATATTGCTGCGTAAAGAGGGTTATATTAACTTAGCTTAGACAGTAACGAGACAAGACCTGGTGATAGAAACTGGCAAGAACAGGTCCAAAAGCTCGCCCAAGAAAAGCTGGATGCGACCCAAAAGCAGAGGCTAGTCTTCCAAGTGCGAGGGGAGGATTTAGTTATTCGCGATCAACTTCAGAAGACGATAGGGTTCATTGTTTCTACCAAAGATGTCGTGGCAGCCGCCATTTCATCAGAACCCTTTGCCGCACTAGGTTGGGCTGGTGTTATGTTCGTTTTTCCTGTAAGTCAAGGCCGACATATGAGTTCCCCAGGCTGTGAACTAAACTAAATATTTCAGTTCTTAAATACGATGCTGCAACAGGACAAATATGCCGTAGAAGGGTTTGAATGCATATTGCCCCTTTTGATCCGCTGCAAACTCATAGCGGACGACTTTTTACAGCCAACTTCTACCAACTCGAAGTAAGAACATCTTCCTATCAAGTATTAAATACGTCCTAATGCTTCCATCTAGCCCCCCGGAAAATTATTATAACGCCGTTCTTTCTCTCCAATCGAAGATTGTAGAATTTTACTACAACGTCTACAAATACCAGATTTCAGTTCTCGCACACTATAGCCTCTCCTCTCTCGGTAGATACTGGGCAGATCTCAAGGTCAAGAATGACTGGAAAGGAACTGCTAACCAGTTTAAGGCCACAGAGGAAGAAATCAGAGGAGATATAGAAGTCCTATCTGCCCATAAAACTAGCATGATAGATGAGAAGCTTCAGGATTTTCTGACTAAGAGTAAACAGCTCTTGGAGAGTTTCAACAGGGCTATAGAGAGCATAAAGGTACGGCCAAATCTCCACTAATATCGTTTTATTGTATACTAATCCTCACTTGTTAGGAAATTGAACAAGCTTCACATCTTGGCCATCTTCCTGTCGCTCATTCTGCAGCGTTTGAATCATCAGAAGCAGGTCGACAATCCTGCATGCCAGGCACTCGGTTAGAGATCTTGAGCCGCCTGCAAAACTGGATCGAGAACTCTACAAAGCCAATTTTATGGCTTCATGGCATGGCTGGCACGGGTAAATCCACTATTGCTCAAACGGTTGCTGAATGTTTGAGTAAGAAGACCTCCTTTAGCAATGACTCACAGCTCCCCAACAACATATCTCTCGGTGCTACTTTCTTCTTCAAGCAAGACGACAGTAATAGGAACCATTCGGGGGTTCTATTCACAACCCTTGCACACCAATTAGCCTATAGGCCTCTCGGCCTAGAAAGTGAGATAGCCGATGCCATTAAGCAGCATGCGAGTCCTAACATAGGTGTGCGAGACATAAAAACACAATGGGAAGAGTTGATCCTGAAACCTCTGAAAACAATTCAAGAATATTCGTCTTCCAAAACACGCCTCGTATTTATCATCGATGCCCTAGATGAGTGCCGGCATAAAGAAACCGGAACCATGAAAAGGAACGTTCAAGACATTGTCCATTCGCTAGGACAGGTTACAAAACTATCTGGGATTCAAGTCCGGGTCCTCATAACTAGTAGGAACGAAACTCACATCTATGCCGCCTTTAAATCACTAAAGGAATCTTATGAAGAATTTGAGCTCCCAAAAGTTATACTGGATAACCTCCGCGATGACATAACAATTTTCCTTAAGAGCAATCTTTATAATAATTGGAAAAATAATGGGGTCAGTTCATACCGGCTTAGTCCACAAGATTTCCGCAAGCTTATTGAAAAAACTGGCGGACTATTTATCTACGCAGCAACTGCATGCAGATTCTTGAGCGTCAATGATCCAGATATAGCAGAGGGGAGGTTACGTAACCTTCTTGAAGGGAACCCCAACAAGGAGTCCCCAGAGTCCAACTTGGACAGCATATACTGTGCAGTCTTAGATTCTTATACCCGAGGCTGGAGCGAAGCTGAAAAGCAAGGAGAGTTTTTACTGAAGGAGATTCTGCGATTAATCGTGACACTATCCAGGCCCTTGCCAATCGATTCGCTGGCCGAGTTTACGATGTCGAAAAAACCGGTATCCAGAATAGAAGAATGTCTACAAAGTATACGTTCTATCGTCGATATCCCAAAGAAGCATGAATTGCCAATAAGCCTAGTACACCTCTCATTCCGCGAATTCCTCTTAGACAAACAGAGATGCGAGAGAACCGGCTTTTTCGTTGAACCATCCACAGTGCATTTCCACTTATTCGAAAGATGTCTCGAAATTATGTCGCAACACCTCCATATGGATATGTGTGACCTTCGAAAACCGGGCATTCTTTCTATCGAAATTCCACCGGATTCGGTACAGAAGTCTATCAAACCACATCTGCAATACGCCTGCAAGTACTGGGTTAATCATCTCCTACAAATCGGGGAAACTCAGCTACCAGAGGACGTATTAGTCGATGATGGGAGAATTCACAAGTTTTTGGAGAAGCACATTCTGAACTGGCTTGAAACACTCACTTTGATCGGAGAGGTTAGAAGCGCTATTCACACAATTAATCATCTAAAGACATTGATCAATGTGAGTAAATAACCCAAATCTCCTATTCATTATGATCTTCATAAATATTAATTATTTCAGACATCAAAAAGCAAAGAACTATCTGACTTCCTCCACGACGCATACCGGTTTACTTCATTTAATATACGCATCATTCAAGAAGCCCCTCTTCAGGTGTATTATTCTCCAGTTTTGTTCAGTCCATCTACCAGTATCATACGGCGTTTATTCTTGAAGCCACTCACTGAGTGGGTTACACACCTTCCCACTGTAGACGCAGCTTGGAGTGGTGAATTACTGGCTATTAGACACGACGCTATTGTTACGTCGGTTGTGATCTCCCCGGATGGCAAAACAATTATCACGCTGTCGGGATATGTGACCCGACTTTGGGAAGCTGCTACAGGCATTGAAGTTGCCAATATTGATTTCTTGCCTGATGACCGGATTCGTGCAATTTCAATTTCATCAGATGGACAAACTATTGCTTTGGGATTGGACCGTGGCACAATTCGATTATACGACGTGCGGACGAGCGAAACCTCAGATCTATTAGGTCATGAGAAATATGTCTCTAGTGTGGCCTTTTCTCTATGGCCTAATAGCAAAATACTGGCCTCGGCATCGTATGAACAGACGTATGTATGGGATGTATCAACACGGAAACCAGTCTTTGCGAAGAAGTTTGCCAATAAATATCCGGAAGTTGCGATTTCGCCTGATGGTAACTTGGTGGCAGCAGTGTATAGTGATTGGGGTAATAAAGACGTGAGAGGCATGCAAGTATGGGATATAAGAACAAAGAAGTTAGCGGCCGAGTTCAATTATTCGGGTGATATCAGATCAATTGCATTCTCCGCCGATGGGGTTACAATAGCGTCAGTAATATCTGGTAGACTAGTTGAGATACACAACACCAAATCATGGCTTACGCCTATCCATATATTACACAAGGAATCCCCAGATTCAGTTGTATTCTCGCCCGATGGGGACATTCTTGCGATCGGCTGCCGTCCCGGGACGATATACCTTTACAATCCGGTTTCAGGAGAAAGAATTCGCAAACTAACCACTTACGATAAATCCTGGGTGTGTGATATGGCGTTCTTTCCTGATGGAAAAACCTTAGCGATGGTATTATTTGACGCCACCGTCAGGTTATGGGACATTACTTTGGACGACGAAGCTAAAGTCTCTCAAGATGAATTCGATGATACAGCGGTTACAATCCCTCGCAATAGTAATATTGCCATGGTGACATCCTACAAAAAGACCACATTATGGGACTTGGACAAGTTCAAAATCAAAATGGAAATACCACACGAGTTACAATGTTCTCCCGACGGCAAATTTGCTGCCTCCTATCTCGAAGAAACCGTCCGGATATGGGATATTGCAACATGCAGTCTGCTTAGGCATTTGGATAACGCTCGAGGCATTTATTTTTCACCCTATGGTGAAATTGCTGCCTTGTTTTCATTTGATGTAATACAAATTCTGGAAATCGGCACCTGGGAAGAGCGCACAAATTTCAAAACCGAAAGTGAGTGTTATCCTAAAGAAGTACAATTTTCGGAAAAAAATAAGATTCTATTATGGACCACGCATGATGGCTCTAGTTCACTTTCATCGATTTATGGACCTGGAGGACGTGTGATCCCGCGCTTACACTTACGTATCCTGGAAATGCACGACTTTTCCTATTCCGTAGAATACAGTTATGATGATTATGAGCAGCCTAGATTGTCGCCAGACGGTACATTGGTGGCCTTCCGTCCAACGGGAAAAGGAAATCATGTCCATTTGCTCCAGATAGACACGCAGGAAGTACGTGCGAGGCTACCATTAAGCGAAAACGACAAATATACAAAACTATTATTCTCGCCAGACAGTACTCGTATAGCCATATCGACCATATTGATGGCCAGATGGATAATTTGGAATAATGAAAGTACGGTTACCTTGTGGGACACAGCTAAAGGTGATCCGGTGCATATTTTACAGGTGGATTATCATGTTACGCCAATTACGATAGCACGAGATGGAAAGATTCTTCTCCGAAAAGGTGTGAAGAATTCTATATTATGGGACACTACAGCAAATGAAGTGACAGAACTCCCTTCCCTTCTACCCGACGATGATTTGTCTTTCACTAAAGATGACAAATGCTTAGCTGGCAAGCGCGGTTGCCTGCCACTCCCATCTACTGCTAAAGATTTCGATTGCCTTTATGTCGGCGATGAATGGGTGTTTCAAGGAGGCGACAGACTTTTGTGGCTTCCTGAATCGTATCGTGCAGAATATCACGAAATAGTAGTACAGGGAGGGACGATCGTTCTGGGGCTTAAACCTGGCTCTGTCAAATTTATCAAAATTGACCTCGAAAACACCCCTCTGGCGAAGCAGCATAAAGGATCTTCGCAGGTCGAGCAGGGGGGCGCTAGAGTCACAGAAGTAGAGTAGCTTTATGGTGCATATGCTTTATTCGTTAAAAAGGGGTAAATATGGAGAATGTCACTTTCATCTATTTGATACAACATTTCATGTGCAGATACTAATATAATACCTATATATGAGCTAGGCTTTTCAATTATCCTTAAGATTCTAGAAGTTTTAAAGTCGTATTAACTTATATTATGGAGAATATTAGTACAAGGGCTTGAATTAACTTCCCTGCCAAAAGAAGATCGTTTAGACTAATATAGAAGAGGGAGTAGCTAACGATCAAGTAAATATCAACATGAAGTCTGTTCTTGTAGAAGCACTAGGAATGATCCATACAGATGGAAATTGATTTTAATTCTTAGCCAACCCAAGGCCATATAACTCCGATACGCCGCGCAATGCACAGAGGATATCGTTCCGAACCTAAAACGCAACCCGTCTCTTGCGTCCCGTGTACTTGGATGTAGCCTTGACAACTTTTCCTTTTCGCTCCATCTGTTCCTTCTTCTTGATAATCCATGCTTTGCTCCCTTTTTTGATCTCACCCTTGCCATTACGACTACCGTGCCTTGAATCTAGCACATCGACGCCCTCCATGCCCTTAATTACCCCAGTGATGTCGCCTCCATTCCCGTCGAGGTTACCACCACCTACTGTGAGCACCAGGTAGACCTTGACGTTCTTGGTCTCCGGATCATCTTCTAATAAGCCAGCACCGAAGCCAGCCCTTACCGCCGCGCTCGTGATCATCTTTTTCTGCTCGTCGTTCTTCGGGTAGAATTGACACACAGCTCGCCCGCCTCTCTTCAAGCTCGCGTATAGACCATTGAAGAACCTCGACAAGCGCCCCGCAGGCGATACGTCACTTCTTTCAGCATTGCATAGCCATTGTATCGCGCTGATGCTGATAGCTGCGTCGAACGTGCCGGCTCGGAAGGGAACCCCTTGCCCAATATCGGCTAGCAATAGATCGCCTTCCACATCCCGCTGTAGCGCGACGTCCAACATAGAAGCCGACACATCCATGCCTACCCATACGTGTGGGCCGCCTTCCTCGGGGGGTATCGAGGAGAGGATCTCGCCCGATAGACCGCTTCCACAGCCGACATCGAGGATGAAAGAGGGCGAGGATAGATCGAGGAGCTCAAGAGCTCGATGTGTCATAGATGCCTGAATATTCTGTATTCGGGAAGACGTTGTGTATTTGCGTGCCTCGGAATCATTGTAGTGGACGTCGGCGGACCTTGATAATCGGGTCAGAGTGACGATATTCTTGTTTGGTGGGGGAGGGGCTGTTTTACGTACAGTGTGTCCTCTGGCCGCGACATGTTGATCTCGGTTTACTGTAGTAATTGGCCACAAAGGAGTACCGTATGCAAAGAAATATTGAAGCTTGACAATTAGGTTGTGCTGGTTCAGAGTTCAGTATCGCGCTACTTTGTATAAAATGTAGGAATAGGATATTGGTTAGGGTCGCATTTTACGAATTGCTTGTGATGCGCCGACGTCGAACTTTTCTGTGGGGCAGACTCTATTCTTATCGTTATCCTTTATCGTTTATCTTTTATCAGGCGAGATATCGTTATGCAAGAGATGGCTTACATCATATGCAGGGATGAGAGGTATATATGTATGTAAGACCATGTCTCTACATACCTAGGTAGGTACCTCAACATGGAAAATCAAATCGCCGTTTCCGTTGTTAGGTACCTAAGGTAAAGAAGGCCACGCTTTCAATTCTTCAGCTCAAACTTTGGTCGCGTCGGTTCGCCCGGGCCAATCCCATAAAGGCCATGATATAGCCTTTCGTAACGTCATCATGTTTGTTTGTCCTTACCTAAGTACCTAGTAACCAACTTCCTTTCCCTCTTTACCGGATAGTTAGTTATACTATGATATTCTCATAGTTGCTACTACGAACAATGTGGATTCTACCTCTCGTTGGGTATCTCGGCTCCATCGTGGGCTTTTGCTTTTTGACGCTGGCTATAGGTATGCTCTTGCTCTTGACATCGTATTCTTCATCACAAAGATATTCCTAGTCTAGCTTCCCAAAATATCTCATATTATCTGATTTTTAACACAAGACTCTTCTCTATAGCTTCCGGCCTCTACTACCTCTCTGAACTAGTCGAGGAACATACCGTCATCGCGAAACGACTTCTAACTAAACTCATCTACTCTATCATCGGACTTCAGCTCATACTCTGGCTTGTCGATGGATTCCCTTTGGGGTTGAGCCTCATGGGGATTGCATCGCATGTTATATACCTCGGAAATATGCGACGCTTCCCATTCGTCAAGTTGACGGACCCTTTGTTCATCGCCTCGTGTGGTATGTTAATGCTCCTGTCGTTCCATTCGTTCCATTCGAGGTCAGGTCGGTTAGATCCGGGGGTGACTAACTATGCGGCAGTGCTGGTACTGGTCAATCATTACTTTTGGTTCCAACATTTCTCCGAGGCGCAGCAGCGGTCATACTCGCGCCTATCGTCTATGTACGACCGGCCGGATGTACCAAGTTTCACTGAGATCGCCTCGTACTTTGGCTTGTGCGTATGGCTCATCCCGTTCGCCTTATTTGTTAGTCTGTCTGCCAGCGATAACGTTTTGCCCACAATCGGTACCGAACAACCCTCGCGCGACGTTGGCGGAAAGAGCAAGCGGCAGGGCATGGTAAAAGTTATTGTTGATAACGTGCTGTCGGCTATCGGAGAAGTTACTCGTTTAGCAGGGTGGAAGAAGCCAGAGGACCGCTTCTGAGACCATAGTAGGGTTACGAATCAAGTAGGTAATAATGTGTACGTAAATTCTTGATCCGTCGAACAGGCAGTAATGGTAAGTGATCTATCAGTACCATACCTATCGGTTGGAAGCTAACGATATCAGGGCATCTCCAACGGAAAATATGCATGCATCCAGTGTAGGCATCTCTACCTTCTCCAATTGAAGATATAGACGTGTCCAGTCCGACTTGTTTCGAGACATTATACTCCAAGTCCTGAGGGATGTCGATCAACTAGTAAGTTGACGTTTATTTCCTCAAAAATATGAGAAAGATATTTTCATGATGACATCTCCAATTTATTATGCTAGATTGTATTTGAGTCACTCGACCTTGATGTGAACGATTGGGTTTACCTGAAAAAAATATTCTTAATCATATTTTTGAAACATCGGAATTTCTGTATTTGGTTGCTAACTTGAATTTCAGGTATATTAGGCCTCGTGATGTATAAATGCGCCGTTGCTATTTGTAACATACATACGAGGACATTGCTGATGTGAGGTTATTGAGTGTAGCAGCAGACGATCGTCGTCTACGCTCCATATTCCCCAGCCCATAGACCACGACATTCAACTCTTCGCCGACTGGGGAGTATTCGTTTAAATACACCGATAAAGCTGATGCCTAGTCCCGGCAAAGGTGATGATATTATCTACAGACACGACTGTATTCAAGATACTGAAAATCTCAAGTACTGTTTATAGATATATTTAATATTACTATAAGCCGTGGAAAGTTAGTAGTATTAAGGAGAATGTGACAAAAAGTCTCCAATACAGGTGAACGTTTCCATCGAAAAACTGGCCTATGAGAGAGATATTTATTCGTTTGCCTATTGCAACCTCAATCTGCCGCTCGCGTTATCCACCATGCACCCTGCTTACTTTGGCCTACTCTATGTACTCAGGGCAGATCCATCTCCCTATTTATCCTTAACCTGAAACTAATGGGTAGGTTATACAGGTTGAGGCTGAGCAAGATGGAAGAAATGCCCATTAATATTCTTCATGTTTCGAACCAACTATGTGTATCACAACAGATCTGAGTTAGATTATTTTTTGCGAACAAATCGAACGAATGGCGTTTAACAGCAAGAATTGATCGGCACTGCTCAGCCATTGGCTCTCTACATTTTTACCAAGAGCGGTAAGTAGGATGATGGGTAATTATGCTGATTCGCAGAGAATCCTAGTCCATTCTGCATCATAGCGGGATCCCCCAGGTTCCCACGAGTTGTCGTTCCTAGTCCCAGTAAAAAGAATCCTGCTGCCGAAGATTTCAGAATACGAAGGAAGTCATCTAACCGTGACTTGTTCATGCTGGGATATACTCCTAAATATTATAAAAAAATCAGAACAAAGCAATGTCAACTCCATATATCCACGCTCTCTTATTCGCTCCGCGCCAGAATGTGTCGAATAATAGGAGCAAATGGCTTCTCAAACGCGTAAAAGAATATCATGTTGTTGGCAGGGAGTTCAACGAGGCTCATTCGACTATTCGGTACGTAACATCGCAGCATGCAATCTTTGGTCTGTAACTGCAAATACTGCCGCAGAAAAGCTGTGTAATGATAAACACTCGAATGGTATACTGCCGGAGGGGCTTGGTCAATGCAAATCTTAATTCAGAGCTGAGCCGTATCATATATGATTTATATATGCCCCTGATTTGAACACTAGTTAAATAATATTAATCGACAACTTGGATGGTTGTTCTATAGCGTCAACATACTCAATGACACGTATGGCATAAATTCTGTTACCAGTTGTCGTCGCCTCTGTAAAGATGAATCTACAATCGCTAGGGCGCCAGACGTGGGCGTTGACGAGGAAGAACCTCCTTATCACCATTCTTCGAAAGTGGCGTTCGACCTTATTCCGATCTCTCCTCTTTCCGATAGTTGTTCTGGTCCTCTTACTTGAAGTTCAGAATTTCTCCAAGGATACTAACGGATATGGAATCGCCAACCCTCGCTCGGTCAGCAGCCTTGCTGATAGCATGGCGAGTAATTCGAAATCACTCGTCTTAGTTCAAGAGCCTGGCCTTGGGGCTGACTTTCAGCCTGTTCTTGAGAAGATTACAGACCCCCTAGACTCGAATAGACTTATTCATCTGGAGGATTCTAACAAGATCGATGCCACTTGTCCGGTAGATTATCATGGGAACTCGCCATGCCATGCGGTAGTAATCTTCAAGGACTCACCTCTCAGCGGGCACGTTAACGCAACATGGAACTATACCATCAGAACAGACCCCAGCCTCAACTACTGGTCTTTCAACGTCTTCGACACGAACAGCGCCGTCGATAAGGTCTACCTACCTCTACAACTAGCTATCGAGAACGCGATGCTCAACTTAACCGAAAGCCCGGACTTCATGCCTTATACTTATCAAACACAAGAGGAAGAGGATGAGCAATCAAGAAGGGGCTTTCTCATCACAGCACTGTATCTCTTGTCTTTTATCTACTACATCACCTTTATCCCGGTTGGACATCACGTTGCGGGTATGATAGCGTCCGAGAGGGAATCTGGAATGTCAGACCTAATCGACGCAATGGGTGGAGGAGTTGCTTGGCCAAGGGTTCTGAGCTATGTTTTCACATTTGATATCCTATACCTTCCTCTATGGATCATAATGGGAGCCTGTAGGTGAACTGTCATCATCTTCGGGTGTCGTCTCTAACGTTGATTAGTATACTGGGCTCTCCTTGTCCCTAGCCAGAACGCGGCCGTTACAATATTCTGGCAAATATTCACGGGGTGGGCAATTACAAGTTCGTCTGTGTTCGGGGCTGCATTTTTCAAGAGATCTGCTTTTGCTAGTCTTTGGGTTTCATTGATCCCCTGGCTACTAGCAATCTGCTGTGCCTTCTCAGAGAACTTAGCAGAACCTGCTCCTCTTAGCCAGGTCGTTACATTGTCTTTCTTCTTTCCTAGCATGAACTACATCTACTTCTTCAACTTCATTGCTAAGGCCGAAATTGCTGGAATCCGCCTCAACATGCAGCAACCAATACCGGACTCGAGCTTAGACATGGGTTCAATTACCGGTCAGGGGTATGGGGTCAATTGGGTCAGTCTCGTCGGCCCTTATTTCCTCTGGGTTATCTTGGTTGTCCAAATCATTGGCTACGCGTTGTTAGCTGTTCTGGTTGAGACGTTCCTACATGGAAACAACCATCATCGTCGAACGTTTCATGACAGCCCAGAAGCAGTCAATTCCCATGTCGCCATCGAGACTATCGACTTGGAGAAACAGTATCGGCCGTCGTGGTTCAAGAAATTATTCTGTTGTGCGCGCACTCCGAAAACCAAAGCCGTTGATGGGTTGAATCTTGTCAGTCAGAAGCGCCAGATTCTTTGTCTGTTAGGTCCTAATGGTTCTGGGAAAACATCAACCCTCGACATGCTAGCTGGATTTCAAGTGCCTACTGGAGGTCAAGTACACATCAATGCTTCGCCATCGCAATTGGGTAAGTTACATTATATAATTGGAACTGGGATCCTTTACTAATTTATATAGGTATTTGCCCGCAGCGTAATGTGTTGTGGGACAACCTGACTGTCTACGAGCATCTGGTCATCTGGAACGCTCTCAAAGGTAACACCGAAGATCCAACGGCCCTCGAAAAGCTGATCGAAAAATGTGACCTTGCGCTCAAGAAGAGCAGTTTCTCAAGAAACTTGAGCGGCGGTATGAAGCGAAAACTCCAATTGGCTTGTATGCTTGTCGGTGGCTCCTCCGTCTGTTTAATGGACGAAGTTACTTCCGGTCTTGACCCCCTGTCTCGTCGTGTTATTTGGAATGTGGTTCTTAGCGAGAGATCCCAGAGAACTATGGTGCTGACTACACATTTCCTTGACGAATGCGAGGTTCTATCAGACCACATAGTAATCATCACGCTGGGGAAGCTTAAGTGCCAAGGAACACCGACTGAGCTGAAGAACCAATACGGCGGAGGCTATCGTGTCCATATTCCAAGGACCGAAGATGTATCAAGCATACCATACCCAGTGACACAGCAACATGATAGGTACATTTGCAGGACACCTGACTCGGCGTCCGCTGCGGGACTTATAGCCTCCTTAAAGAACTCGAGTGATTCAGAGTTATATATCACCGGGCCTACCATCGAAGATGTGTTCCTAAAAGTCTCCGAGGAGCCGCACACACTCATCGGTGAGACACCAGAGGATATCTCAATCGCAGACTCTCAGCCAAGCAGGGTGAAAAGCCCATACGTCGAACCACCTCTATGGGTTACCTACTCGCAGCAATTCTGGGCTCTCTTCCTGAAGAGGATCCAGGTCCTGCGCTCAAACTGGTGGGCCTACCTCTTCGCCCTCGCCATTCCTATCATCGCGACCTACGCCATCGGGACTTTCCTCAAGAACTACGAGGTTCCCGACTGCAGCCGTTTGATTTCGTTTTCACCATATGACAGCCGTATGAGTTACACATATACCAGCGCATTCGTGCTTGGACCTCCATCCGTAAACAATACAGTCGAGGATATAATTAGTGCCACGAGCAACTATCACTACAGCAGCTATGGCGGCGGGCCCTACCTCGTAGATAGCCGGAACGACCTCGAGGACTTCGTCCGTACCAACACCGTGGATATCTCGTATGGGGGCGCGGCATGGATAGGTAATGACACCAAGCCACTTGTCGCCTACTCTGCGATGTCTGGATCTTCGGGCGCTTCTGGCCTATTGAACCTCGTTAACCAGGTCCGCAGTGGGGGGCGTGTAGCAGGCTACCTGTCTACCCTTCGCTCATATCACCAGGCCGAAGGAGGAGAGAGCATGTTCTACGTCACCATATTCTGTCTGCTTCAGGCGCTCTACCCGGCTTTCTTCTCTCTTTACCCGACCTACGAGCGCAGATCTCAAGTCCGAGAACTGCAGTATTCGAATGGTGTCCGGCCGTTCCCTTTGCTATTTTCGTATTGGATGTTCGATTTCGTGTTTGTCCTAGTGATCACCGCAGTATGCACGGCCTTGATCGCCCCTATCGCTCCATGGTTCGGTATAGGTTACATCTGGTTCATACAAGTGCTTTACGGGCTTGCGGCTATCCTTTTCGCGTACCTGATTTCTCTCATGTCCCGCTCGCAGCCAGCGGCGTTTGCTTACTCGATCTTATTCATGACTATCATGTATGTCATCTCGATCGTTGCACTATTAGTAAGATGCCCCTTTTCAATTCTAATGTCAAAGCTGGCTCTACTCTAACCCTAGACCAAGGTCATTCAAATAACGGATAGTGCCAACCAAATGGCAAACGATGGAACCGCCTACGGACTCGGTCTTATCTTCCCTATCCAGAACCTTATGCGAGGCATGGCTGTGAGTTTGAACATGTACATCGTCCGTTGCCGAGGCCAGGACATGGTTACAGACCCGGGCTCATTCTACGCTTTTGGCGGGCCCATCATGCTACTCATCCTGCAAATCGTTGGCCTCTTCAACTTGCTCTTGTGGCTTGAAGGCGGTAGCTTCGCGTGGATCTCAAAGCCTAAGCATCTGCCACCAATTATCGACGACGCAGAGAAGAGCGGTTTCTCGTCAGGACGGCCGGATGTTGACGCCGAGACAGCTCGTGTAGCCGCATCGGAGATGGATCTCCTCCGTGCGCTTCACGTATCCAAGAAATTTGGGCCTAATGTTGCGGTTGACGACGTGTCGCTCGGTCTCCAGGAGGGCGAGATCCTCGCTCTTCTAGGCCCCAACGGCGCTGGAAAGACTACTATGATTAACATGATCCGCGGGGACTTAACACCAAGTAGTGGTCGGATTTACCTCGAGGGTGTTGACGTGCTTAGGAACAAGCGACTAGCTCAGAAGCACCTTGGTGGTAAGCTACCCCTATTCCATCCCCGTATCTTTCTATCAGTACTAACAAGATGAATATCACAGTCTGTCCCCAATTCGACGCCCTGGATCTTCTCACAGTCCGCGAACACTTAACATTCTACGCACGATGCAAAGGCGTCGACGATATAAAGAGTGCCGTATCCTACGTGATGGCCCGCGTGGGCATCACAGCACACGCAAGTAAAATGGCTGCCAAGCTCTCTGGTGGTAACAAGCGCAAACTAAGCCTTGCCATCGCGTTACTTGGCGACCCGCCAGTACTTCTCCTCGACGAGCCCAGCTCGGCCATGGACGCGGCGTCGAAGCGCGTTCTATGGCGCACACTGGCTGCCGTGGCGCCCGGTCGTTCCGTCTTATTAACAACACACTCGATGGAAGAAGCTGATGCTCTCGCCACACGTGCGGCAATTGTGGCGCGTCGGGTCCTGGCCGTCGGCACGACGGAAGCGTTGCGTAAGACGCACAGTAACGAGTACCACGTACACCTGATCCTGCGCAGCGCCCCGCTGTCGACAGCCCAGGAGATGCGTGGCGTAGAAGAGTGGGTGCGCCGCACGTTTGGGAACGCATTGCGCTTCGAGGGAGAGAGCCTGGGTGGCCAGGTTAGGTTCGTAGTCCCGGCTGATAGCAATGTTCCCGAGTCGGCGAGTGAATCATCCGCCGGCGATGATATTGCGCCTGCGGAGGGACGGCACGCAACGCGCAGCTTTACAAGATACCTGATCGAGACGTTAGAGGCTCGCAAGGAGGAGCTAGGTATTGACTGTTATTCTATCTCCGCAGCGACGATGGAGTCAGTGTTTATGAAAGTGGTTAAGGAGAGCGATGTTGCTGAGGATGAAGGACGGCAGCAAAAGCGCTGGTGGCGGTGGTAGGAATCAGGGACCAGTTGCGAATAAGCAACGGCTCGAAGAAAATTCGAGGAATGGGATATAGGACGTAATAGCATATTTATTTTATCATCTGCTTTGCAAATACCTATTCGTAGCGGAAATTTTATAAATGTCTAAGACGTTTAGACGTGGTCGATATAAGTATAAATATTTCACTTTTCGAGGAGAATCCATACGACTTAGGAGACATTTGGATTTAAATTTCTCTCTTTATTCTATCTATCATTTGTATACCAAAGACTCGATCGCCAGATGATGAATCCCTGATAAATGTCGAATTTGCTGTGCCGGGAGCTTCGTATCTTATGACAAATAGGAACTGAGATATTCAACAAGGTTGTAATTGAAGCCTGAATAAACCCGTATATCCACTATTACACAAGGAGAATACAAATAGCTACAGCCACGTTCATTAAGCCATTCCCCCTTAATCTCAGTACATTGCCCAACGTCGAAATAATTTAACCAATAGGCTATTTCTCCTTTAATATTTTCTCCTCATAAGGAGAGAGGGGGGGAGATTTTAAAGTAATATTTCAAAATCTATCATGAAAAGTTCCCCGTTCATAAGAATTGCACATTCTATGTAGCCCATGAGTATATGATCCCTCGATGAGTTCACTCTTTTTCGACTATGGTAAAACAAATACAGTCCCAATGAAAGTAACTGTTCTCTAATGATAACTAGTAGATTCAAACTTGACGTTTTATTTCTATAGACTTCACATTATTCAAAGCCGTACGTATGTCTTTTATAAAGATGCCCTTGCTCCCATACAAACCAATTGTTGTATATTCTCTTGGGCTTCAAAGGCGCAACTAGTAAAGTGCGGATAAGTAGAGTTTCAATAATTTAGGTTACAAACATTTGTATATTTCTCCCCCCCTCCCCCCTAAGCTAGACCAACACTCCTAAGTGCGAGCCTTCTGTGCTTCAGCAGCACCCTCCTCGTCATAAGCCTGGACTTCAATCTCGATGTGCATCGTGTCCATACCGAGCTGTTTGACGCCGATTTCCGTCCATACCGGCTGATGGTTTGGCATCCAGCGCTTGAAGTTCTCGACGATACGGTCGTGTGTGGCTTTAATATCCGTGCTGTATGTAACCACGCGATATACCTGAGACCAGCCCTTACCTCCGGCATGCTTTAACGTGTGGTCGACGTTGTCGAAAGCTTGATCTACTTCTTCTAGGGTATCTTGCTTGAGCGAAATGCTGGTACGATCCCAGCCACCTATTGAATCACGAGTTAGATTTCGAAAATGTCCACGAGGAACGTCAAGGTTTAGGGTTGAGATGAATGTTATATTTACCTTGACCGGAGATAAATATGATATTTCCTACACGGATGGCTTGGCTGTAATGCATCGTCTCACGAGCCCATTCGCCAGCTCCGGGATACGCATATGATGGTAGACCCGACATTGTGATATATAGTTATCGGTAAATATTATTTCAGTAATTATAGATCAGTGATTGCTAGAGCGATGTGTGTCTGGGGTGATTTGGTAAGTCTGAACTATAAACTATATAGAGAATTCAACCTGTAATACTTCCATTTATATATTCCTCCAGCATCCTAGGTTAGATAGGTAATCATTGATAGTTCCTCCGAATGACATCCAGACAAGGCAGTATCTACCAATGCCCCATTGTTAGGAATATAGCTCAAGTGGTAGAGCGAGTCACCCAAGCCGCCAAGTTGGACCGGAAACAAGAAGAAATCCGATCTGATTAATCAACCAAATGAGTAAGATAGGTAGGTACCTAGCTAAGACCAATATAGTGGGGTGTAATTTAAGGGGGAAAGGCGTCAAAAAAGCTGGCGCACCTTTTTTGACGTCCTTCTAGGAGGAGGGGAACTCTTATTGGAAGGATTGGTAAGACCCCGAACTCTGCATAAAAGCTCTATAACTGAAACATGAATGATATAGAATTGACATGTGTATCAGTTGGTTAGTTAAACAATTCGCACACTTCGGTATTGTCAACTTTATTCGAAGCTTGGAAACTAACACACTCTAGCTAGAACAAAGTAGGAATAATTTTAATCACCAGATAGCACAAATCAACAGATTATATAAATCTCTAGGAATGCTCGTGGCGTAGTACAGTGGCGCTTGTTAATATGCTATATGTATCTAGGTAGGTCTTTAGGAGTCTTTACTAAAAGTAGTATATCGTGATCTCATCTCTATCTTGAGTCGTTCTATTCATGGTGGCTTTGTGGAGACTACACATTGACTTCATATAAAGGAAGAATAATATTCTTACCGTGACTAAGCAGTTTGAATACTATAACTATATAAAATATAAAACTCATATCAATATTTCATCCTCAATATATATTTCATCTGCAGTGATAGTGAAGTATTGAATATTGGAGTAAATACCGTATCAACCTCTCGACGTTTGGAATCTGGGTTTTCACGCTGGCCGTGGTCATAGCACGTAATCGAGATCGGTCCCGGAGATGTACATCACAATCTAGTCGTCATTCATTGGTGGGTAACTGCCGACAAATCCACTCCTCTTCAAAAGCTCCGAAGCGTAGTGGCTTCAAAGAGAAGAGATACCGGCGTGTTTACACCACCTCAGCAAACACGACTATTCCAAAAACTTTCGTCTATAAGGAGAGAGATCTCGAGTAAGACACAGGACTGAGATTAAGACATATTTAGTAAAGTCGTTGGGTTTGCGTGGAATATGGCATTGGGAGTTGCGTGTTCGACATGATCCTTAGCTTAGGACGTGGCAAAACTGAGATCATTTACTCCAAACTAGACGACCTTAGCGGTTGTCAATCTACTGGACAGAGTTGAACTTGTCTCCAGTATTGAGGCTGGTGTATCCGTGTAAGCCGAAGTAAGCGGAGAACGCGGCATGATAGGGAATACAATTGGGTTATTCTTGGTTCTTAGTATCGTTCGAGTTTTCAAAGTGATGCCACATTGCAGTCGACATGGTTGATGCTTGGATGCTTGGATGCTTGAATGCTTGGATGCTGTAGACTCTATTAAAGTTTCCTAGACATGAAATTGTGGCCGAGGATATGAGTGGTTGAAAGAAGCCGTGTCTTACATAGGCGCCTGCTGTATCTGTATTGCTATCTGCATCAGGAAGGGAAGTTGAAGGTCTGATAATGAAAGTTTATTAGCAGTGGTAGGTACATACTGTACCTATGTATTGGGCAGGAACGTAAGTGGACCGTGCTTTAAAACTCTCTCGCTTGGCCGGGGTACAGGGGCCAGACATGCTTCTTAGATGCTTCTCAGGTGCAGCTGTATTCCACTTTTTTCTCAACCCAACCCGCAAGATCTACCACCAGTTAGCGGCTGCCAGCTTTCTCACACCGCATTATCAACTATCTTGCAGTGACGCCTTAGATACAATCCATAAGTCCGAGAAGAATAAAACGCATTGGCAGCCCTGATTCTCATTGATCCTCTTGGGTTCCTCTTCTTTACCTCCCCTCAACACCATCTTCCTTCACCCCGTCGGAGATGTGGTCAAGGTTTTTGCGTGTATTGTGGTACCAAGTAGAGCGTTTCACGATACTTGGCACCAGTGGAGTCTCGTTCTAAAAGCAGAACCTTTTCAAAGACCGGGGGGGAATAGTGCAAATCGGCATTACCCCCTGGGCTTTGCCCGCGAGAGATCGTCATTCACTCCGGTGACGATTGACGAGAAAGAAAGAAAAAAAAAATAAACTTGGACATTGTCTTTATTAAAAGACTTCATCCATTTCAACTTTCTTACCTTTGCTTTTTTTTTCTTCTTCTCTCGGTCTCTGGACGACCTTCTTCTTCCTTAGCCCTTGGGAAATACATCTGCTGCCTTCTAAGGCACCAGGGTACTTAGAGGTTGTACATCGCCTAAAGTCTCAGCTGGCCAATTGGTGGTGGAAGAAGATTAGTACGTAAGCTACTAGCTCTGCCCCTTATTTCTAATTTTAAAAATTACTTGTCCAGTTCTAACCTTTAGCCTTTTTGACAGATCTTTCTTCCACCACGGCAACAACGACAATATCAATACCATTTGGAGCATCATTCGCATTCGTTTCGAGTCTAGACCGAAATACCTTGGCTCATCATCCCTCATCTGAATTGATTTCAACGTCTCATTCTAACACTCAATCGCCTTAATCGCCTTATCTGAAGCTGCTCCCTGTGTACCACTTTGTGCCCGACAAAGCATCTCGAAACATTGAATACTATTACGTTTTCTACACGAAACAATGGCTTCTCGTATCCAGATTCCCCTCGACGTCCTGACGTCGCGCCTGAACATTCAGGATCGCTTCGCCGGGTTTCGTAACACTTCTCTCTCTAGTCGGTTCGCCAATATGCGTCCCGTCAGCGAATTCCTCGACTTCAAGCGTTTGTCTAAACCGGAGAACTTCGGCGAGGTCCAATCGCGTGTCAATTACAACTTGGGCACCTTCTCGAGCAATTACCTCCTGGTTATTATCCTCCTCAGCGTTTACGCCTTGATTACGAACCCCCTTCTGCTCTTCGATATTATACTTCTAGGTGGTGGATTGTGGCTCCTTGGCCGACTTAACGGACAGGACCTCACCGTTGGTACCTTCCATGCCACGTCCTCCCAGCTGTATACCGGATTGCTCGTCACCTGTGGTCTTCTATTTCTTATTGCGTCACCTTTCTCCACTGTCCTATGGTTGATTGGTGCAAGTGGCGTGGTCATTTTTGGCCACGCTTCTTTCATGGACAAGCCTATCGATGAGGCTTTTTCCGGGGAGGCGGTCTAGGTGGTCGGCCGCGAGCTCCCAAATCTGCGCCCCAATGGGGAAGACCATCGAGGCGCCCGCGAAGAGGACGGGGAGATGAGGAAGACAACATATGGGGTACTGGGCGCCGCGTTGTGGAAGAGTTAGGTAGCGAGAATGAGATGGATACACAAGGCACTGATTTGGTAACGACTTCTGGTAATAGGCGGTTTGCCAGTGATCCACTTCGGTTTACTGGAATAGATTTGAGCAGCGGTAGCCAGCCACGGAACGGTTATGCTTATCAGCATTCGGACGACGAAAACGACTCAACGGAAGACGACTCGGAGGTGGCATCTGAAGAGGAGGAAGAGGAGGACGATGAGAACCAAGCGCTTAGAAGGGAGCTTGACGAGGCTCTAGTACAGTCAGCCCTTTCAAGGATACGGAGAGCCCAAGCCAAGGGCAAGCCGGATGTTAAGCTGAACAAGGAGGAGCTTGCGGCGCTTGAACGAAGACGAAAACGTTTACAGGCTGAAGCAGAGGCAGCAAAACGACGCGGTAGAGGTGATCGGAAACGCAAGGAAAAGGAGCAGCGATATGCTGTTCCCCTTTCGCAATTCGATGATCCTCAATCAGGTTCAGAGCAAAATCAACTTGCCCCTCCCATGGGACGCTTCCCTCCACCTAACGCCTCACATTCACGTCCTCGTTCGGGCGCATCATCTACATCCTCTACTCGTCGTCCTCAGTCTATAGTGCGAGACTCTCCTCCTTTCGATTATCAATACGTACATGCACCCCCTAATCAACGCCACGCCTCGGATCCCACAGCAAAGCCTTCGTCTTCACGTACAGCCCTTACAGAAACCAGAGATCCCTTCCTGTATCAAACTGCGGGTCCACGTGCATTGTATGCTGATGGGGTTGCGGCCGCTAGACTAGACGCAGCGGGTAGAACTGCTCCTGCAGATAGGAGTAGCTCGAGACATCCCAGAAGGGATGAGAGGAATGGGCGCGAACAGGACGATGAGACAACTAGTGACGATGGAGCCAACGACGGACGGCCTTCAAGAGGAAGGCGTCGAGGCGAAATTGTGATGCAAACATCCCCTTCACCCGAACGTACCAAGAGTAAAAAGTCTTCGCCGCCCATTGCAGCTGCGAAACGGAAAACGGTTGCCCCTAAAAAAAGGAAAGGCAAATAAAGCAAGTAGTCTAGTTATTCTAATAAGTAAAACATGCCCGCGTAATAGAGTATTGATATGCCAAAGAATTCATCAACTTGTTTGAAATTTCCTACAATATTTATCATAGTCTCACTTTCACCTATCATGAAGGCATATTTGGTAAATGACTTTTTAAATTGCGACAAGTATAATTAACACGAGGAGGGTATCGTATCGATTCTTCGAACCATTCTTTTTTTTTTTGGACACCAATCGTAACCCCAACTCTTGCAAAAATAAGGAATGGTATGAAGTGAAGAATCTCTCAAATGTCCTAGAACGCCATCCATAAATTCGTAGTAGGTAAGGGGCACCTGAATTTATCCGCCCCATTCCTCATCATAAGCCATTATATACCGCCTCAAGCCAACCGCCTACCCGAGCCCCCCATTACCTACATGCCTCTTACGCTAAGAAAAGAAGTCTCGAATACTGCCGAAGAACCCACGGCCATGACTCTCGCTATGGTACTCCCGTCGCCGTTCCCATTGATAGTCACCATCGCGGATCCGGTGGACAGAGAGGCTCTCATTGTTGCCGAGACCGCCAGCCATGCGCACGGCCTCGCTCATGAGACCAACGCTGTCCCCCGAGCCGGCGCGGGCCGCAACGCCCAGCATACGCTCAATGGTCGGAGGTAGGCGGAGGCCGAAGCGGGCTAGGAGAGCAGTCAGAGCACCCCCGGTGATCAGAGGCATGATCACCAGCATGAACACCTTGATGGGGTGGCGTTTCGCATAGTATATTAGGTCGCGTAAGAGCCGGCGCAGCTTCTTCACTGTCCGCTGGACGAAAGATGAGCGCGGCTGGCGTTTGTAGTACGAATTGGAGCGGCCTGTTAGGAATGCCCGCTGTTAGTCGCTTATTTGGTATATGTGGCACGTATGACAATAGTATATACTACGTGGTCCAAAGAAAATGTCCGAAAATCCACCATTGTGCTTGCTTACGTGTCATTCAATAGGTGAATGGGCCCGTAGAACAAGAGAACGCACGGAATAGAATATAGGAATATGTGAAAGAAATGGGAGAAGAAACTTACCACCAAGGCTGAAGAAACTTCGGCTGCTGCCATTCCCGAGGTTGAAGAAGGAGCTCCGCGAGCTGTTGTGCTTGTCGTGGTGGCTGCTGTGATGGCTACTGCTGCCACCGAAGATAGATCCCACACCTGAGTGGCGCTTGCTACGGTGCGGACGGGAGGAATGGCCGGTGTGAGATTTTCGTGTCGAGGTCGAGACGACGGACTCGGCGTCCTCGTCCTCCCAGTCAAAGAAACCCATGGTAAAAAAATAGACGTCTCGGGTATATAAATAACAATAAACAATATGCTAATATATAAATTGTATGTATATATATGAAGCTGTCTCACTCAAACTTGCGACATGCAGTTCTGCAGTTCTGCAGTTCGAGTATCACAGATCTAGCTGCCGATGCTTAATCGAGAAAGAGCCGTAAAAGTAAGCTAAGGGATATTTCTCACAGACAGCTGCCGGAGCGGATCTTTTATGAAGATCAAGATCGATTTTATGATCTGACGATCTTCGTGGTTCGATAAGCTATAACGCACCGGCCAGCTTGTGAACAGATTTGAGGTGACTACCCACTTCGGCGGGACACGAAGCTGGAGTAGAAAAGGGAATTATATTTTTTTTACGGCTTGTAGAGGTCCAGACGGAGGGTATCGTGAGTTGGAACTGCGAATGAGAGAGAAGGGATCGACTTCTCACCGACAATTCAAGGGGCTGGGCTGGCTGGGCAAACCCCCTGGACGATCTGCGCTGCCCTAAAACCGCCTAGAACAGATCCTAGGTTAGGGCTAATCTGGATCCGCTCTAGTGGTCTGGTTCCGAAGGTGAGCTTGCGGGTCGGTGGGGAACTCACCATGTACCATGTGCGTTGAACCGTTTAAGGCATCTGCAGTTGGAGTTAGACCGGAGAACCTATGTACATAGGTACCTAATTCAAGAGGAAATGTCAAGCCACAATGCCACGGTGGCTAGAACCTTGGAACTTTTAATCATTGCTCGTTTCGGAAAGTCGCCTTAGCAGGCTGGCAGGTTAAGTTCGCGGCCACATCTATGATGACGTCCCTTATTGGATAGGTACACTTGTACCCAACACCGCCTGACAAGCCTGATTCAAGAGACTATGACTTGGCCTCTTAGCTTCGTCATATCTGCTATATCTGCCATATTGAAGTTTACCTCTAAATAGCTATCAAGATCAATAATTTTACTAATATTGACTTGAAATACTCAAGATGACGGACAGAGCGCCCCCTAACTACTGTACGTCACTAGCTATCTCCTCTAAGCTCTTGCAGCGTCAACCCCACTAACAAAGGGTAAACCACAGACAAGATCCTCGAGATCTCCGAGAGTTCCACTACGCAGCAGATTCGCGATGCCTATAAGCGGTGAGTACACATATACTCGCAAAGTGACATTATGTGCAGTTATTATTTTGCTAACATATCCTCCCCACGACTAGAGCAGCCCTCAAAACCCACCCGGACAGAGTTCCCTCGAACTCGCCTGAGCGCCTGGCCCGCACACGCAAGTTTCAGCTCGTAAATGACGCCTACTACACGCTGTCAGACACCGCACGGCGACGCGAGTACGACGCCCAGCGCACACGGTTCGGTGGCGGGCGCGGCACTTACACGTACGAGGAGGCAGACGACCCAGAGGAATCAGTGCCGCCTGAGACTGGAGGAGGAGGAGGGACAGGAGCTGCGCAGAGCGCATACTCGTGGGCGTGGAACTTCTTCACAGGTGGGAACACCAACTCGCAGCCTCATGCGCGGGAGGCGCGGCAGCAAACCGAAGACGCGCAGTTTGGAGATGTGTTCGAGGAGATGCTGCGCGAGGAGGGGCTCGCGGACCAGGACACCAACAGGCCGACGTCCAAGTTCTGGAGCATACTGGGCGCGGCCAGCGGCAGCGTATTAGGCTTCATATTAGCGAATATGCCGGGCGCGGTTGCGGGCGCGGTGGCGGGGAATAGGCTGGGCGCTGTGAGGGATGCGAAGGGCAAGAGTGTTTATGCTGTTTTCCAGGACCTGCCGCAGGATGATCGGGCGAGGCTGCTAGCTCAGCTTGCCACGAGGGTGTTTAGTCACGCCGTGGGGATTTGACGAGAGTGCCTAGGGTATATTGATTTCAGCTTATGGTGTGTTTCTGCTGCTTTCGAGGCGTAGGCATACGAGGACTACGTCGCTTGGTTTGACTGCATTCTTTTACTAGGAAACATGCGTGGAGTTAAGGTGTGTTTGTTTTAAAGGCAGGCGGATAGAGGTCTAGTAATGAACTATTATTCCTACTGGTATAAAGAAAGTATAAGTTTATGGTGGTTATTATTGTTACAGGCGTGATTAAATTACCCGTACTGTTTTGCTAGAGAAATCATCAGACATGGTGTGGTACAATGGTGTGGTACAATGGTGTTGTACAATGGTGTTGAAACAGGAACTGCACGTCTTGTATATGCATGTATATTTATTTAATGTGCATTATTATCTTCTTATCGAAGCTATGTATTTAGTATCAAGGGTCTTTGGTACCTAAGGTAATAGGCAGTCGCGGGTGAGAAAAGTTACGCAAATATTAGATGGCGCTATTCCACTTCTGGACATTTTCTCCCCTCGTACCTGGCAGGGATTGTTGTTCCTCTCCCCCACTACCATCGCCCGTCTTGCCGTCCCAGCATCATCTTCAAACTTTGGGCCTTCTACTTACTCTTTAACTGCTAGGCTAAGAGATATTTAATAACTTCTACATAATCTTCGCCTGGCAGCCAAAATGGCCAAGCCTATAGAAATCACGTCGGTTGAGCAGTTCAACGGGCTCCTAAAAAGCTCGCGTATTGTGGTGGCAGACTGTAAGTTTAGCTTCCCCCAAGCCTTATTCACCACCACTACCACCACTACCACCCACTTGCCCCGCCATCGCCATCGTCGTTACGACGCGAAGCTGACAAATTATTTCCGCGCGTAGTTTACGCGACCTGGTGCGGGCCGTGTAAGCAAATTGCACCCTTCTACGACCAGTTATCGAAATCTCTTTCACGCCCAAAAGTTGCGACGTTCGTCAAGATCAACACGGAAGCCGAGGGAGCCAAGGCAGTCGCAGCCGAATACCGCGTCACGCATCTGCCTACCTTCATAGTGTTCCGCGATGGGTCCGTTGCTGAGAGGGTCAAAGGCGCCAATCCGAAGGAGCTCCAGACCATCGTTGAGAATTTAAGTCACAACATCGAGCATGCTACCCAGGGTGAGGGTAGCGGTAGTGGTGGCTCGGGAGGTATCGCTTGGAGGGGGGCTGACCTGCCCCGAGGTTACACGGACATTTCAGACACCATTGACGTACGAGGACTAGAACTGCTGAACGCCGATGAAAGCCACTTCTCTGTTCGAACCCTCTTCAATAAAAACAAACCTTCAGCGTTATCCAAGGACAAGGCCGCGGACAGTGAAAAGGACTGGGTAGAAAGCGACACGGATGAGCAGCTGCTTCTCTACACGCCATTCAACTCTGCTGTCAAGCTCCACACAATACAGGTACATGAACTTGTTCTACTACATTTAGCTTAAGTATCGAGATCAAGCTAACATACCTCTCTAGATCACTTCTCTACCGCCCACCGATGATGAGGATGACGACGACGTACCGATGAGGCCCAAGACTCTTAAGCTATTCACGAATCGACCACACAATCTAGGTTTTGACGAAGCTGACGATATCGACCCGACTCAGACTATTGAGATTGGCGAGAGCGACTGGAACTCTAACGGTACCGCGAATTTGGGACTACGGTTTGTCCGGTTCCAAAACATCACTAGCCTCGTTATCTTTGTTGTGGACGGCGACGGCGATAGCGAAAAGGTCCGATTGGACCGAATAAGATTTATTGGCGAGTCTGGCGAGAAAAGGGAAATGGGGAAACTTGAGAAGATCGGCGACGAGCAAGGTGAATAAAGTGCGACAAAAAAAGAAAGGGTGGGTAGGCAAGCACCAATCGCGGCTACGATTACTTATGGCGAATGTGGGCAGCGAATGGAAGGCGATGAATAGAGTCGGAATGCTTTTGAGACCGCATCTATATAGATAGATGGTATCAATCAATCAATAACCGGAATGCTCATTTATGACTTTCCATTCTCGTCTACGGCCACAGAAAACGCTTACAAGGTCCATGATTGGCATACATGTCTGTCCATCTATTTGGTGTCACCACCGAACCACGGCGGAAACCAACCGGTCTACCTACTCCTTGCATTGGCCTTGATTGGATTCTATTGATCTGCAAATCTAGTTGGTTGTCGAGTTTAGTTCTGACCTCATCACCACCTCCACGGATTCGCATATTTCTTCCTCATTACTATTATCAGTGACTTTAAAAACCACGCCACTGCATCGGGTACTGCATTGAGTAAGCAAAGTGAAGGGCTAAATCCCCCCTGGGAAGAGTATTCCCTCAAGATTGCAACAATGTCTATCAAGACGTGATTGTCTTGTCATCTAATGGAAGAAAATTTTACCAACTAGCCTCTCTCGTAAGCTGAGTTAGATGGGCTAAAAAGTGTTCTTTTTTTATAATGTCCAGCATCTTCACTGCGGTTCGACGAAGCGACCAAAGGCTTCAGGTTCGAACCGACTTCAGAAGTAAAGTCGCCGGCTTGCAATTTTAATTTCTCTGTGGCATGACTGACGCTATATATCCATGGGGGTATATTCCACTGAAGGAAGAAGGGATTCGAGCAACACGGGGAGTGTTGTGTCATGCCAGCCGCACGAAGAAGAAAAAGAAGAAAAGGAAATAAAAATTTTGTCGCATCGCGCTCGAGTTTTGATTTGCTCTGCTAGCGTCGACACCAGCTGTGAGTTTGAGTTGCAGGTGTCAGCTAGCTGTCGGTTCTCGCGCTAGAGGGACAACCGAGACGGTAAATATTCGGATATACATTAGGTACATAAATTCATCCGATAAAGTTTTTTGGATTGGAAGTTAGGGAACTTTATTAATTATTCCGAGGTTTCATTGCTTCAAATCCAGCTTTTACATATGTAGACCAGCTTTTAGAGATTTACTCCACCTCCCGTCGCATTGCGCATCATGGAAATTGAAAGCGGATTCAATTCAATGTTCTTGAAACGAACAGAAGGATCAAATCAATCCACCTTTCTCCAACGAATTACTACAAATAATAGTCTTTTCCTAGTCTTTTCCCCATCTAAGGAATCTGGACGCTCTTTCACCAGTCTAGGTATCTAAAAGGACCCAAGGACCCAAGGACCCAAGGACCTAAGGACCCTTGGAACAGCTAGCCCCGGAACGATCATGCTATTTAATATACCCGTCCACTTGGATCCCTTCCATAGGTACCTACTTAACATCCCAGGTCGTTTTTTTACTATCGCCCATCCCGTCTAACGGCGTATCCCCGCAGCCCCCGTCAAGTAGGAAACTTGGAAGTGGGAGGGGCATACGTGTGCACGTTCATCCTGTTCGTCCTGGGAGTAAATTACGGATACCTGTATCAAGACAGATACAAGACAAATACAGTGCTCTCTCTGTGCGCTGTGTACCCCTTCACCGGGACGGATTTCAGGCTTTGGGGGCTGCTAGCTAATAGCTGTAGCCGCTGTAGCTAATGGCATTTCGACCCATTGGCAAGCCTCGTCTACAGCCCTGATTCTACCTATCTGGCGCATCTTGGTCATATATTCTCGTCGTTGAACCCCCAATTCTTCCCCCCCTCCTCATGCAACGTCACGCAGCAGACTATATCCCACCAGCACGGGGCTTTATTAAGTCGTCAGAAGCCGCACACACAGTAGCAGCGCTAGCAACCCCCCTTATGTTCCCCCTAAGCCGACGTCAGCTGCTCTAGCCTCCGTCTTGGATATGATAGCCTGCTGCGTGATATCTGCACGTGTGCCACAGCGGCAGGGTTCCAGCGTAGCACGAAGAATGGCGAACCAGCGTTGGGATAACTGTCTAACGTGGTATACAGCATTAATATCCAACTTAATTGTTCCATTAATAGACCAGTTCCGACCGTCGCATGTCTCGACTCCCTATTCGTCTACCGGCCCACGCATGTAAGCATCTGCTCTCTATCTATCGTCTCAAAACTCGTGGCTATCGTAGTAGTAGTCTTATTAACCCGGCCCATTTCATAGGATTCTCCAGCACGCTTCAGCTTCCCTTTTCAGGACCTGCCTCGCTACGTTGGTTGTACGTCAGCGCCCCGACTCGTAGCTGATATGTATGTATGGTATGTATTATCCGTATTGTGCCATCACCCCCATGTCTCTTTCTGGAAGGTTTCCGCCGCTCAAGTGTCCTCTTAGACGAGTGTTAGCTCATCGCCCTGGGTCTTCGCTCACAAGTCCGTCCCATACCCGCATGACTGGCTTTAAACTATTTGCTCTACCCCCAACCTTTTTCCATCCGAGTAAAGAAGCAAAAAGCTTTGCAAGCCACCCCTTTCCCTTAGCGGCTCCCGCTGTTTCTAATATTCTGGAGACGCCGACCCATGTGATCAAGCATCCTACGCATTTCTAGGTACATATTCCGCCAGTGACCTTAGTTGACTCTTAAATCTCATAAACATCTTACATCACATGTTGGTTCGGCTCCTTCTTGGTTAACCCTGTGAATAAATCTGTTCCTTTTTCTTCCTCTTGGATCTGTCCGCTTTACTGTTCTCTGTCTCTGTCTCCCTCTCTCTCATCGGCGTCAGAAAACGTCTTTGGGTTTTTACATTGGATTCAGTGGCAAAGTTAAAGAGAAGCGCGGCGTAGTAATTAAAGTCGTGGCTTATTACTTGAGGTCTCCCCACGCCAGCTTTTACAATCCACCTGTGGCCAACTTACACGGCGACGTGGATCGTCCACCACTCCTCGTAAAGGCTTGCGAAACCCGATATAGCGTACCTAGCGAGGCATTTAATTTGGTCAAAGGATCTTGGGGCTGAAGAGGAAGCCTCGGTAATCGCTGCTGATAGATTAAACAGCTGAGAGCGCTTCGAGGCTGTGGCTGGCAGGAGTTTACATTGGCTTCTGCCGGTTAGCCACCTTCGTATCGACTTCTACATACATTTTTACGGCATCGGACCGATTAAAGAGTAAGCGGTAGGGCGTGTTATTTAGAAGTTTGGCGCAGGAAAAAAAAAGATATTTAGAACTTGGACATTCTATGCAGCCCGGCCGTTGGTAAAAACAAACACCAGCGCGACGACTCACGATGGCTTCCGAACTTACCTTCCCGCAGTTCGGAAAGCTGCCGTTGGAATTACGGGATATGATATGGGGGTACGCTCTTCCCGAGCCGAGAGTCTTTGAGGTCCTCGATTCTCCGTCATCGGCGCCATCTCAAACCACGCCTTCGGGCCGTTTGATGTTTGCTGACGTCCGTAACGAGCCGCCGCCCTCTATAGCACGAGTCTGCCGCGATGCCCGACAAGCGGTTTTGCGTCGCTACAAACCCATCGCCTTTTCCGGAACAGTCAAGCACCTAGATCTCTGCCGAGACATCATTTTACTTGACTCTTACTTACAGGTGAAGAGACTGCTAAAGGTGATTCGCCTCCTAAGCCAGATTGAGCCTATTCGTCGGAGCGCTACCAGGTTGGCTCTCGGTACATCATGGGGCTTACACACCGGGTTGCACCTACGAATGTTTCATCGAAGCGTCCAAACGAAGCGCAACATGGCCCGGTTTCTCGAGTACATATCTAAGTTTCGCCAGCTTGAGACTATCATCCTCGTCGTTTACCAGCGCTCGGCGTTTGGGCTCCGGGTCAAGTGCTGCGGCCCCGATCGCCCGCGCAGCCTACCCTGGCGCCATTACGATCTGTACGAATCGTATCATTTTAACTTCAACGTTAACTTTAACCTCGACAACTACTGGCTACGCCGGCCGTACCAGAGTAGGCTTGTTAGGTACGACCCGGAGGACGACAGAACGGAGGCAGAAAAGATACAACAGTCTCCCTTACCGAGGCATTCGAAGCAGTGCGTCCACGATCCGCAACCGCGTGGATACCAGGTACACGACCTGAAGGGCACGTTCGAGAGCTGGCTGAAGAAATTCGCTGAGGACGAGACCCTAGGGCCATCGCTGAAGGTACCGGGCTTGGAGACGGCTACTCTGACTTGGATTTACACCGGAGTTCGCAACGAGGGTTTTTATTGAAAGGATTGCAATGGGAGCATACGGAGCGCGGTGCTATTAGGTTGGTTACCTAGGTATGTATATGTGTACCTAATAGACTACATCATTGTCTTTCGGGGACTCGCCAATACGGCCATGGATGGATGGCATGATGCATTGTTCGAATTAAACAGGATTATACATTTTCTGCAATACGATGCTCCTGCTTTTACATTTCGGGGTAACGAAGCAGATAGCAGATGTTAGCATAGACACTAAAATATAGATGCATTCACCCTTTTTATCACTTGGCAGGAAAGAATAGACAGAACTTGGGCCCGCATATGCACAATGGTAATTAAGGAAATGCATTACCATTATTTTTCAAGGCCCCGCCGATCCACAAGACAAGATGCCCGTTTTCGAACAGCTGTAGATTTATCCCGGAGGGGAACGAAGTCCTGCAAGCCACTTACTCCTAGTCACAGACAAATAAGCGAGGCAAAGCAAGGCAAATCATACAAGACCCAGCATGATTACGGTCAACGGCAGTGCTCGACATTGGCTTTTAACAAGTCGGTCAGGCTACACGAGTCCACCCTAGGTTAGGTTAGGTTAGGTTAGGGAGGCATGTGCTCCGCACGCGAACACATAAGAGGTGCCTAGGTATATAGGTAGGTAGGTAGGTAGGTATCTAAGTCAGGCAGGCTAACCCGCTGTCCTGCGCCGCGATACGGCTCCGTGGCCGACCCGGGTTCGATACCGGCGCGGCTGCGGTAGAGGATTTGGTCCACTGGCTTGCATGCATGCTGCGTCAGGTAGGTACGCAGTGCGCGTTCGAGCGACCAGTTGGCCGAAAGTGCGCAGGGTGCGGTTTGGGTGGACTATGCACGCGCGTAGGCATGGTATGTATGTATGTAGGTAGGTAGGTAGGTATGTATGCACTCGCTGCGAGCTCCCGTGGAAACGGGGCTTCGAGTGGGTTGGGCTGGGCTGGGCTGCGTTGAGCCCCTCCTTTTTACGTATGGAGGTAGGTATATACCTATGTATGTATGTATGTAGGTACGCTGGGGTTAAGAATGGGGAGTAGGTAGTTTGAGGTAAGGTGTGGTGTGGTGTGGTGTGGTGTGGTGTGGTGTGGATAGATATACTTATAATATAATATAGTCTTGGGTTTCCTAACTTTACGTTTCATGTAATATATATAGGTATATATATATATATATTAGCGACTTAGACGTAGCTGCAGCATTAATCTGTATAATATATAATATAATATGTATTATATATGAGTGTGGGATATTTAAATAGGTATCTGCTAGGGGGTCTGTGTGTTGTTCGGTGGGGCGAGGGAGTGCGTCTGCTTTACATATGTGATATAAACAGGTAAATAGGCTTGTCTGATGATATGATATGTCGTGTTAAGACAGATCAGTCAGAGCTGCAAGGCCGAATACTGCGCAGAGAGGAGCTTAATATTGCCTTGCATGAACGTATACCCCATATTATACTTACATCTCTATAATCCGCACGCCCCATATAAAGATAATAGTTAACTATGGCAAATGAGTTGTCAAGTTCTTATAACTAAGCTAGGTTAAGGAGTATGTTATGTCTTGTGAAAATTACATAATGGGAATACGAGTTAATATATACATAGAGGTATTACTATGAGAGAAAGGTCAAATTTAGTATAGCGCTCGCATATTCAAAATTGGATAGCGGAAATATGTATGCTACCTACTTCATAAGCTCTAACCTAGCCGGCGTCTCACTGTATGTTAAACTGCGACATCTCAGACTCAAGAGACTTTTAATAGAGTTAGCTGATGCTGATATTAATGTTAATATATCTGAACCAAATCAACTGAAAAGAAGCAACTTGGAGCTTTTATATATAATTCCTCAACTAGGCTTCGGTTCTACAACGCTTTTTATACTATAAGTTCGTGTAGGTATGCATGTTGAAGTGAAGCGCATACGGTATAGCCAACTCACCCCCTTTTCCACCATCCAACTCCATACCTTGGATGATCCGCTGGCAACATATACACGAAGCCACACATAACAACAACAACAACAACAAAAATCAACAGGGACTATTCTTCCCACACATACCCCTGCTCCACAGCCGGCCCAATCTGGCTCCTCAGCGCAAACCCATAGTCCCCCGCATTCGGCGTCCGTAGCAAGGTATGGATATGGAACTTGGCCGGCTCGGCATTATTCAAGAATACGCCAGAGTGGTGGTCGAACTCGACTAGCACGACCGGGCTCTGGATGCGGTAGTAGAACGGGTCCGCGTCGCCAGACCCCCCGATCCACGAGAAATACGTCTCGCCGAAGCGCTCTGCGCAATCCTGTATCTTCAGCTCGCGGGATCGAGGGGGTAGGTATAGAAGGTACTGGAATAGAATCCCGCGCACGAGGTCCTGCTGCGCGGACGACAGTGTTCCCACGATTATCCCCTCGTACGGCACCACGCGATTGTCGCGATACGCACCGCACAGATGTCGCTGGTCGTCGTGGTTCCAGCGCCCGCGCGGCATTTTCGGATCCTTCATGAGCTCGTACACCGTAGCCCGGCGCCTGTCGTCCGGGCCCAAGCTCTGCATCAGTTCCAAGCCCAGCCGCTCCTCCTCATGCAGTATGCGCGTGCCTTCAAACGGCCCGGCGTCGATGACATTGGGCTCCGCGCCCATGAACCACGGGGACACCACGATCTGCGTCTTGTACAGGAACACGCTGAGACACAGGTGATGTCCGTAGAACGAGAAGCCCCAAGGCCGATCGGTCGCCGGCGCCCCGAACAGCACGAAGTTGTAGCTGTGCTCGTTCATGACCTTGGGCGCGTTAACCAGCTCGCCTAGGAAGTGGTTGATGCGCATGGCCGCGCGCGCTTTCTCGTAGCCCTCGGGGCTGAGAGTGGTCTTCAGAAGAGCGAAGACGGATTTGCGCAGCGAAGGGGTGATTTCGTCGAGACGAATCCCCTTGTCGCTGAGGAGGAACTCGGGGTTCGACCATGATCGCCACTCGGGCGAGTCGATGTGCAGGAGCGTGCGAGCGGTCTGCTCGGGGCTCAGCTGCGAGATTATGGCGTCAGCATTGGCGGCGATGGCGCTGATGGGCACGCCTTCGTCGCGGAGCTGGAAAAGGTTGGGTTGGACGGTGCCTGGTGGTTGTTAGTCTTGTAAGTTATGTTCCATTTTGCTAACTGATTATACTCATTTACCCCTTTTCAACGCCTACAAAATATCCAACCCATTTTCCTCACTCTCAATTACACGTGTTCAGGGAGACTGAGATGAAAAGTAACGGGAAATACATACCATCGCTAGTCACACCTTTGAAGGGCTCTTGAAACAATTTCCGCCAGTGCACGTAAAGTCCATACAGCCATGGCGGCCGGTGATGCTCTAGCAGTTCCTGCGCATGGCCATATGCGTCATTCTCTGCGATAGCCTGGAACCGTGGAGTGTTTAAGTCTGGTAGATACTGCCGGAAGCTCTCGTGCTGGGCGTCTTGCGTCGTCTGGGACGCCATCTTCAATGTGCTCGTAAACAGTAACTCCTTGGTGAAGAGCTTTGAGTGATCCGGACTGTATTTATAGATGCCGTCGATCTTGTCGCTCACCTACTGTGAGGGGAGTTATTAGTGTCGAGCTGAGGGTAGTTTTTGTCATATATGCTTGGTCGCCTCTCTGCTTTGACTTTATAATCCCCCTTTATTCACGAGATGATTTCGAAATTACATCTGAGAATATCATAAAATATCTCTAGCTTCTCGATTATAAACAAAAAGGATAATCAGGTCCTCGGGGCTGCCCGCTACTAGCTAACCTAGATAAGTCGAACGGTTCATCGGTTCTTCTTGGTGGATCCTACGCGGGGAAATATATCGGCTCTTCTACAGAGCAGCGTCCATGGTTTGCCGGCGTCGCCATCTAGGTTACCTATGTAGGTATTCTCTAGCGTCGCCAGCCATATCATTCCTTAGCCTTAGCTACCTATACACAGGCTACCATTACTTATGTTTGTTAAAGTGGTGAATTCCGCTAGAGCGGTCATCTCTCGTCTTTTCGTCTCGTTATTATCTACTAGTACCCCCCTGGTTCATACAGATACAAGGTTCTAATTGCTCTTTTTCATGGCATCCCCAACTCCAACACGTAATAAGCCTATCATACCAACGCGATGCAAAGTCCTTACAGTATGCCGCCTAACCCTTGTTCACCCCGTGCAAAAACACCAATATATGCAACGTATAAAACCTGTCTCCATGACTATTTTCCAGTATTCATCGCCTACTTTATTGTCTCTACAACCAACGCCTTTGCGTGCGTGTTGCCAACATTGATTTGCTATAGCTGACATCAGGCTCCGTAATATTCAGCTCAATTGCCCAAGTTGTCCTCTTATCGCGGTTTAGCGCTACGAGGAATGAATTGTAGCTCGTGTGGGCGACATCAACGCTTGCGAGTATCTTTGCCCTTCTTACTCTTGCTCTTCTTCTTATCCTTGGGGAGCTCCAACGCTGTACCTTCCAGCTGCTTGCCCATTATATCAAGCATGTACTCGTCAATATTGTGAATTGTCTCTCCCCAAGCATTAGTCTCAATCTCTTCGATTGGGTTATCTGCATCTGCGGACTCGGAGTACAGCCCAAGATTTGACTTTCCGATGCCCGGTGTAAGTGATCCATCTCGGGTTATGGGAGTGCCTAGCCTAGTACTCGAAGAGCCAGATGCGCTTCCGGTCACCGGTTTTTCAGCAAAGTCGGCTTCGTCTTCCTGTATCTCTTTCTCCGCCACGTGAGCGGCATCTACGTCTTCGCGGTCTTCGGCCTGCTCGAGAACTCGGCCGACTGTGCGTTGGTCGCTGTTTTCCACGCCGCCGAGAACGCGGTCCATTGCGTCGCCGACTACGTCAGTCTCGTCTGGGGTGCCGCCAATAACGTCACGCACCGAGAGCTTATTGAAGTAGTCGGTAGTAAAGCCACCCTCCTGGATTACGATATCGTCGAGCATTTGCTTCTGGCTTGCTTTGCGAAGAATATTCGCCTCGATGGTGTGCTCGCTTACGAGCCGATAGATATGCACATCCCTCGTCTGGCCGATGCGATGGCATCGGTCTTGGCATTGCTTGTCCATCGCAGGGTTCCAGTCTTGATCATAGAAAATAACAGTATCAGCTCCAGTCAAGTTAATGCCAAGACCACCCGATCGTGTAGATAAGATGAAGCAGAGAATCCGCGGGTCGTGGTTGAAGCGATCTGTTAAAATTTGCCGTTGCTCTACTTTCGTAGCTCCATCAAGTCGCAGATATTTGTGCCCATGGATATTGAGGAACTGTTCAAGAATATCAAGCACTTTTGTCATCTGCGTAAATATCAAGGCACGGTGGCCACCAGATTGCAGCTTGCGTAAGAGACGGTCGAGAGCCTGCAATTTTCCGCAATCATATTGTAGAAGCCTCTTATCAGGGAACTGGATGCTGAGCCTCATGCGTGCTTCGTGCCATGGATCAAGCGGTGCTTCTTTCTGCATGAACGGCGAATGTCGTACTGGAGCTGACAACTTGAGATTCGTCTCATCAAACATCTCCACGCCGCTAGAGCCGAGTACAAACCGGTCAAAATCCCCAGTAACGACAGCTGGCGTGACACAAGCAAACTTGGAGATGATGGTCTTCATGGATGCAGCACGCTGATCGAGCGTAGGTACCATTGATCGTAAAACAAGCGAATCCTCTTCAAACCAACTCATGATCTTTCGTGGGACTTTTGGACGAGGCTTGTGTGGCCGCATGCTGATACCAAGAGTCAGGAAGTCCGTAAGTTGTTTACCATATATTGGACGTTGTTGTCGCCTGAGCGCGTTTAGGTAGACGCAGTGTTGTAATTCCTCGAAACGACCCCATCGCGCCGCGCTCTCTAGGTATACAATATTGGACTCTACACTAGCAGGATCTAGATTTGTGTAAGCAGCCTGGGCTCGCGCTTTCTGAGCTTCGCGGAGGTCAATTAATGGGCGATGGGCGCTAAGTTGATAAACTCGATCGCACACTGATCTTGATAAACTTTCGTGGTGGGCTGGAATGAGATTGAGGAAACTCTTGCTGATGACATTCATAGGCTTTTCTTCGAGTAATTTTTCTCGAACAAGGCTCTCAGTCGCCTCGTAACCGACTAGGACTGACCTACGTTGTCGGAAGGATGTCATGATTGGACGTTCCACGAAGAGATCTGGATGGTTGCAAACTTTACGTAGTTGCATGAGACAGTTGATAACCGAGATATAGTTGCCCGAAGAAAGGGCTTCTCTGGTGTCCGTACGGGATAGAAATCCATCGTATAATTCTCGCTGTCTGCGCGATAGCCGACAGAATTCGACGTGCTCGTATTTGGCCGGCATTTGTTTCTCGACGTCTGCTTTTAGACGCCGTAGAAGATAAGGTCTGAGTACTTTGTGCAGCTTGGCAATAATTGCACGAGCCTCGTCGTCCATCTGTTCTCGGCCACTTTCCAAGATCTGGGACTCTGGTTTATGAAACCAGTCTTGGAACTCTGCTAAGTCTGCAAACCCGCCGACTCCGTTCTCGGACGGCATCAAGAAGAAGAGTAGCGACCACAACTCGGTCAAATTGTTCTGCAGCGGCGTGCCTGTGAGCAAGAGCCGTGCTCGAGTATTAAATGTGAGTAGCGTTTGCCAACGTTTGGACTTGAAGTTTTTGATGTTGTGCGCCTCGTCAAGGATCATATAATGCCATTGTCTGCGCTTGAAGACTTGCTGATCTTGTAGAACGATTTGATAGGACGTGATACACACATTCCACATGTCATCCGTCTTCCACCCTTGGCGTTTTCGCTTACGCTCATCGATACTACCATAGTAGGATAAGACTTTAAATCCAGGGCACCACTTCTTGAATTCCATTTCCCAATTTAACATAACACTAGTCGGGACAATGACCAGGTGTGGTCCCCATACTTCATGGTAACAGGCTAGATGAGCTAAGAGGGCGATGGTTTGGATAGTCTTCCCAAGACCCATCTCATCCGCGAGAATACCATTAGTTTGATTTCTATAGAGACCAGCAAGCCAATCCAAACCATAATGTTGGTATTCACGCAACGTTCCTCGGAGCAAAAATGGGACGTCTGTCCTCGGTACCTGATATTGGGGCGAACTTGATCTACTCGCACCTGACTTAATGACGGAAGATGCCGTGTCAACTTCTGAAGGTTTGGTATCAGACGTCCGAGGCGACTGGCTTCGATCACGACTGGGAGGATTTGTGATTGCGTCTGTATCCGAAGTCACTTGTGGCTGATCCGACGACGTATTTGCGGCTTCGACGCTTGGTACCGCTCCCACACTCGGCTTCACTGCTACAGACAATGAGTCCTCATTGACCTGCTGAACAGCTTCAATGATTTCCATTTCAACATCTTGTGCCTGCAATGGTTCCGGTGCTATAGTAGGAACATTAGGATTGTTAGCTTCGTGTGGGTTTTCTGGTGGTGCAGCCGTAGTAACCGCAGTACTAGGTGGATTCGCTGACACCTGATCATGGCTAAGAGTAGCGCTCTCGATGACATGCTCTTTTCCCTTCATTAATGCTACCGAGGTCTTATCTTGCACATCTGCACCTTCTGATACTGCGTCACCCTTCGCGTCCTCTTCAAATGCAACATCATCAGGGGGGATCGTTCCGTTAACAGGTACTGACTCTGGGGCGTCTGCCATTTCAACATCACGTTGAGATGGCAATTCGTCTGTTACTGCCTCTTGCTTTATCTTCTGTAGCTCGGATTTACCAAAGAGAAGGCCCAGTAGCCCGGAAGGACCCTCGTCAGCCCCAGAATCTTCGTCGTCCTCCCCCGATTCGCCATCCTCTTCACTGCTGTCTATATCCCCGTCACTTGACCCCAAATCATCGTCCATGTCAACAGACTCATCCGTAGTCTCGCCTTGGTCATCTGGTGCCAAATCCGGGACATTCGCGTATTTCTGTCTTAATTGGTCTTGCGTGAGGCCTTCATTCGAACCGTTCGACTTTGCGTCATCGTCGTCATCATCATCATCGGAAGAAGACATGTTGTCCTCATCTTCGTCCTCGTCCTCGTTTGATGCTTCTTCCGATAGCCCCTCGTCGGAACCTAGTTCATTATCCTCGCCGTCGGCCTCGTCGTCTGACCCTTCTAGCTCTTCCTCATCTTCGTCAGATAGAAGTTCCGAATCAAAATGCGCTCGACGAGCCTGCAGTTTGAGTTCTGACATGCTAACAGCTTCATTCAAGGCAGCTTTAACTCGTTTTTGTTCTGCAGCTTCCCATTCTTCTAAGCGGCGCCGATTGACCTCGGCTTTAACATTCTCCCATGTCCCAGAGACAGCTTTAATGACAGCTCTGTAGCGACTGATCCACGCGGCTTTAGCCTCGGCTTCGATTTGCTCTGTCGTCTTGGGCTGTCGACGTATCCACTCGTCTCGGCAGGCTTCAGCTAATCGCTTTGCCGTAGCTCTGTGTCTTTGCTGTTCCATTAGCATTAACTTTCGAAAATTGGCCATTTGCTTGACAAGATGATCCATGTGTGCCCACTGTCGTGGAGGTTCTTCGACAGGTTCCGGGGCAAACAACGTAGAACGCTCTTCGCTAAGTAGTCCACCAGGCTCCGTTTCAGCCTCGATTCGAATGATGACATTGGCATCTTTCTCAGCCGCCTCTTGCGTGTAAGGGTCTCCTTCGTCGACAAGGTCGAGCCAGCCGCCATCCTTGACATCTACAGCTGGCGCACGATGTACAAAGTCGCAGAAATCGGATGCTATTTTGGCACGTGCAATGGTCTGTCCCGGGAAAACGTTGACTTGAGCTGGATGAACAGTGGGGATACTGGGACCCTTTAAACGTAGCCGGATCTTCGTTGGGCGCAAGTTAGGGCTTTCATCCGCGGGATAATTGGAGCTGCCATCGGGAGTGTCGACAACGTCTCGGAGAGTTCTAGAGCTACCCAGTGTCCGGGCAGATCGTCTCGGCGGTCTCGTCTGGGGGGGCGGGGAAGAGGAGTGTCTTCGAGTTTTTGGTGAAGGTTTGGTGCCGTTGGTTAAAGATTTTCTTGTGTTCGGCTTGGCACTAGGAGTAGAAGCTTTGGATGGAGCACTCTTGCCCGCTGGCGCGTGCTTATGTGAACCATTTACTTGGTTACTAGTTGCAGCACGCTTGTCTTTGACTGGAGTAGGGGGTTGGTGGCTGTGGAGAGCACCTCGGGTCATCCTCTTGTTACTTGGTGGTTGCAGCTCTAAGGGCACCTGGTTGGTGCGTCCAGACCTGCGTTTGCCATTTTCGGTGAAAGTGGTGGGCCCATCAGCCTCTATCTTCTTCCATGGAGGAGATTCGGGTTTTGGTCGACGGGATGCGCTATGGGGTGTTGTGTCACGTAGTCGGCGGCGTTTGGAAGGTCTCTCATCAACATCATCATTCTTAATGGGGGTTTCGACAACTGCTTTATCCGTGTGGGTGCCATTTGCCTCGGCCTTTGTTGGGGACAATTGGTCTCTAGTGTTTTTTTCTAATTTTATGTCGAGGCAAGATGGGCTATCTAAAAGGGCGGTAGAATTATCAGGAGTTAGTTGGGGAGGTTGGCCGTTTGTACCGTTTAAGTTTGTGGGATTTGTGGTATCGTATGAAGGCGCAGACTCGGGCGACGCGGTAGCCGTCATAGCTGTCCAGGGGTGTAAGGAGAGAAAGAGGACGCGGGTCTCGACGAAATGGACATTGGATGGGATAAAAATTACGTCGAGAGATAGAGAATTAACGGTAGATTATCATGACGAAGTATAAGCTTGCACAGAGCATTAGAACAATAAATGTGATGGATTTTGTATCAGAATTGGTAATTATCAGCGGTTTGATGATGGTTCAAAAATTTCGTCGGGTCTCCGCCTTGCCTTGGACAGGAATAAACCCAGCTTGGTCAAAGTTCCCCAACATAAGAGAAAAAACGTGATCCGTGCATAATGCCCCCCCATCTTTCTACCTAACGTACGTACAGTACATGTATAGGTACATGGTACATGGTACATGTCTTTAGCGCTGAGGCTAATATTATTACTAAGCCTACCTACATGGTCAGTCGTCGCCTTCAAGCTTCAAGCTTCTCAAATGCACCAGCGACAAAGTACTCCCAAGCAAGACACAATTTGATACTATCCAAGTATCGAGCCGATAATCCTTACAGTATGTTGCAATTGATATCGGTGACTGCCTCATTATTCATAAATGGCTAACATATGCTCTCTAGATGCTTCCTCAGCGAATTGTAAGGGCTTCGGCTCTCCGGTCGGCATCGCTAGCATCGCGAAGATTACCCATTATCCAACAACGTACATTTCTTCCAAAGTCATTTAATGACCGCGCAGTCATCGACGAGAAGTTCCCAGATAGGGTAGAACTCACAGATGCTGAAGATCCGGGCATGGTCAGTTAGCTAGTTAGCTTTGGGAATTAATCAGTCATGTTCTCATAACTGACGCATACAGAACGGTGGCTATATTAACCCCCCGGCCATTAAGCGACAGTTTCGCGATCCATATGGGGACTGGTGGGATAAGCAAGAGCGAAGAAACTATGGAGAGCCGGCCCATGAGGATAATGACATTCTCGGCATGTTCTCTCCGTACGAATACACATGGGTCTCCCCTGGAAAGGGACTACTGCAAATTGGCGCATTTATCGCTACCTTCGTCGGAGTATGTTGGATGGTGGGTAGGGTATATCCTGACAAGAAGTCTTTCCCTCGGGAATTTGAAGGTGGTCTCGAACGAGAACTAGGCGGTGCTGGTGCTTTAAGGGTAAGTTAATAGTTGATTGAGTTAGTAAATATGGGTATGATATTGATGATATTTATAGGCAAGAGCTCCTGGCGACCCAGAACCATATCAGATTGAAGAGGCAGAAGAAGAATAAAGATGTTTGTACATATATTAGGGCGGCTTTGCTCGGAGATACTAAACATGACCCAGATCATCTTGACAGAGGGACTACTAGATGAACATGCAAGTTTGTCAAGGCTAGTCATCCTATAGACAATTGTCTCAACTTTTCCGAGTTGCATGCTATAACTATTGCAAGCCCTAGCAATTCATGTCTTCAGCGTTGAATTGATTATTGGACTACATGCTCAATATGTACATGTTCAATATGCAAGGTGCTATCCATTGCTCTGTAAGAGTTGGCGAAAGGAGAGCTATTACTTGCTTGCTTACCTTGAATTCCAATTTCCCGAGTTCGTCACTTACAAAATCATCAGCTCATCAGCGCATAATGACATGTCAAGGTTTCTTTCTTTTTTATACCCTGTTTAGCCCATACTTGCTTCTAAGTTGAGTACGTACCTATCGATTCTATACCACATCCGAGCTTACCTTATGTAACCTGAGCTGATAGAGGTATCGTGCCTGCCTGCACCTTCTGTTAATTTTAAGAGCTCCGTCAGGTAGCTTCAACATATACATATTTGATGAACTAGGAACTCACTATGGAGCTGTCACTTTACAAGTACACCATCAAGTATAGGTACTATCCACGTGGAATTTCATCGGCCAGGTTACCTTACAACTATCCATCTCTTTTCTAACACTTAGAATATTCAACTGCTACAATTCACATCACCAACAACTAAATACCGCCGAACACAAAATTCATGCTAATGTCTCTCGAAGGTTATCGGCTCTATTCCAAGTTTTGTTCGTTGTATCAACCAGATATTCTTTCAGGTTTCTCTACTTCGTCGTTCAGTATCCCCAGTTAGTGAAGATGCGTTTTGAGGATTGGGATGTGCTATTGTTTCCCAGGGATTCCAAAATCCCAATGAAGGAGTTCAAGACTAATTGCCATGTGGTCCACGATAATGGTGAGTATTAATTCCTATCAAGGGTCCCCCATCCGGACGCTTTTGGCCCCCAGGCCACCTCCGATCACCAGGGTCAAGGAAGGCCTATTAGCATGCAGTCTCTTTACTGTGAGCCCGCTAATTTAGGTGTATTCAGAATTCGCATATAGCCACGGATCGTACGGCTTACCAACCATGACATGTTTCATGCCAGGACTGTCCCCGGGCACCCAATTCAACATCTCGCTTCACTCCTGGAAGACACCCGACATCAGCCAGTTCACCAGAAGCTACAGCAAACATCCAGAATTAGTCAAGTTCGAGGCACGAGTCTTGATCGATGGCCGTCTAGTTGCGTATGTCATCAACACGAACGTCCTAAAGCTGAATAGACACTGACCAAGCTATCCCTCAGTTCGTCAGCATTAAACCGCACTGGGCCGTGGCCTCAGCTGATCAACCATAGCTTTGGTAAGTAACCCATGTTCTAAGTTATAATTTAGCAACTAATGATGAGTAGAGTTTACCAAAAATGGTGACCTAGAAACCCTCCGGTTCCCTCCGTTCCGCAGCGAAGTTCTCCAGCAAAGCTACTGGAGCCCGGCAGATGAAATTGGAAGAATTAAAATTGTCATTAGCGAGGGGTTCCCAAGGGACTCTCTAAGTGTCCCCATCGAACGAGTCAAGAATGTTGTGGCATTTTCGTTCCAACATGCTCCCCTCGGTAGAGAACCAAATACCCCCTATTTTGATATAGTAAGATATTCCATGCTAATATATATGTATCACAGATATTCTCGAGAGCTCTGGTATTGCATGGCCGAATCCTGGGATGTGGCGGCGCACTCCTTTCAACCCTACTATGCCTGTTCCATCACAACGCCACGAAGACGGTGCGGATGCCCATCTCCACTCCCCTCGTCGTCGGACGACGAGTTACATGAAAGGAACATCCAATTCATCTGGGTACAATCCTGGCCCTCCGGGACTGGTACAAGCAAATACCAACGGCTTTCTTAGCTCTATGCCTAATACCCAGGCATTGTTACAGCGTAACGAAACCGGATCCGGATCTGGATCCGCCTGGGCAGATCCCTTCAGCACGCAAAAGTCTGAAGCTACCGCTTGCTTTGATTGGACAAACAGTAGTTTCGGGCCCATAGGATTCAACCAGACCACCGACAGCGGCAAGTCTAACTGCAACTATGCATCTACTCGCAGGACTACCGGCATAAGCAAGGTATCACGCTCTGATATGAGCATGCCTGATTACGGCTTGGGCAATTCAAACACTACTCAAGGCATATCAGACCATCAATTCTTAAGCCTCTCGACGTCTAATCTTGGAGATGCAGATACAGCCACCCATAATCCCAAGGCGCCATCTAACACGCCAACGACTTTGACCGGGACAAATTTCATTGATGAGCTTAATATAGACGTGAGCAAGATCGACGCGCCTGGAGGTATCTCACCCCATTATCTCAAGAACCACATTGTCCCTCCACAAAATGGCCAAGACGTCAATGTAGCGAAGCTGACAATTATTCCACTACAGGTACGTCAATGAACGACTTTTTCAACTCTAACCACGCCAATTTCTCGTCCGAGCTCGCAAATTCTCTTACACATTCGTTGTTGAATCAACCACATCCGCTTCCTGTCTATTCCGGATGCATTGGGCCAACAGCTCCTGAAGTGAAGTCACGCAAGGAGAATCGTCTTCACCAGGACTCCCCGAATGAAAATGCATCAACCATAGACCATGTCGAGATGCGCAAGGTATCGCAGCCATCAATCTGCAGCCTCGGTAAGGAAACCCAGGACAACAGCTCAAACAATTCTCCCCCCAGCCAGGGTACATTCTCGGGAGTGTTCTCTCACCGATCCACGTCAACAGCTGACTTTGGTAATGACCTCACCAACTGCACCAACATCTTTCAGCATTCAAATGTAGACTCGCATATATGTGGCGACCCAGCCCCAGAAATTCGTATCACAGGCTGCTCCGATAAGGGCATCAAGCGCACTCGTCACTTCACGTCGGCTGGTGGTAAAGTGATGGATGATACCATTGAGGCACTAACCAATAGCCCCCAAGTACAAATCGATCTCGACGAGCAATTCGGGGCGCCAATGTAATCGAAACCCCGCCGAGTGCATTCACAATAGCAACTTATTTTGGAAGATCATTGAATATTCATGATTATTGGACGCATTGGTAGGGGAATGCCTCGTCGTAGCCCGTTCGCAAACTAGCATTGTAGCCAATGCATTATAGACTTCTTGCTGGGAGAGCGTATCATTAGCTTACTACCTAACATGAGAAACATGGCTACTGGTTTGTTTTTAATACTACTGGTAACCTCGAGTTGGCTTGTAGAACATTCTTGGCCTTGTAAAAGGGTTTGAACCACAGCCCGTAGGACATGGGGTTTTAATGTTATGGTATGGGAAGGGAAGCAAAGTTTGGTGTTTAGCTGAGAAGAGTATAGATAGATTAGTTAAGTCAACTTCGCGGGTATATAACTCGCAGAGCAATAAATGGGAATATTGCCTTTACACAAATACTTAAATCATGGAATTAAATCTGAGTAGATGATATCTTGTTCAGTAGAATCGAGTAGAATTATCACTTGTCAGTGTCAGCCAATGGTCTGCGAGCTCCTATCACACATTTCCAACTAATCATATGTACCCAAGGCTCATCGGCTAGCTGTCTACCTATACAAAGTTGCATCTATTTATAATATTCAGGTCGCCGTCTAAGCGGCTTGATATTCTTCAGCTCAGGCATTGAATTAAATCTTACCCGTAATAGAATCTCATGAAGGTACTTCTAGCGTTTCGAGGCACTTCTCTATTCTTTTCAACCATTACTTTCGTTTGTCTACGGCTAACAGATATCCAAAAGACCACAGCCCCCTTCCCTGAAATTATGATCAATATAATTGCCAGGCTCTGCTTTAGCTTATACTTTTCCTAGTTAGCCAAGTCCATCACTCATCCTATCCTCGTCCTGCAACCTTCCAGCAAGCCTAGCCGCTATATGTACCTAATGTAATTAGATAGCATAAAGCCCCCAATAGACGTAAACGTTCTCATCATCATTCCAGCAAGCCTATCCGTCGTAACTATCTAAGGCTATACAAGCCATGTATTAATTATTCTCTCCATCTTGTCCATTTGTAGCTTCCAGCTCGTCACTTGGTGGCGTATCTAGCTCATTTGAATCTTGATCACGTCGCGAGAACACATGATGTCTAGGGTGTGTCTCCTCATGGATCCAGTAGCACTTAAAGCAGAGCCAATAACCAGGGCATGTACCGCAACGATATCCCGTCCCGTAAATCTCCTACCAGCAGTCAGTATGATTCTAGGTATGATCAATAATGAATTTGTAACTTACACAGAAGCATGAGTTACAGCCACTGTAGACCACTAGCTCCGCCGCTTCACTAGGCAGCTCTTCGTCGTCGGTATCACCGCCGTCTTCCGGAAAGAAGTCTAGGTGTTCTGTCTTTCCGTGGTAGATAGCAACGTGGCGAGGAGCCCATCTATGATGAGTTATGGCCTCTCTATTGGCACCATGATTGATCAAGGACTCCGTGGCTTGTATGTCATCCTGCCGACAAGACCAATGGAGTGGTGTCCAGCCATCACGATCTGAGACATTGATTAAGTCGGGGCATTCTTTTAGTATCCTCTCAATCATGGTAGACCGACCTCCGGTGGCAGCGTGGTGAAGTGCGTTACGCCCTTGCTTATCTGTGCTTCTGAATGTAGAACTTTCTGTAGTCAGAAAATCAATTCTTGTATTAGTAGGGCACCACAGTGCTGCAAGATGGGGAGGGAGCCGCCCTAGGTCATCCGCAATGTCTCGAGAGACACCAGGCAAGTTGCGTTTAGAGCTGTTCCAAAAGTGCCACTCGAGATTGTAGGGTCAGCTCCGCGTGTGAGAAGTAAATTCAACATCTTTTCTCGAATGCTTGGTAAGCACCAGGCCACTGCTAGTCGGAGAGGTGTACGGCGGTAGTCGTCTACTTTGTTGAGATCTACAGGCGTTATTTTGTTGTCCAATAGCTCTCAAACAATCTCTAGATCACCATCCAAAACAGCCATGCCAATAGCTGAGCCATACGCGATGTCAAACTTAGTGGTCATAAAGTTGGGGTCTGCGCCGCACTCTAGCAGAACTTCTATGTTCTCGAGCTTTGAAACATACGTCACCGCGGCAAGAGCTTCATTGATCTCTAAGAGGAAAGCATCCCCACTGACTTGGAGCTTGAGGTACTCGACATAGGCTCTGATTATATTAGGAGAGCATGTATAGGCAAGTCCGCCAAGGAAAGACACCCCAGCTTTGAATATGTAGTGTTGAGGTGGTCTTTTAATGCTCTCAGGCAACACTGCCTGTGCTCCGTGCTCTAGGAGAATTTTGAAGCACTCATTACCAGCTTCTGCTGCATGAAATACTAAAATATCAAAATTAGCCAAGCGTCCCGACAGAATGACGACCCGGGGAATGTATAGGGGTTAAATGCCATGTCAGGAAGGACTGTAGTTCTTAGGGGTCATCAAGGTAAGAACATAAATTCCAGAGGAGGAATCTAAAAGGGGGTCGTAAAGTAATATCGAATTGTATTTTGGACACGAATTCCAGCAGGAGAACTGGGGCGGTGTATTGCCGAATTCATCTTGATGATTGATATTTGCGCCAGTTTCTACCAGGGTATTGACAATCTCGTGGCAACCGTAACGTGCCACAAATATTAGTGCGAGAGATATCATCTCTTTGGAACTCCGTGGGATGAGCTGCTTCACCGCACGGATCAAGCCGCACGTAGCTGCGACTCCAATAGGGGGGGTCATGTCGTTATCAAGATGATCAACAGGTGTATTTCGTTTGAGAAATTCTTCAATCACCTCTTGGCTACCGCAGGCACAAGCATCATGCAGTAATAAGCTACCGTCTCCTCGCATTCGGTCAAGTTGCGCGCCGTTGTCCAGCAAGCAACGAACCATGTCCACATCATCCATTATCGTAGCCCCAAACAAAGCATCACGATCGTCCTCATCGGTGATATGTATGCTGGCCCCGATATCAATCATAAATATCACCAGATTCACATCGCCAGTTATTGCTGCGTACATTAGGGCGGTTCGTTTGTTATAATCAATTTGCGCGTTGATGATTTTCGAGAGATTTTGGGCGTCATCACTACTGTCCCGGTTGCTGCCCTCTCTATAACCAGAAAACTGGTTTTGAAGAGCTTCAATCAACGTCACGGCCGTCTTTTTGTACCGCGGCCCTATATGATGCAACCTTGTTGCAATATGTAATGGCGTCTGGTGTAGGGCATCTGTTACTATGAGTGCGCCACGCTCAGTAAGAGGTAGCTTACAGATCGAAGCGAATCCACGCATACTTGCAGTATGTAGCGCAGTTATGCCGTTAGTGATCGGGAGGTTGACGTCTGCGCCTGCGTTGAGTAGCAGACGTACCATGTCTATGAGACCGAGTCGGCAGGCAACATGAAGTGGACTGGTGTTGCGGTCTAGAAATCCTGTTTTACCCCTCGCGTCTACATCAGCGCCAGCGTCCAGAAGTAGCTGGGCCATCTCCCTATTTCCAGTTGAAACGGCCGTATCTAGAAGTGTCATAATATTCGAACCGGCTCGGAAAACCCTGAGAGGAGTTGCTTGGTAGTCTAGCAATATTTTCACAATATCAACGAAACCCTAGCCAGTCGCGTAGCTTAACGCGTCGCCTGATACTTCTCTAAGGTTGACTTGGTCCTCAAGTTTTCCGAGTAAGTCAACTAGGAGGGATGGATCGTTGTGCAGAACGATGGACACAAGTAGAGCGGATATCTCGTTGAGCGCAGCTTCTTTTTGACGCTGGAGAAGTGCTTCTATAACTTGAGGGTATAGAGCGACTTCTTCATGCATACCTAACATTGGGAAGTTGGCATAAGCCCAACGACCGACATCATCCTCTGCTGAAGAGGCAGGAAAATGTATCATATCGAGGCATACCTTGCTAGGCCGACGGTCAACTAGTTGTAATGTCATTTGAAAAGCATCCATCTCATTCATATTGGCCGCCTTCCTCAGGTCGAGTGGCATGGGTTCCTTGGTTATTATACAGATTTGATCGAATGGCTGTCTACTATAAAACCTCAAGATGAGTAATTCATGCAGATGATCTGGATTTGTTATCCAAGGCCCCGGCCGTGGGATCGCAGCTTGGTCACTTTGTGGAGAGAGGCAGTGTTCACACTAGTACATGGAAGCATAAGAGGATAACCAGAAAATCCGATGACCCAGAAAAGTGTCCCGTATGTTCCCTGGATAGGATCTGGCGCGGCGTTCCCATCGGACAGCTGATTTCAGTTTTGACGCACCAGAAATACCATAACGCTCTACGAGGAGGCCAAGATAGTGGTAACAAGCCAGTGCAATTTCCGAGTGGTAGTCCTCGAGATGATGCCAGTCGTTTGGGTTCCGGCGGAGGAAAGACTTCAGTTCATCGTGAACTACGTATACCTTTCCTGAGTTAATTCGTACTATTCCTGGAAGTAATTCCCGAACATAGGTTGCTGTTCCAGGTGCAATACTCTTTTGGAGTTGCTCGAGAGTTTCGCAATCGGTTACGGCTACAGCAGTTGCAAGTTCGCCTATTGACAGGGGCCTCATCGAAAAACATAGAAACCCGAGGACCTTACGTGCCCAGGCTCGACAGTTGTGGGGGACTCGATCGAATATTACGCGGAATGCCATATCAGTTGACGTAAAGTTATCCGTGAGGCGAGCTAGGACGCTTGGGATAGGGATGTGAACTGTAACGCATCTAACAAGAATTCCATTAACTTGTGATTCGACCCATGCTCGTATAATAACTGGGAAATTTTCTCCTTAATGTCCGAGATTCGAGGTTTGGTACTTATAATCAGATCTAATTGCTGTTGAAGATCCTTCTCGATAAACTTTCTCAATATATCGCGATCCATAACGATTCGCGAAAGTTTTTTTGATGGCGGGAGGTCAATTATAGACGTTGATGTATTAACAATAATTACTTTGCGCGAGCCTTCGTCTAGATCATCAAGGAATTGTAGATGCTTTATTGTTTTCAGGAGGAGTGTCTTCTCGGCTGAAGTGCCTGTTGTATGAAAAATCCAAAAACATGGGTTGTCGGAGAAAAGAAAGGCTACTTTAAGCATTCCCAAAGTCCTCGGACTCTAAGCTCAAAGTTTAGGCTATACACGGTATTTGTGATCTTCTTAAAGCGTCTACTCATCTTCCGGTATAATATAGGGTATTGTTTCGGTATTTGGACGAGGCAGCCTGATAACAGTCCCGTCTCGGTCAAGAAAAGGGGTTCAGTAGAAGTAAGCGAGAAGCAAGCGATGACAACACCAGGGCTTTCTGCTATGGACTGTCGGATAGCGTTGCTGAAACAGGACAAAATCTGTTTTCCATCGACCTCTGCTTGAATTTCCAGTGAAATAATGCCTGCTCCGTCGTCGTCCATGAGAGATTTTAACGTCTTCGATCGGATAATGAAATCTGCAAGGCTATCGAGACGTCCTAGTGTTTCGAAGTTCATCTTAATCCCGTCTGACTGGATAGACAACTACTGGATAAGCTCACGATAGCCTTTAGAAAGATCTAAGCTTGTGTTAGCGACTACGAGGTGGCTCATAAAGCAACGAGGAAAAACCTATTACATGTCTGAGCGTCTACTATACGCTTTACAACATGGTCTTCCGCAAGAGGTTCTTCCACAAAGCGAGTGAGTTCGCAATGCGTTACGTTGCGTCTGATGTTCGTAATATTGAAGCCTTGGAGCTCTGCGCAAGATTTGTGAACAGTCTAATTTGTGGGTTTAGCGATAGTTATATGACACAACTACTATAGGAAAGATATTCGACCTACCAGGACTTCAGAACTAGGCTCAAGCAAATCTTGGACGTAGTTGAGAATCCTGAATTTGTCCGAGATATTATTAAAACCCAGACGGAGCTTCTCTAGATAGAGCGATAGCTGGCGGATACGATCCGGAAACCAAGGGCCCCATAACCCTCGATAGGTATCTTCAATGATGCTCAATATTGTAGTTTCCCAGCTGTACACTTTAGACTCCTGATGAGGAGTCCCAAAGAAAGCCTAGGGTAGTTAATGTGCTGGTCTAGAATATAAATACTTCGTGACTTACTAGTAGCGAGGTTCTTTCATATATTTCTCGGTACTTGACAAGTGATAATGCATTTAGTAGAGCCTGCCAATGATCATCAGGAATGGTCCAGGCTGGTAGATATCAAATAGGAAACGACAAACCCTTTTCACCATCATACCACCGAGATCAGCCGCCATAAAACCAAGACTGAGCTCGGACAAGTCCTAGTAGGTATAGTTAAGCGATAATGCCCGACTAGTAATAGTCTTAGAAAGGGGACATAACAACTTTGATATCTGCTGCCGAGTGCAGAACAAAATCCAGTAATTCCTTGACTATATCATCCAAGTTTTCTATTGACCCCTTTTCGCCAAAAAGTCTCTCCGATTTGGAGGAAAAGGTTCTGACATGTGTCCACCCTTCTACCTTGCTATTGTTGTGTATAGCTGGGTACTCCGTACTAAGTCCTGCGACAAATATCATTAAGCTATTAGATAGGATAGGAGGTGGAGCGGATTCTTCAGAAGAATCCGCTCGCGGCCTGGGAACTCGATTCATCTCCATTCTCGACTACAAATCCTTCATCTTCATTGGATCCCGGCACAAATTCAGTTTCTACGCTAGACCCGGCTTCATTACTCAAGTCTTCCACGCCCATGCTCTCCTATGGAAAAGAGACAAAGCTGACGATAGACGATGTAGCATAAGCGGAAATCCGTAAATAAGTTTGTAGTTGAGTACTTGGACTTAAGTATTCCTCCGACGATCGGATGAGGATGAGGATGAGGCCCAGCCTCTTCTTTTTATCTAATGATAAGGTTTCGCGAGAACAAGCCGCCCGAAACATATATACTATAAATTCGAAGGCCTTAGTGAGTAGAGGGTTTTGAGGCTATCCTAGCTACCTGAAAAGCCCCCACTCGAGGAAGCCGGTCAGGACATTGATCAGCTCGAACAAAATTCAGATGAACTTGAAGATGACGATGAGGAGGATGTTGATGACGGCAAGCCAGGTTTTGCCATTAGTAGACCAGGCACAATCGACATCTGGACCAAGCGTACCAAGCTCCTAACAGAAGTTAGCAAAGAGGTCAGGTTCGACGATGCGGATGTGATTGAAAAGTACTGGGCCCGAGTATGTATATGCCTCAAGGGCGATAAAAACGTAGAAGAATCAAATTTGCTGCACTATATCGTGTTGAACCTCTTCGTTTTCCATAAAACTTAAGACGCAATGAACTTCGTAGTTAGGTACCTAGGTTGGCTCTACAGGAAGCGCCCGAAGATCTGGTACATCAAACGACAGGACCGCTGGAGACTCCGCTGCATGTAGTGATAAAGCGAAAGGAAGAAGGCCTCGCAAAGTTGATGTGCGAGATAGCACCGGACGTTGCGGCGAAAGCTATATCCTTACAGAATGAAAACGGCGAAACCTGTTTGCACCTTGCTATTAAGGAAAACCTAGACGTGGCTCTGTTCCTAATTAGCAAGACGCACATCGCTGCATTTCGTCAACAATGTAGCCAGAAGATACGGCATGGCGCCGGAAATACGCCCTTACACGAAGCAGTACACACACCACTCTCGTTACATTGCCGAGGTCCCGACTTGCTCTCCAGAAAATATTCCAAATTGTAGACGGCGTAGGGAAGCTGAGAAGGAGTTAAAGAGTAGCTGTACTCGACTGAGTAGAATTGTCGAGTCTTTAGTACAAAAAGACCCGGAAGCTCTCGCGACCCTGAATGCTCTAGGACAGTCCCCGTACGCATATCACCTGGCAACTCGTTAGGAGACACGAGCAAACCTCTATCTAGCCAAGTCAGAGCCCACAGGCGCAAATCAAGAACAACCACTTAAGAATCCTAGAACTGAGGGTGGTGGAAGTGCAATCCGCGGAAAGATCGAGAAACCGAATCCATACATCAAGTCAGGGGCTACCATTGCACACGAGGAGAGCAGACGGGCAAAGAATCCTAAGTCCAAAACTCCTAATATACCAAACAAAAGTCGTTCCGGCAAGCTTGGTCCCAAGATTACCATACGAAAGAAGGCGCCCAATGTAGCATACATATGGCTTCATACCAGCGGTAGCAACGCTGGTAAGTTCTCTTCCTATATTTGATTTAGCATCAGTGTATTGGGGTATGATAGCTCACGTTTCTATAGTGCTTTGGTCCTGGCCTGATAGCAGTGGTCTCCGAAGCTTACCAAAGGTAACGCCCCTATCTTCCTGGCATAAAAATAGCTGGCACCAGGGCGTAAGCTGAGCCAAGTTTACCTAAATGCTAGAAAAGGGTTGGAAAGTTATAAGCGCAACGAAGAGAACATACATAACTTTAAAGAACGTCTAAATCAGCCGGTCAATGGTCTGGACCCTTCAAGGAGATTAGGGACGAGGAGAATCGTGTTCGGCTAGAACGTAACATTTCCCCGATAAGAAGGGATGGAGAGAGACCAGCAGCCCTTATCCCTATATAGAAACGAGTCATTAATACATACCTAACCTATGTATTATATTAATAGAACATACAAGCAAACGGAGCAATACCAAAGCCACCAGGTACCTTATATAAATTCCGCTGACACGATCTACAGTGCTTACAAGCTACTTTTCAATCTTGGATATCTGTTTATATAAATCGCCAATATTCCGTCTTCCTTTATGTACAACCACTCACTCCATCTCATAAATTCGATCCTATAGATAATACTAGCAAACTCGATCGAACAACCTACATGGCACCTAAGTACATATTCTACACACCACTATACAGCCCCCTCCACACAGCTTACCTATACTAGAACACCCAAGTAAAATCCGTACCAGGTAGCCACAGGCAAATATCCAATTTACCATACCGCCCTGTCTCGGCCCTCGAACGCGAAGTTCAGCACAACTCCCACGAAGAGTGCCGCGCATAAAACGCTCGGTCCCAATCTGTCATAATACTTAATAGCTCTGCGCTCACGAATCCCCTTACTTCGGTATAGGTAGATACCAACAGAATAACAGAGCGACATGACAGCTATTAAAGTGAAGAGCCCAGATACGATAAATGAGAGCGTGGTCGGTTGTGTGCCGAAGTTAAGCAATGTGACAGCAATGGTGCCAATGTAAATCGAGAATTCGAGCTAGTAATTCGTCAGTAACAAATATCGGAGTCAAAATAGGGTTACCTACCCAACTGAGATAGGTCCTTTCCGCCGCGAAGTAGACCTTTGGTTCGACTCTAACAGGCACGTAAATCCTCTTGCCCTTCGGGGCTCTGAACTTCTTCGTCTGGACATTCTGGTCACCGAAGTACATTTGCGTTCGGTTACTAAGAGGCACGGTCGAAGCTCGAGGACGTGGTGTTATGGCCATTACAACTGACCATGCCCCTTGACTAGCCGCTCCCGCGTACTTCTTAGCCAGAGTTGAGTAGTAGGTCCAGCCACCAACCCTCCTCGCCTCCTCAAGCGCATCCTCCTCATCTACTTCGTCATCCGAGTCATACAATGGGTAATCTTGGTTCGCAGTCGTGCCCTCTGCCGTCTGTCCCTCGATATCTCCTAACACGAGAGCTTGGGCACCCCGCGACAAGCCATTTCCGTGACTTGAAGGACCTGCAGATCCAGTATCGGTAGCATCTTCGGCATCCGAATCAATGTCATCGTCATCATCGTCCGAGGTCGTGCCGCTAGTATGGGAATGTGTCGGCCGGTGAATGCCAAAGTTGTGGGTTACCGGTTTACGAATATCTACGTCCATCTGAGGCATCCAGTAAGGAAGAAGATTGATTCGGTCAGGGAACAATGAAGCCGTGCCGTGAATGAACTTAGAGAACTTGGGCACAGCTTCTACGAGGTGGCTTGAAATGAGTTGACGAACCCACTCGGGGGGCTCTTGTCCATGTTGGGTTTGGAGTTTTACTTCCAAGACGGCGTAAGGAAAACGCACGACATCTCCAGCAGGTAGCTGTGAGAAAGGATAATCAATGCCGATGTCCATTCGCCTCCAATTATCACCACACCGCCTAACGCCATCAAGATTGTCCTCTCGTATCATTGTAAGCTCAGTATCGAGTGAAATTCGGACACGAGCATCGGCGGGCAGTTGGAACGCAGTTCGATTGTAAAACGATCTGCAAACCGGCTTATACCCATTCTTCAAGACTGAGTATTGAACTTCCTTTGCCAAAGTCTCATCCTCGGCAATGGCTTTTTCGGATTTCTTACCGTCCTTTCGAGCCTTTTCAAAGAGGGCTGCCGGAAGTAAGTCTCCTTTCAAGTATGCATTGACGTTCTTCTCCTTCACAGAAAAGCGAGCTTTTACGGACTTTTCTCCAGTCCAGTCCTCGCGATGGGTCTTACGTTCCACGAAAATAGTATCGGTTTGCATGCCACCATACCATCTAAGACGGATAGCTTCAGCACCCTCCGTCTTCTTTAGTCGGCCTTCGTATAGATCCCATTTCTCTGGGTTATCATAGTAGATAGAAGAAATAGCAGAATCCTGCGTCTCAAATTCCTTGCTAGCATTGAAGACAAGCACGGGCAGATGCTTCAGGATGATCAGCTTTAATTCAGTGACATTGTCTGGATGCACCCAGTATTTTGTCGTCTGGCGGACGAAGCTGCCCTGGGTACCACCGGCAGCGCTATCACCTGTTACGGGATTGCCACGCGTCCTGACGTTGTTATACATGTTGGAGAGTTTCACGACTTCGGCGTCGAAATCCTCATTATAGAAGGGTTTGTTCTTGAGTGCGGTATCGAATGAGGGCCGAAGGTGCCAGTTGGTCATTTTCTACAATATCGATTAGTTTCCCTAAGAAGCGGTATACTCAAATAGGTATACGAACATCATGTTTCTTGATTATCTTGTAGAACCCTGTATAATTCAATTGGACATACTTGGCGAGATCGTGGACGTCGGCAATTATATCGCTCAGGTCTTCCTCAAGCAGTATGAATTCCTCTTCGGAAGGCCCCTGCTCTGTCAAGCCTCGCTCGGTAACTTTAGCGACGACCTCCTTGACCTCCCGTTCGCTGACCGCTATACGACGTTGAATTTCCGACTGCTTGACCTTGGTCTTAGTATAGACCTTCTCGAGTTCCGCATACAGTCTACTGATAAACCTCTGCTCGTCCTCTTCCGTCCATCTGCTGTTCTGCTGACTCTTGGCGTTGGCCTTGCCCTTCTTGCTTCCGGAACCAGATGAGCTTTCGTCCACCTCTACAAGCGGCCCAGAGGTCGCCTTAAGCTCATCCTTCAGCCCCTCGTAGTCGATATAATACCATTGGTATTCGCGAATAATGCTAGATCGGAGCTGCTCGCCGAACTTCATGACGACTAGACCCGGGGAAGCGCGCCACTTAACCTTAGAATCAGGGTATCGAGTCGAACGCCAGGTGATCTTCCTTGTGGTCAAATCTTCAATAATTAGCATGGAGAAACACAAATAAATGCCAAACACACCGGTGGAAACATACGAAACAAGAAACAGGCAGTATAGGTTAAAAGAGAAAAGATATTCCCAAGCCCCCAATGCCAACAAGAGTACCAAGGTTATATCGCGTGACTATGTTCGCAAAAAGAAAAGAGGATAATTAATAATAGATTGCAGAAAAGACAGCAATTGAGTAGATCAGACGAGGATCTCGAAATCAAGCCCGGAGACTACGATAGGTAGTATGTAACTAAAAAAAAAAATTGCGCGTAGTGCAAAATAATATAGTACAATGCGAAGTTGAAAAGCTGCACGATCGATCTGTTGTAGGTAGTAGCAAAGTTTGGAACCCGTCCTGGAACCCGTCCTGTAACCCGTCTAGCCTCGCGTCATGATACAGGGACATTCTCCACTTGTCGCATATCCACAGCGGTAGCAGAATTTGACTGTCCCTGCTGTCCAGCAGCCATTGCCCAATCAATTAGAGTTGGGTTAGCACGTGTCAGCCCTCTGAATGTCCAGACTCCTGGCCTGAATTTTAGCGGTTCCAACGGTGTGCTCTAGCGTATATAATCGCTAGAGGAAGCTAGCTTAACTAAAAAGACAGAGGAAATACAGTCCATATTTTATTCCCTCACACCGTATGCGTATGCGTAGAATCGATTCTGTTACCCCACCTGCCAAAAGGTATTGTACCTACACCTTAACCTAAAGGTCTTAGGCTAGGGAGGTCACTTTATGTCTACCTACCTAGGTAGCTTCCGGATCCCTGATTTTTCTTCGTTACCCCACCATACCTACCCCCCTATCTCGACGAGCTACACGAGGGCACAGCTACACGGCAAGAGCCTGTCCTTTCCTTAGGTACCTCCCTTTTATTATTTATTATAAATATAAGGTAACTAGGATCCAATAAGGGCCATGTCAGAAAACAACGACAGCATCGACGCGCGCATCCCAGCCTCGTGCCCGGCGCCTGTTTCTCAGATCCTATACCACGCCTGGCACCACGATATCGCGGGGATCAAGCCCCTGTTAAACGTGCCAGGTCGCGCGAGCGTCCAGGAACCCAAGACAGGCGAAACTCCTCTACATGCTGCGATCCGTGCCTGTGCGCCTGCGAACCAGGGCGCACTTAGCGACGACGCAGACAACGTCGAGGAGCATGCTAAGACTGTCGTGCACGAGCTGTTCATGAGCGGTGCCATCTGGAATGACGTGGACAACAACGGCGAGACGCCGGGGTGCGTGGCCGCGCGCCTCGGACTCAAGGACTTGTATACCCTATGCGTCGAGGCCGGTGTGCGAGCGGAGCTGCTGTTCGGTTTGCTTGATGGCTATGAAGAGCTTGAGTCTGACGATGGAGATGAGGAGGAGGAGGAGGAGGAAGAAGAAGAAGAAAAGGTAGAAGATGATGCCCAAGAGGAAGGAAAGAAAGACGTAGAAAATATAAACGGCGACGGTGTGGAAGAAGATATAGAAGTTATAGTAGACTCGGATCGTGCCTTCGTCCCACCAAAAGGTACCGTTGGACCTAATGTCAACAGCGCAGACTACCTACGCTCCAACCTGACGTATAGCGACGGAAAGCTAGTCGACTCGGCCCAAAACGGCGTGATGAGTATGTATCTTGGCTGCCTCTAACAGTTCAGCTTTTCTTCTAAAATAAGCTAACCCCTATTCTCAAACAGTGGCCTGGGAAACATCCATCATGCGAGCCTCCGTCGACGCACTCCTACCCGACCTCCCTGCCGGCCGGAAGATCCTCAACATCGGGTTCGGCATGGGCATCGTCGACGGCATGTTCGCTGAGACGCGCCCGGCAAAGCACCACATCGTCGAGGCACACCCAGCCGTCCTCGGACACATCAGCAGTTCGGAATCTAAATTTGGCAAGGAATGGGAAACAAGCGGTCCGGCCGAAGGCGCATTCAAAGTCCACGGAGGTAAATGGCAAGAAGTAGTTCCCAAGCTACTAGAACAAGGCGAAACGTACGACGCCATCTATTTCGACACGTTTGGCGAGGACTACGGCCAGCTACGCATGTTTTTCACCGAGTACGTGCCCGGGTTATTAGAAGAGCAAGGCAGGTTTGGATTCTTCAACGGCCTAGGCGCCGATCGAAAGATATGCTATGACGTATACACGCAAGTAGTCGAAATGCATCTCAGCGACGCGGGCATGGATGTAGAGTGGCAGGAATTAGATGTGGACATGAAAGATTTGGGTAAGGAAGGAGAAGGGGAATGGCAAGGCGTCAAAAGACGTTATTGGACTTTAGACAGTAAGTCAATCCGCGACCTGGTCTTGCAACGTTTTTTTTTTTTTGAAAGCATGCTAACCTGTGTGATAGAGTATCGACTACCGACCTGCACCCTAATGGGCTGAACTCCGTGCCACATTTTCTAGTCCCGTAGCCAGACACCTATTATCTTTTTTTTTGCGTTGTTTGGACCACATTCTCTATGTCTATCATTATAAGGGACATGCCCTCATCTTTTGCTTCTTTGCAGTTTTACTACGCTACCTCCTCGCACCATCTCGTCGCTCATTTAAAATTTTCGGGGTGCAGAATACCAGCAAGGTTACCCTTCTGCACTCTCTTCAGCGTAAGAGCGGCAATAACAGCAGCGCCAACACCACTTCCATCTTCGGCGGCGAGGATCTCAACCGGGTCTTCCTCTTTAGAGTTTTTCTTAGCCGGCCAGTCGAGAATCTCTCGGAGAGCTTGTGCGCCTCGTGCCTTGAAATGCGGGTATTTGTTGAATACAGAGCCGTCAGCGCCCACGTGGCAAGGTTGAAGGTTCTTCTTGGTGCAGATAGCAGCAACACCACAAGCCGACAGGCGAGCCGCACGGGTGCCGATGAGTTCAGCAGTTCGACGGATTAGCTCAAGTTCAGGACGAGTGCAGGTTAAGTGGAGCTTCTCATGGAACAAGTCTGCAGTCTCTTGCAAGTTCTCGAAAGGATCACTACGTAGGGTCAGCACGATAGAATTAGAGTGTTAATAGCCGGTCTATAACTTACTCTTCAATAGCCGAGAGGAAGGATGAATCAAGGGTATAGGGTTTTCGGAGGTATTTGATATCCTGTGCCTCAAAAATATGAACATCCTTGTTATCATGCAAGTCAACTAAGACTAAGCGGAAGATTTCGCCAAGATAAAGACCGGCGATGCACTTTTCGAAGGCCTGTTGGCCTGGTCGAGGGGATTCCTTGTCGACGATGATATCATAAGGAGTACGAGGGAGGACCTTGTGTTCGTTATCAAAGGCGCCCCATTCGCAATTGATAGCCATCGGCAAGTTCGGGTCCAAGTTCATGTGGGCCAACTTTGGAATGGAGCCGCAGTTCTCCATATATGCCGCATTGCAGCCGGTTCCGAAAATGCATCCGATAGCCATCTTCGGATCGGTGTAGGCGGAAGCAATAAGAGTTCCTGTTGTGTCATTAATCAAAGCCGAGACTTTGATAGGGACGCCCTGGGATTTCGTTAATACCTCCCTTCAGATATTGTCGTTATTCAATCCGACTTACCTGTTGGTCCAGTGCAGCTTCTAACATCGGTACAACATTCTGGCCCTCGACGCCATCAATATCAAAGCCCTTGGTCCATCGCTGTAAGATACCCTCATCGATGTAGTTCTGAGTGGCGGGGTATGAGAAGGTAAAACCAAGCGGGATCTTCCCCTGTGACTCTGGAACCTCACCGTGGTGAGTTTCGATGAACTGCTTCAAACAGTCGGCAATATACTCCCATAGCTCCTCAGAGTCACCAGTCTTTAGCTCTTCGGGCATACGGTATTTGGACTGAATGATATCAAACTCCGACTTGTTATCCGTTAAGGTAATCTCACAGACACGGAGGTTGGTACCACCCATGTCTAGAGCCAAGTAAGTGCCTGTCTCAGATCCATCTGGGAAATCCATAACCCAAGTTGGGTTCATTGGCTACGTCGCCCTTAGGTTAGTTTACTCGTTTTTAAGGGACATTGTTTCAGTATGTAGAGCTTACAATACTACCACCCTCTACACTCAAGCCTATCGTGCTGTTAGTATTTTTCAATATACTTAAAATGGGCATGCTTACCCTTTGCAAGCTCGGATACGAAGTGCTTCGTGATTTCCTTGAGTTTAGGTGTTCCAACAGTGAATTGTTCTTCTAGTTTCTTGATTTCGGAAAGAAGATCTTTGGGTACATCGGCCATAGACCCTATAATGTTTCATGTCAGTAAATATGTAGATATTGACTTGGAGGTGGAAAAAACCATCAATGTCATCATTCGAGTTGACATGGTGTTGGTGGTGGTGATATGTATGAAGGCGTGTCACACGACCAAGAGCGTGCCCAGACTCCATTGGTAATGTTTAGGTAATAGTTATGATATGAAAAGAGGGATGATGTGAAGATAGCTTCACTGATGTACGAGGGAGGCGAATATGTGAATATGTGAATATGTGAATATGTGAATATTTTGCAAGGTTGGGTAGTGGGCAAAAACCAGTGCAAGAATGACCCAGACTCGAGTTCCAAGCAGGCTCATATTCGGTTGGTGAACCCTTGAGCAGATTTCATAGCATTGAATCGCTCCTAGTGATTCTCCTACAGAAGGAGCAAAAGTGCTAAGGTCTGCCATCATGCGTAGTAACTACATGTACACTGCAATTGAACGACCGATTCTTAAAGGAGGAAGGTCCAAAGAGTGTAAAGAGTGGGTAGTTAAAAAGGAGGTTTAGACGAAGACTAGAACTGAGCTTATAAGGGATGGAATGATAGTTCTAGCTCTAGCATATCGTCCCGAACATAAATAAAAAGAGACTTATATCAAACCTCACATAGAGAAATTTGTACGTACCCTTTCGGGATGGTGGCTTGCGAGGACCGAGACCGACCATCTTGATAGTATATTTATGTTAATATCCAAGAGACGTTACTCTGTATTAAGGAAGTATATGGGAGATGGATCCTAAATTTCTGAAGTCTTATATGTTAGTGTAAGCAATAAGCAAGGAAATGAAACGACCCAAAAAAATTATATCAGAGAAAGAAACATAGAGGGGTGAATATCAGACAAACAGCCCTAGCAGCTCCATATATTAATACCTAAATAGAGAAGGCTAGGTATTTCGGAGCTGGACAAATAGGAGGGCTGAAAAAAGATTCGAGGTAGCAGTTAAACTTACTCAGCTCAACCAGATTTTAACATAATAATAATATAGAGTATGCGGGTAGGGCGAAGTAGCGAAGAGGAAGAGATAACGTAGTAGGTGGTATTGGAGCTTAAGGTCTTTTCAATGATGAGGGGAATTAAAGTTGGCGAAAGTGCCCCTCCATCCTCGACCCATAATATCATGTTCGATTGGGTCGATTAGTTCTACGACAATTCTAGTAATTCTCATTGGCTTCTAAGCTGATCTAGTTGGGTGGATTTAGGTCGCACTTGAAAAAGTCGGGCATAGGTAGGTACCTTTAGGTACTACATTGCTATAAGTACTGTGATGTAGTTGAAGCCAAGTTCCAACAGATTTACATCAATAAGGTCATAGTTCGTTATCACCGGAAACCCCGTGGTATTTGCCCATTAAACAGGTACCCCGTCACTTTGTTTCCATACACTACATGTATCTATCCTAGGTAGGTATATATCTAATCTATTTAATACTAATATATCTGAGATTGTTTCGTACTATGTCAGATCAGCGGTGTGCTTGGCTTCTAACGTGCTCAAATATTTTATTGTCTGTACAACAATAACAAGAACATTGGCATCTTGGCTGAGATAGTACTTGCGAGTTTGCGGACTTGCCAGTATGGAGTTCCGTAAGTCTCTTGGTGAGCTGAGGTGCAAATGTTAAGACCTGCATGTCCGTCACCGTCACCCCGCATTCAACATCTAAGTTTTGTCATGCTGGGGTTATGCGTTATTCTATCGTGGGGTGATTTACCTATCTGCCAGGGATACGGTACTTTAGGTACACTACATAGGGCTGGTAGAGGGATTTGAGCGATTTGTTGAGCACGAGATATGTACATAGGACAAAATCTGTGATAATCACATGTGATATAGAATCGTAAGATGATGCTTTTTAAGCCATTTTTTTTTGTACAGTTCATCGCAAAGTTCTGATACTTTGCAAGCTTTGCAAGCTTAAATGTTTGACATTTCAAAGATCTAGCCCATCCAGGAACTTCTATGCTTTAATTTTCGAGTTTACCAAATCGAGGTATTGAAACAGCCGGTCCCATCAAAAATATGGGGTTAACCGTACCCTGCCGTGCAGGTCTAACTAAAGATGACTTAATGCTGCTTTATCAGTTTATCAGTACTAAGGTACTTGTATCAAATGTACGGTGCAACGGTAGGTGCCGGGCATTGTCACATACGGAATAACATGCTTCCTCAATCCCGGGTCGGACATGCATTGGCAGATTGGCAACGTAAGCTGTAACTGGGAACTTTTTTGAAAGGTGTACCTCTACCTCTTGGCTGCTCTGGAGAAGCCACATGTAGCTATCCCAAGTCAACATCTACAACCGCCGTTGATCATCTACACTGGCGCTGCTCATTTTTCATGAGTAGCCCATCCGGTCTTTCTTCGCCATGAAGTTCACTGCAGTTGCAGTTACCTGCTTCTCCTTCCTTTCGCAGGTCTTAGGCGAATCCAACATTGCTGGGCCCTCATCGTCCAAGGTCACCCTCCCAGCTACCTTCAAGCCGCCACAGGTGTTCAAGAATGCCAATTTGGTACATGTCATCTCCCTGGAAAAGAACTATGCAAAGGAGTCTATAAATGTCTTAATCGAGAACTCGTCACCGGAATCTCAAGATGAATACTTCCTACCGTTCACTAGTGACCAGATGAAGAGGATTGGAGGTATCGAGGTGAAGGATCGAAAGGATACAAGCATAACAGGCTTTGCCGTGGAAGCCGTTGAATTCGATCCGTTAAGGTAAAGGAAGCTCTCTTATCTTACATTTCGATACCATCGTTACTAATATAACACTAGCGATACCCAATACTATCGCATTCGTTTACCTGCACCCTTGCCGGCCAAGGGTCAACAGACCTTGGGTATCTCTTTCTACTACCTCAGTGCGTATGCGCCGTTGCCAGCTTCGATTGAGCAATCGGAAAAGCAATACCTCGTCTACAAGTTCTCGGCGTATTGCCCATCGGTCTACCCAACATTGAAGCAGAAGACGGAAGTCAAGCTCCCATCTTCCGATGTTCCTGACTATACCAAGATTGCCGGCAGCGGCGAGACCAAGGAATTCCCGCAGAAGCAGGGTTCGAAGCTTACCTACGGCCCCTTCCCCGAAGTCCCGGCCGGCGCCGTGTCACCGGTCAAGGTGCGGTATGAATTCACCAAACCCGTTACGCATGTCTCTCATTTGGAGCGGGACGTCGAAGTTAGTCACTGGGGTGGAAACATCGCGTTTGAAGAGCGATACACACTCTACAACCATGGCGCAAACCTTTCGGCTCAGTTCAATAGGGTGAAATGGGCGCAGGCTCAATACTTCAATCCACAAAGCTACGCCTTGAAGGAGTTGAAATTCCCTCTTCGAGCTGGAAGCAAGGATGCTTACTTCACGGATGCTATCGGCAACGTGTCAACGTCGCGTTTCCGTTCCAACAGGCGCGAGGCTGTGCTCGAGCTCAAGCCTCGATACCCTGTCTTTGGCGGCTGGAAGTATCCATTCACAATCGGCTGGAACTCCGACGCTAAACAGTTCCTGAGGAAGTCAGGCGATAGCTATTTGCTGAACGTACCTTTTATTGAGGGACCTAAGCAGTCTGAGGGCGCCGCATTCGAGCAGATACAGGTTCGCGTGCTCTTACCAGAGGGTGCCGAGTGAGTACTTCTGCAGAGTTACTGATTTTGAATGTATACTAACAGTCTCGTAGGAACGTTCGATTCTACACAACAATTCCCGAATCCTCTATCACAGATTATTCGGTCGATCTGCAAAAGACATACCTAGATACTGTTGGTCGTACGGTGCTAACAATTAAAGCGAGAAACTTGGTGGACGACTTGCGAGACCGCGATCTTATCGTCTCATACGATTATTCGCTGGTGGCTAGCCTTCGCAAGCCGCTTGTCGTGTTTGCTAGCATGTTAACGGTATTTGTAGGAATGTGGGCAGTCTCAAAAGTGGATGTGAGGTTTTCTACGAAATAATGAGGGCGTTCGGTTCTTTTCAAAACGAATTCGGTACATATGCGCATGTACATTACAAGTTTTTCAAGGGTTAATGGAGGCCTGGAAAAACTCTAGAGTGGCTCGCGGCTTAGATCTAGCGTGAACGAATACAGAAAGTGAATTAAATTCTTCATATTATGATATTATGACCGTCATTCCTCATAGCGAGAATAACTTAGTAAATATGTAGAGTTCAAGATATCTAGCCGCTTCCCTGACGTCGATAGATATCTAATACCTGGTTTTTTCTCTCTTCCGAATAACACTAAAGCATGGCATGCTGCAGCAACTATAACAAGTTGGTATTATTATGTCGTCAACTGGATTTCTTCGTTGTCCAAGGGTCCTGCGTCAGGGTGCCAATACGACGAAGCTAAACTAGTCCGCCGGCACGGCACTTAGCTGCAATTAGACCTGCAATTAGACCTGCAAGCTGACGTCGGCGCAGCATCATAGGTCATACCTCTATAAGTCGACTTCGGAACGGAATGCGAGAATGCAGACCCGATGCATAGCGTTATACAACATCATGTTATATTCATGTCTATATACCCAATTTCAAGGGGGAAAAAAGCATTACTACTAAAGAGGCAAAGGTTGACTAAGCATTCATGTATAAGGATGGATGTGAAGATGAGTTGTTGTTACAAGTGGATAAATATTATTGTGGATATTGGATATTTCCAAAGAAGACGAGATCAGTACCGGGGAATACCTATCTAAAAGCGAGTAATCCGTTCCTTGAAATGAAGGGTTCTGTATGAAATACAATGTCCCCATCTGCAAGGAATGCAGTGGTTTATCCTCGTGTTATAGGTTGCCATAGTTGAACTTATCTTGCTTATGCGGGTAAAAGTTGCAGGTGGTCTGAGTTATACATAGAACCAGAGAGACGGAGTCCTTGGCAGTTCCTTGGTCGCCAAGGGCCTAGCAAGGCCAGTTGTCTAAGCGAGATCTTTGATGAGCTGCGTATGTGGCGTGAAAAATCGAGGTTTGGGCGGTTCTCGTACCATAAATCTTTGCTTTGCCTATATTGTGCATTATGTATAGGTATCGTCGATATGTATTACATTGTAGATAGCTGCAGGGATTACGATATGGAAAAACTGAGATGCATACCGACGATCTCTGAGGATCTTGAGAACATCCTAGCACCAATGACAACGCCAATGACCTAGGTCCGTATTCTTCGGTGTGTTATAGGTAAAAGAAGGGTTGCACTGAAGTTTCCCTCCTCGTGACCTTTTCGGGTCAGCAAGGCTGAGCTTTAGTCGTATGCGACAGGTAGATAAATACTTGAACTATCCCATTCCCTCTCTTTTAATTTCGAGCGTCAGTTCTCATCCATCTATTCATCCATTCATCTGTCTCATCAACATCCATCTGTGGTTAGAAAAAAAAACCTGGGCAAATTACACACTAAAAGAAAAGAAAGACTACCTACTCTTTTCATTCAACTCTCAAATCTTATCGAACCGAAGAGAACTTGTTATCTCGAACCTTCTAGTTACCAAGTACAATACTTGGGTATAAGTCAAAGATCCCAGAGATTCGGTTGACCCCGCCACATAACACCCTTTTCAAACCTGCATTTCCTATGAGCTCTTCAACAACCAGAATCACGATGTGTTTCGGCAGCGGCGAACCCTCGCGCAAGTACTACTATCACGAGGAGTCTATTCCCACGAGAAAGGCATACCACCATCATCACCACTCCTCTACGCCACGAGCTAGCTACCATTCGCATCACACACACCACAGCCCCCGCGTGAGCACAGTCAGCTACCGGCACAGCACTCCCGTACTCTACGAGAGGACTAGCCAGACGAGATACCGCTGATGGACAAGGATTTATCCATATATGTTTGATAAATCATAATATCTGCGATGTCTTTGAATGTGGCCGACATGATAAACGCCGCCGCATGTTTAATACGAACGCCTATACCGATAGGAGGATTGGGCTGGTTGGGGATAAATGTTTTGTATATGTTTTTTTAATACTTGGTTTACCTATTTAATACTTGGTTTACCTATAATATAGTTATCTTATACATCTTTTCAGACATATCTTTTCAGACATAATGGGGTTTTCACAAAGTACCTATGAATCGGGACGAAGATTGGAGGTACATAGACGGGGAAAGAGAGAAAGCACTCCAACTTTGAGCTTTGGAGCTTGGGCCAAACCGGGTTTGGAGTCAAAGAAATGACATCATGATGGTCCTTTAGCTCCCTTTCGTCATCATCTACTACAATACACCTGATATACACCTGATGTATGTATTGAAGCTCAATACTTTAACCTAGGTTAGGTACTTATACTTACTATTCTCTATCGGCGCATCCATGCTTGTTTGTGCAAATGTGATGTGTTGCTTAGGTAGAGTTGAAGAGGGGGTCGATGTGAGACATAAATCTTGCTGCTTTCAACAAACGTTACGAATTTGTTTAATATCTTCATGCCTACGAATTAGATGCGATAGTTCAACCAAATATATATATATAACTTGTCATCCAGCATCCAGCCCCTTGTTTCGCCCACTATACTAAATAATAAACCCCTGCTCGAGTATATCTGATCTACGAAATATATATCGCGCCCCACTGGAGATATTCCAGGTACTCGGAGGTACATGTGAATATTAGGTCTGAGATCTCTAGCGAAGACCACGAGCTATTCTTGTAAGTCTACTGGTTTATGTGGCTCCCGCCTTCTACCATTGCATCGCGAACCTACGGGGATCTAAATAGGAAATTACCTACTTGGGAAACATGAAGAACAAACACATTCACGAATTGGAAGCAGCGACTAATATGTCCATAGCTGTGGTAATTCATTAAGAGGAACGCGATCAATACGTTTAGTTCCATCCTCAACACATCATGTAGGTCACGATGGATTTCCAATTCTTTAGCAGCAACTCGAAGGGCGTCTCCGAGCTCGAGCGGATGTCTCAGCTCAGTCGCAAAGGCAGTAGCCGCTCTCTGGGTTCGACAAATCTGTAAAACATCTACGACCCTGTCCACTCCCTAGGTAGCTAGTAAACCCTAGTATTTGCTAATACTTGGCCCTCTCATTTCTAGGAATCGCTCTCTCTCTATCCGTTCTAATAAGGGAGGCCCGGTAGGCTCGCCAACGCCAGCTCGCCGCAAGGGATTCTCCTTCGCATCGTTGCGCGGGTCGATCCAGCCAGAGCTGTCGCGGCGCTTGTACCAGCTGATCAAGTCGACCAACAACCTGGTGTCGGCGCATGAAACCGCGGGCCGGGAGCGCGAGACGATCGCAAAGCAGTTATCTGAGTGGGGCGAGCAGACGGGAGACGACGCCGTGTCAGATATCAGCGACAAAGTTGGTGTCGTGCTATCCGAACTTGGCGCTCAGGAGGAGACATATGCTCACGGCCTCGACGAGGCCCGTGGTATCCTCAAATACATCCGTAACACGGAGAAGAGTGTCCAACCCAGCCGCGATTCTAAGGCCAAGATCGCCGACGAGATCCAGAGACTCAAACTTAAAGAGCCCCAAAGCTCCCGCCTCGTAATCCTCGAACAAGAGCTGGTTAGAGCCGAGGCTGAGAATCTGGTCGCAGAGGCCCAACTGACGAATATCGTACGTTTCATCGCATGATTTCAATTATACTCGCTTTTCGGACATACGCTAATATCTTATGCGCTTCTCGGGAGTAGACTCGTAGCAAGCTGAAGGAAGCCTATGACGCCGAATTCGCCGCCGTGATCGAGCGCGCAGAGAAACAAATCATCCTTGCAAAACACGGCCGACGCCTGCTCGATCTGCTAGATGATTCGCCCGTCACGCCTGGCGACGCGAGACATGCCTACCAGAATGGCGGCGCTGCCCGACAGGTTCTAAACGATGCCGAAGACGACCTCAAGAGCTGGGAGAGGAACACCGACAGCTATGACACGGTTGCGGGAGGCTACGACATGACGAACGCCGGCCTTACTGTTGACGATGGTAGTACTGCTACTAGTATTGGCGGGAGGGAAGAGAGTCAGGCGCCTATCATGACTGATGCCAGCCGCACGTCCGTTGATGGTGAACATCTCCAACTAACGAGAGAGGCAGGCGAGGCGCCGTATGTGAGCCCAACACCGACTTCAACGGATGATGAGAATATTGAGAGGAGGCTCTAAGTAGTGGTAAGACCAGTATGTTACTTGCTTGAGCCAACACGATAAATTGTCACAACGGGAGGTTTTCTGGAACGGGGGAAGTTCTGTTTAGTTTTAGTATGACCATGTGTATCGTCGTCTCTGCTTTAACGGGTGCAGCAGGTTTAGGTATTAGGAAATGGTAAGACTTGGGATAATGAGAGGCTTCGAGTTGTTATGTTATGTTATAGCTGTTGGTTTAATAAATTGCAATTTTCCTTAATGGAAAATCTCACATGTCAAGATGCACATATGAAGAACGCTAATGCATTAAAACGGTATAATATCGGGGTATTATATAACATCGGGGTATTATTCCCTTATCCGGGGTTCAATTATAGGTATCAAAGCTTCTCTAAAAAAATGACGATTTGTCGTCCTACCAAGTTACTCGGGCTGCTACATAAAATAAAATGGGTTCCATTATCCTGTCCGGACGCCAGCTCCAAAGGCCTCTTTCCAGTTTATGTAGAAGCTGTAGTCGCCGACTTCTCCCCCAATTATCTCGGTCGTACGCCAGTGCCGGTTCGCAACAACCAGATATCTACGATGTTGTATGCGTGGGCGGTGGCCCCGCTGGTCTAAGTCTGCTCACGGCGCTGAGTGAGTGCGCCCGTCCGGTCTGTATAGGCCAATGCTACCGCTCGAGCTAACGCCTAACGCAAAGGATCGAACCCGACGACCGCCAGCCTACGAGTAGCCCTCGTCGAAGCGCAAGACCTGGAGAAAACCCGCTCGTGGAAGCTACCCCCCGACCGTTTCTCGAATCGTTGCAGCTCGCTGACCCCGGCGTCCGCGCAGTTCCTTGAGAATGCAGGCGCGTGGGCACACGTACGCCGCGATCGCGTCCAGCCGTATCATGAGATGCAGGTTTGGGACGGGGTGACGGACGCGCGCATCGAGTTCGAGTGGACACCGCCCGCTACCGGCAAGACTATCGCATACATGACCGAGAACTTGAACCTGACATCCGGCCTATTGCGCCGGATAGATGAGCTAGGCGGCGTAACAGTGTTTAACGGAGCCAAGGTCGCGGGTATTGCGTTCGGCGAGGAGACGGAGGACTTGGACCTTCGCGAGTGGCCTGTTGTGCATCTAGCGAGCGGAGAGAGGCTGGCTGCGCGGCTGCTGGTGGGTGCTGATGGAGCGAATAGTCCCGTGCGCGCATTCGCAGGAATCGAGAGTCAAGGGTGGGATTATGAGAGGCATGGAGTTGTGGCGACGTTAGAGCTTGAAGGAGAGGGATGGGGTGGAGATGCCACGAAAACTGCATACCAGAGATTCTTACCTACAGGCCCCGTCGCCATGTTACCGCTACCCGGAAATCTATCAACACTTGTGTGGTCGACAACGCCGTCGAATGCTGCGTTGTTAAAGAGCTTGTCCCCGAAGGATTTTGTTGCTTTGGTCAACGCGGCTTTCCGGCTGCGTCCCGTGGATCTCGAATACATGCACACGCTAAGCTCCGGCCAAGAGGAAGAGCTATCTTGGAGACTGCAACACACGCAGTTCAACCGCCGGGCGATACCACAGACAGTTGTGGGTGTACAGGAGGGCACTATCGCGTCGTTCCCATTGAAGATGCGACATGCGGACACATACATCGGGGAGCGTGTCGCGCTGGTAGGAGACGCAGCCCACTCGATACACCCGCTTGCTGGGCAGGGCCTCAACCAAGGCCAAGGAGATGTAGAAAGCTTAGCACGAACAATCGAGTTCTCAGTGTCACACGGCCAGGATCTGGGAACGCGAATGTCCCTCGAGTCTTACAACTCGGAGCGTTACGGGCCTAACCACGTTCTCCTGGGGGTCTGCGATAAACTGCATAAGATCTATTCGGTAGGTAGCGGACCTTTAGTACCTTTAAGGTCGCTGGGGCTTAACGCGATTAATGCTATGGGACCTGTCAAGAGCTTCTTTATGGAGCAAGCTGCGGGTAATGGCATCAAGCTGTTCTAGACTCGTAAACTGGCCATTATGAGCCATTGTACAATAGCAAATAACTAAGCAGATAGGCTAGAGCAGAGCAACTCGGTGATCCTGCATGTTGTGTACAATAAATATATGATCATGCCAAAAGCAGGCAAAGCAGTAGAACTCTATTGAGATCGTTCTGTAAAGATAAATATGCTAGCCACAAAATCAGTCTAGATTAATAACAATGTCTTAATGTCAATACCACGATCGCGAAGTACCTGGATAGGTGTATTCAGAAACATCGTCTTCTTCATAGCGACGCGTCAAGGCGCCAACTACAATGAAAACAAAATAGGGAAAGCAAAAATTCCGCCCACTACGATCCACGAGGGATAATAGAAGAGGGTCAGCTCCGCGCTGTGCAATGCAGGCTTCTCCTCTTAAGAACCCTCATTCTTGAGCGAGGGTTCTTCAGACAAGGTAAGTATGAAGAAGAAAAGAAAGGAAAAGGGAAGAGAGAGCTCAAGACGAAGAATTAAATACTCATTTAAAAGTGGGACACTACAGGAGCTAGAGGGGTCAGCTGATCAAATAACAGGGTGTGTCTAGCAAAGCGTTACTAAGAGATGATAACTAATCGATAAGATAATATCTTTGTTTCTTTTGGTCGCAATTTATTTTTTTTTCTTGACATGCGCTTCCCGCCATCCATCGAATTCACCCCACCCGGAATTCAAAGTCACAACCAAACACAATGGCACCTTCGTCAGGACGGCGGCAACCGCCAAGCGCGGAAGAATTATATAAGCGTAATGTATGCCTCTAAACATTTCTAATTTATATATAGGTTTCGATCTGACTTGTAAGCTAGATCGTAGGTATCAACAAAGAAACAATCACCAACACCGTCTCCAACGATTACCCGGAAAACTACGCGAACGAAGAGCACGCATGGGATAAGGAGGCTTTCCGCAAGAGCTTCAAGATACAATGGCACCAAAATGAGCAATTCGAGGCGCAATTCTCGCTCATCGGCGTCGACGCCTCCATAGCAAACGCCTTCCGCCGAATTCTCATCGCCGAGATTCCTACCCTCGCAATCGACGTAGTCTACATTCACAACAACACCTCCGTAATCCAGGACGAAGTTCTCGCCCACCGGCTAGGCCTCATCCCCTTTGCTGGAGGGAAGAAGGGTCTCCGGGAGTGGATGCGGTTCTGGCGACGGCCCGCCGAGGGCGAGGGCGCCTACGATACGACTTTCGACAACAACACAGTATGTCTGAAGCTCAAGGCGCAGTGCACGCACAACAAGAACGCGCCGCCCAACTCCAAGGACCCGAAGGAGCTATACCACAATGCGCACCTGTACGCCAAGGACATCACGTTCGAGATGCTCGGCGCCCAGCCCAAGTTCTTCTCGGGCGAAGACGCTGTTCGCCCTTTCAACCCGGACATCCTGATCGTCAAGATGCGCCCCGGCCAGGAGGTCGACATCGAAATGCACATGCACAAGGGCTACGGCTGGGATCACGCCAAGTGGTCCCCCGTTGCCACCGCCAGCTACCGGCTCATGCCGACCATCAAGATCACGCAGCCGATCCTGGGCGACGACGCCAAGAAGTTCGCGGGGTGCTTCATGGACGGCGTGATCGGATTGGAGCCCGTGACGCGGCAGGAAGCCCGTAAAAAAGGTAGCGGGTACGAGGGCCACGAGGGTGAGCTGAAGGCCGTGGTGAAGGACCCGATGCGCGACACGGTGAGCCGCGAGGCGCTACGACATCCCGAGTTCGAGGGCAAGGTCAAGCTGGGTAGGAGACGGGACCACTTTATCTTCTCGATAGAGAGCACAGGCCAATGGGACAGCGATGAGCTATTCCTCGAGGCCGTCAAGACCCTTAAGAAGAAGTGCCAGGTGCTCCGGCCGCAGGTCACGAATATGGTTTACACGTACTAGATGGTTCTAATAGATCTCTTTTCTATAGACGAGGGTAGATCGCGTTAGGTCGTACCTACATAATGAAGTGTACAGTTGGAGGGGAGAGTGGTGGTGGTGGTAGTGGTAAGGGATGTGGCTTTGCCTACTCTTGCAGACGAGGATGTGTGCATGCATGTACGGAGTTCTTTTTTCCATTTCTATTCGTGACACCCAATGGCGGCGTTTATTGGAAAACGGAACTGATTTTGCCAGGTCAAAATAGGGCAAGAAATAAAAGACTAGAAAGAATTACAATCAGGTGTTTTTGAGCTACACACGAAGAGGAACAAGTAGCATCGCTTCAAACATTGAGTTCTTCGTTATCCCTAGTTTAATCCAGCTAACTAGCTGTTATTTCTCGCTTCTGGGAATCGTTTAGAGTGCTTAGAAATATAACTGATGAAACGGTACAACCTCATTTGCTATCCCCAATAGTAAAGCAGCATGTTTGATGCTAGATTTATCCGCTTGCGCTCGAATAGGGGCTACTCCTACGCAACTGCATAGAAGTGCCATAAATTTGAGATGATGTGGTATATATAGTCTGAATCATTGTCGGCCGTGCTTATGAGCTTAGTTTCTAGAACCCGATAAGTATTATGTGTACGAAATGAGTGAAATATAAACGTCGCTTACTCTAGATTTCACTTCGCAATATGACCTAAGAGTGCCGGAATATATAAGACTTTGGCGCCTCTTATACCCCTTTCCGCATTCCGGAGAGCATCGCTAGCAAAGATATCATAGCGTAGTTTAAGAATTCATTCCGTTTAACTGCCATGATTAAATTCCCAACATAGGAAGATAAGAAGAGTTCCGGGGCTAGTAGTACGACCTCGTACTCGCACTCCGGTAATCTTCATGGGTGCCCGGGAATGCGCCGACCGGCGACGCGACGGCAGTCCCCTCCTCGTCATCCGAACTAAGCTCGACGCCTTGGTAATTGTCCGGTCCGTCCGGCGGCGCGCGCATACTTTCTAGAGACTCTCTCGAAAGCTCTGGGGGCTGGTATGGTTTGATTGTATGCATATCCCGTCCGGATGGAAGACTGGCTAACAATGTCCCCGGCGATTGGATAGCCTGTGTGAGCATCTGTTTTACGTATAAGCTATGGCGGCGTCTATTTTCCCGGTCAGACTTACGGTGTCGTTGATTTTAGTCCATTTCGCATCCAGCATCTCGATCACGCGTGTCTCCTCTAGCCTCCCGGCGTCCGTGCCCCAATTAGTACCCCTTTCGATCTTCTTGTCTTCCCTCTTCTCAGTCCAATCCTTCTTCATGCGGTTGAGGCTTAGGCCCTTTTTGGCCTCCTTGTGCTCGATGCCGAGTTCTTGAAAGCCGCACCGCAGCCAGCCTAGCGCGTTGCCGGTTTGACCTGACAGTTCAGCATCGATAGCGAAAAACCGACATGCTTTTGCGCGGCTAGTCCTCCGGAAATCCTCTAGATATCGTAGTAACCCTTCGTTAAGTTTTGAGGATCCTCTTCCGGGTGACTTGCATAAGGAAGATGCTTGAGCTGCGTGGTCGGCAGCCGCAAGACAGAGCCGAGCAAATAGGTGAGCCCGAACCTTAGGTATCTCTGGCGCCTTATACATCCACTCTCGGTCGTTTTCATTGCGGTCTTGGGCAACGGCAGCTGGATATGGATCATCCTTAAGGACTGCAAGTAAAGTGGCCTCGGCTAGGGCAAGTAAAGACATGGCGCGGGCGGTGGGCTGGGATATATCAGGACAAGGGGGGATAGTGGCAAGACTCTCGGCTCGACGAGCAACATAGTCATGGGCCGAGGCTGCATCCAGCAGATATTTTGTAGCCGTAGTAATTATCTTAGTACGCTCCTGCGGACCAAGAGGAGGGCCTGAGATAACATAGAGTGGATGTAGGGTATAGCGGGCAAGGAGAGTATTAGTATAACCTAGGGTCGAAAGAGCGAAGAACAGTTCATATTCTAAGGACTGCACTTTAACCCTAGATATTTCTTTCCCGGGTATAGCATAGTCGGATAAAGTAGGCAGCCATTTTATAGCAGGGGTAGACGTCAAAACCACGCTGAGCTGCTCGCCAGAAACCGACTTGTTACTCAAGCCAGCGTCGATGGCAAGGAGATATGGAATATAGTTATTTAAATTAGAGATTACCGAAGGTAGATTTGGTGCCTGAGAGGCAGCTGGTAATTGTTTATGCTTCTTCAAAGAGTCGCCTAAAACCCCACGGTGCGTGCTCGCATTGAGAGGCAGCGAGGGGTGTGACTCGCAGGCGATACTCGAGGAGAAAAAGAAGCGTTTTGTGGTGGGGAGTATAAATTGAAAAGGCATATTTTAAAGATGAGAAATAGTCGATATAACGAATGGTATTTTAAACAGGTCGCTTAAAGAATTGACTTAAGGTCCTCTTGATACATGTAAGGAAAGAAGAAAAGGCCTTCTTATTCTCAAGTCGAGGTAACGGCAGCCAAGTTGCTTGGCTCGTTAAGCCTGAGTTCATGTGTTCACGTTGTAATTGTACAACACCTTATAACCTGATATCTAACAAAAAGGAGGGTGTTGTAACCTGTGGAACCGAAATATTCCCTAATCGGAGTGTGGCAAGCCACATATGGGAGGCTAAGATGCTTATGTATTCGATCACAGATACCCCTGCTACCTAGGTTAGGTACCTACGTATAGCTGCAGCGCCAATGGCTAGGTTACATACATGTATGTGTACAAAAACTAGTGGATCCCTGTCGTAAAAAAAGGTACGAAGCACCAGGATATCAGTTATGAATTAACCTAGTTACATACGTATGTACAAAACAGGACACCTAAAATGTCCAAATGTCCAAATGTCCAACATGTCAGATCGACGACTTTAACACAATTCCACCATCCATGTCCATACCAGCAAAATCGGGTCTAACGATAAAACGGTGAATACCATGGCTTCCGCCTCGCCATCGCCGCATAAGCCTCGGCGCAAACCCAAGAAGACTCATTTCGAAACTACCGTCAATGCCAAACCCGAAGCTCTAATCCGCACTCCTTCGTTCCCTCTCGCAGCTTTCCTCTGGCCTGCCCGGAGCTGTCTGTCGCAATGGGAGGTCCTACCTCTCATTCTTATGATCGTCGGTCTGTTTAGATGGGCTGCAGGGCTCTGGGGATACTCAGGTTGGTTCCAATTCTGCTCGATCTGTCTTGGGATCTCTTAGCTAACCTAGCTCTCAACCTATCAGGCTTCCGAAAGCCGCCCATGTTTGGTGACTACGAAGCGCAGAGACACTGGATGGAGATAACGACACATCTGCCAATATCGCAATGGTATTTCCACGACCTGCAGTGGTGGGGTCTCGACTATCCTCCCTTGACCGCGTATCATAGCTGGCTGCTTGGTAAGGTCGGCTCGCTCATCGATCCCTCGTGGTTCGCACTCTACACTTCGCGGGGCTCAGACGATCCGACGCTTAAGGTCTTCATGAGGGCTACTGTCATTGTGTCCGAATATCTGATCTATATACCTGCCGCGGTGGTTTTCGTCAGGAGGTATAGCAAGCTTTCGGGTGTTGCTCAATGGACTGCATCCGTGGCGCTGGTCGCGATTCTCATGCAGCCAGCTACCATCCTGATCGACCATGTTCACTTTCAGTATAACACGGTGATGCTCGGGTTTGTATTAGCGAGCATGTCTAGCATGGTAGCAGGTCGATATATGTGGGCTTCCATCTTCTTCGTCTGCGCTTTGGGGTTCAAGCAGATGGCACTTTATTACGCACCGGCTGTATTCGCATTCCTCCTGGGAAGTTGTATCTTTCCTCGCATTAATATCGGGCGGTTCATGGGGATTGCAGCGGTTACTCTAGCATCGTTCGCCGTACTTATCCTGCCGATAGTTCTAGGTACACTGCACGACGTTAACCGAGGTATTGACTCGCGACCTGACCTAGATGGTCCCCATCCCCCGTTACCCATATTCGCCTTTCTCTCAACATATCTGGATACGAATGCTTCATACTATCCTGTGGTCGAGCAAGCCGTTCAGATGGTTCATCGAGTCTTCCCTTTTGCACGGGGACTATTTGAGGACAAAGTTGCCAACTTCTGGTGCGCAGCTAACGTGGTCATAAAGCTGCGGAAATATCCAACTGAACTCTTACAACGAGTCTCACTCCTGGCAACTCTAGCTTCAATTGCTCCTCCTTGCGCAATTCTATTCTTCAAGCCCCGCAAGGAACTTCTTCCGTACGCCTTCAGTGCAACGGCGTGGGGTTTCTTCTTATTCAGCTACCAAGTTCACGAGAAGAGCGCGCTTCTCCCGCTTCTCCCCATGACCGTGCTCCTCGCAGGAAAGCAGGGGCTGGGAAAGGATATTAGGTCCTGGGTTGGATTTGGCAATCTCGTTGGCGTGTGGACTATGTATCCCCTGCTACAGAGAGTTGACCTACGTATGCCCTACACAGTACTAACGCTCTTGTGGGCGTATCTGTTAGGCCTGCCTCCTGTATCGACCAGCGCCTACTTCGAGGAAGGACAGAACATATGGGTTCAATGGTTAACAGCAATTATCCATGGTGCTTTCTACGTCTCCATGGGAACCTGGCATATACTGGAATTGTTTGTCGCCCCGCCTCCTGATAAGCCTGACCTCTGGGTTGTCGCCAACGTCGGCGTAGGCGCAGCTGGATTTTCCCTGTGCTATATGTGGTGTCTATGGAGACTAATACAGGAGAGCGGAATCGTCCCTCGGAAACCCCCGGGATCCAAAGTCAAAACAACTTGACGCGGGTAGAAACCCGTATTCGTGCACATAGCCTATAATCTAAAGTTCTCAAATAAAAAAGTTGATTCTCCCAATCTAGCGTTGGTGCAGTTTAATATGTAGTAAATGCAGACCCCTTATGCATGCAAGATGCAATCAGACCGCCTCCTACCAAGCTGCGTCATGGCACTTGTTAAGATGCCATATCTTAACTATGCCAGCACTTATGAGAGAAGATGGCGCCGAATGCTTAGGTGCTTTAGAAGTTTATCGACTTGCTACCGCTGCCACTGTAGGTTTCAAATATATAGCTAACCAAGTGATATATATCTCCGACTTTCTTGGGCATTAGGACGATTTCCGCTTCATCCCATAAATCATAGATGTCTACGCGAAACATTATCAAAGCTACCGTAAGACTCTATAGCATTGGCTTGAAACCACTCGTTTTTAGAATTGAGGATTATATGGGCATATTTCAACGAGATATAAGATTTGGTTAATCAACAGGTTTTATCGCGGCTTAATGTCGCGTTTCGGGTATCGTCGTTTTGTAATGTACCTTTATTCGATGAGGATATAGCTACTATATGTTAAAGAAGAGGTAAATTGTTATGGGGAAATGCCCAATAACCAAAAATTAGCGTAAACGGATAGTTTACTAGGTTACATATTTGATTAACTTACAAAAAGAAGAGGCTTGTAAGCAGAAAAGAATAAAAGCATGCTACTTTACCATTTTCATCGTTATAAAGGAAGTAAGTGAAATATGCTATACGTATATTCACAATAAAATGTATTCAAGCTAAGTCCATTCACTATTTATTTTAATATGGTTAGGTTAGTAGTTGAGATCATGTCATGTTACATTATTGCAAGTCTTCATCACAGCCTTGTAACAACGCGTAGTTATGACTTAACATACCGAGCAAATAAAAGCAGTGGCACTGAATCTTCACCTAGAGCTACAAAACACAACGAACTATTCTTCAAACCTCCCGTTAAGGTTATCCCTTCTCTATATTGAATCTGTCATTCCATCTTACACAGCACGATGGCGGACATCATTACCGAAAGCACTGCCAAGCTGCAGTTGGATGAGGAGACGGGAGAAGTTGTGTCAAAGAATGAGCTGAAGAAACGGATGCAGAAGCGAGCCAAAAAGGCCGCTGCGGCTGCTTCCTCTCGCAATAGTACATTGACACCTGAAGGTCAAGGGCCGATCAGTACACCAACTAGCAAGCCCGTCAAGACATAGGAGCTCAGTATCGACCCAGATGACATGTTTAACCAAGGCTTCCTAGCTGAGGTTTACAGGCTGCGTCCGTCGAAGGACGTCGTGACGCGATTCCCACCTGAACCAAATGGCTACCTTCATGTATATTTTCATCCCTCGGCCGATTTTCTGCATCTATCAAGCAAGCTAACATGGTAGATTAGCTCGGGCATGCCAAAGCAATAGCAATAAATTTCGGCTTTGCAAGACATTATGGGGGCAAGACGGTCAGCTTCATATTACATTCTATGGTTTCTAGGACGTTGGCTAATATTTTCATAGATCCTTAGGTAGGCTATATTCTACTTGGCTGTTAACTGCCAGCCAGGAACCTGCTGAAGAATATTCTAGATTCGATGACACGAATCCCGACGCGGAAAGGGAGGAGTACTGCGTCGCCATCGAGGATATGATCCGGTGGTTGGGATTCACCCCAGCTGAGATTACTTATTCATCAGATAACTTCCAGCGCATGTACGATCTCGCTGAAGAGCTGTGTCAGCATAGGAAAGCCTATGTGTGTCATTGTAACGAGTCCGAGACGAAGATGCAACGCGGCGGCGAGGATGGGTCTAAGCCGAGATATCGATGCGAACATGCAAAGCAAGACGTCGAGACCAACCTCAAGAAGTTCCGAGGTATGCGAGATGGCGAGTACGCACCTCAGACAGCTTGGCTTCGCATGAAGCAGGACATTGAGAATCCCAACCCCCAGATGTGGGATATTGCCGCGTATCGAATACCCAAGAACCAAGAGCCGCATTTTCGAACGGGAACCAAGTGGCGGATATACCCAACCTACGACTTCGCGCACTGTTTATGCGATAGTTTTGAAGGCATAACACACAGCTTATGCACCAGCGAATTTATCATGTCGCGAGAGAGTTACGAGTGGCTAAACCAGTAAGTCTTGAGCCTCGAAACAACACGTGCTCGAAAACAGATGATGGAAACTTACCCTTTTCCCATTCACAAACCCTCTCCCTTTTTTTCCTCCAGCGTAAACTAACAATATCAGGCTTCTGGTTAAGTTTCAGCCAATGCAACGCGAATTAGGTCGCTTGAATCTCAGGGGTACAATCATGAGTAAGAGAGATATAAGGTGCTTGATAGAGAAGGGAATCGTTCGCGGCTGGGATGATCCACGCCTATACACCCTCAAAGCGCTCCGGCGGCGGGGTATACCCCCGGGAGCGCTTCTCTCTTTCATTAACGAACTTGGTGTCACTACGGCTACTAGTTTCATCGAGATGAAGCGGTTTGAGCAATCTGTCCGACGATATCTAGAAAGGACCGTGCCTCGCCTTATGCTAGTCCTTGATCCCGTGCCGGTAGTGATCGAAGATGCCGAGGAGCAGGATCTAGACATTTCCTTCTCGGCAAAAGACCCTAAGATGGGATCCCACAAGTTGAGGCTGACCAGAAGGGTCTATATTGACCGCTTCGACTTCCGGCAGGTGGATAGCAAGGACTACTTCCGACTCGCCCCGGGCAAAACTGTTGGTCTCTTGCATATGCCATACCCTGTCAAGGCCGTGGTTACATTGCAACGAACCGAGGGCTTTAAAAGAGGAGGGAGACTATCCCTTAGCTCTATATGGTACTTAGGTTGAGCATTTGGTAAAGGCAAACTGCCTGGCAAGCAACTATTAAAGGGGCTATTATGTGGACCCATCTTGGAGTTGAGGGTGTGACTACATTTACTACGGCGTCTCTAGATGGTCAATCTATCAGTTCTACTTTAACTCATATATTCGAATAGTCTTTAGTAGCTGGGGATACGTCTCATTTATTCTAGATCCAAGATATTGGACGGACAGGGGTTAAGATCAAGTAAGGATCAAGTCACATTCACACCTACATCCACACGTCACAGATGCATGCACAGGTGTCAAATCCTAATATTCTCTTATGTTGCATAATCTTCTTTTGATCCTCCCTTTGACAACCGAGACCCATCACGAGGCAAGCAGTAGGCCGCGCCATTCCAGCTGATCTTTCCGGTTGAAAATTAAAACCTCGCCCAACGCCCGTTACGCCACACAATGTGCTGTCCCAGCTGTCATAGGCACATGGCGCAAGATGGCCTTTGATTAGGCCTATGCGATCACGATGCGAAGCGCCACCAGTAGTATTTTCCGCGGTTCGGTAAACTCTGGTCGTCTAGTAGACCTTCTTCTTTTCGTCGATACTGAACTGGCCGGGGCCGCTGTTAACTAGCAGGAGGAGACCGCCGACGATGGACAGAATCTGGAAGAAGTCATACTTGGCGAAGTCCTTATGGGGGTGGTGCTCGTGAAGCTGCGCAAAAAATTAGCTTACGGAATAAAAAAAAAAAAAATCTTCCCGGGGTCGCGTAAACTCACAGTCCAGAAGTTGTTAACCAAAACGTTGAAGACGCTCAGAATGAGGACTAGGAGAGTAGCGCTGAACTTGGCCTTGAATCCAACGATAACCATGACGCAGGCGATTAAACCAATGACAGACACACCGATTCTCCAGACGGACCACTCGCCGCTGAAGACGAAGCCGATGAACAGGAAGATTAGAAGCACACGACCGGCTAGCTGGAAGTACATCTTTCGGTCCTTCTCGTCGAGCTGGGGAAGACCTGCGAACGCCTTGGTCTTCCTAACCCAGGAGTCGGACAGGACCATGATCAGGCCACCGATGACGGAGAGATTTCGGAGGAAGAAGTTGAGGTCGAAGATCAATCCATATCCTAGCGCTTGCGTGACAACAACACCCATGAGACCAGCAACAGCGTAGTCGGAGTGCTTGCGAACGATAACCATCGTGGAACAAACAATCATAGTCAAAACGTTTACGATAAGGAAGAGATGCGTCAACCCGCTAGGAACTAGCAAAAACGTCTAGTTAGCTCGCGACGAGCAGCTTCAGGATTTCGATAGGTAGAACTTACTATGCCTGTAGCTGTTGAGATACACCAGCTGGTCGGTCCATTGTGTTATGATTCTTAGAGCGTCCTCGAGGAACGTAACAACAATTAAGAAACGCCCGATGGCAGGGAGGTATCTATGGAAGAAGCGCGTTAGCTAGGCCCCTTATTATCCAATTTCCCCTTTGGCTACACGTTCTAATGTACGCATTTACACGAGGGCGTATAGCTCGCGCGAGGAGGTATTGACGTACGGCTTGATGGGTTCGCTAATAGTATCCAAAACATCCTCAATCTTACTGGTTTGTTCCCTAATCGCGTCCAAAGGACTAGGATCGGCGACTTCGTTCTTGGGGCTGCCGAAAGGGTTCGGGCCACCGAGATGGTAGCCGGCTGTACCTCTGATCTGGGCCATTTCGTGATTTAATCGCGGACTACGTCGCCCAGGCCAGCTATTTTTTTTTTTTCGCGCAAGACGGCGAGAATAAAAAGACGACCGTTGCGCGTGAAGAATGTAAAGCCAGGAGGCGAATGTTTGGGGGGGGGGGGGGGGGTGAATTCTAGTAAGACGGACGAGACGGGGAGCGTCGGTACCAGGATTAGAAACGGAGGCACGGTAGCTATATAGGAGTCGGAAGTAAATAAAGTTAGATAAATAATAAGGAGAAGAAAGAAGACTAGTAAGTTAAAGCCGTGGTTGAGTATTATTTTACCTCTCGCAGGTGAAGTTTTGAGGTTTTAATGTGTGCTAGACAACCGTGTCCTCAATTGATTGACAATGATGCAAAGGCCAAAGTTCCGACATGCCAGATTGGCAATTGGGGGCAATTGGAGGATTCTTCTTACATAGGTACTTGACTAAAAATTGACTTAGCTTCGGGGGGGGGAACATTAGGTTGTGGCATGGTTAAGCGCATTGACCATACAGACCAAGGCCATAGTTTTACATAGAAATGTTCTTTGCGCTAGTCTGGAACTTGGCACCCGCGTCAGGAATGTAGTGGAATCAATGTACCTGTTCATCATCCAGCTCCGCCTGGGTACATCCACTATACGTACATGATGATCGGGAGGTAGGTAGGTACATCCAATGGAGGTAAATGTACATGTACATATGTATGTATATATTATGTATGAAGCTACACGTGTGAGCTTAACCTTAAAATACTCGGGCCTTGGGTATATCCGCAGCCGATAAGGTTAGCTGGGCAGCTGGGCAGCATGACGCTTAGCCGCATGATGCCAAAAATAAAACTGTAATCCCAACGTAATCAATCACGCACGTCCGGACTGAGTGTAGATCTGAGCATCTCGTATAGCTTTGATTGGACATTATTAATTGGCCATTATTAAATGGGGATAGAAGACACGAAATAGGGCTGAAGCAATAAGCCTCAGCTACGATGGATTGTCAGCCAACGGATGTCACTATAATCAAGCAATACATACTACTCGATGGGTCTGCGGTGGATTAAAAATTAAAAAGGGGATGTGCTCTGAGCCCCGAGATGATGATGCACATTTCCAATAAACAGAGCCAGACTTGAGCTGATTCTTGCTAAGATGAGTGGTCGAGGGACTGCCGTCAAGTTATAACACGAGGCATCTTAGCAAGAACGTGTATAAGTCAACGTGTATGTAAGTCAGGAATAATTCATACCAGGAACCAACTCGTAACGACTGAGTCGAGTGACTTTCTGATTACTAGTGTTTATCTAGGTAGCTATTATAAACGTCCATAATATACAGCTATAAACCCTTTATTACCTTATTCTTGTAATTGATCCCACTTTAGTTAGGGAATCCGTGACATTGAGTCTCCCGGTTTAGTAGTGTATGTCCTTACGAAGTTACGATTCCTCTCGTGACCCTTTCCGCGTTAAACCAACCATCTGTAGTAGTTATGCCGTGGCGGAGGAAACACCTCTAGTACAATGTGACCAGGAAGGCCGACAATGAGCAAAGAGTATGTACCGCCAATCAACCTCCCCAAGAAGCGTCATCCTGGCCCTCATGATATATTCCTTATTCCCTCATGCTAGTCGGATATGAGATATACATCCAACCATCGATACCCAGGATCTAAAGGCCTCTCTGCTTTATCCTACGAACCAGCGGATTGGTAACTTAGAGCAAGATCAGTCTTGCAGTAGTAGCCAGACAAGGCGAAGTCGTCATCAGCCCCGTTCCCTGACCTGACGGAGCAAGTCATAAGATATAAGATAACCCAGGTCCCAACCAACTATTCACTTCCCAACACCCCGTTCTCACGCAATAACCAACGCATCAATAACCGCCTTCGCAATCGCAATAACCTTCTGACACGTCGGCGCCTCTCCCTGCGTATGCAGCGCCATCCCGCAATCCGGCGGCTGCCAATTCCCCGTCGCCGCCAGCGCGTCCGTACAAGCGTGCCACGCTCGGCTCTTCTGCTCCATCTGGCTGACGATATCCTTCAGTCCGATGTGTATCGGCGACGTATCCACCTCCGCCGCGTCGATGTCCGACAGCCCGTACACGTCGGCCTTGAGCAGCGCCCGCACCGTCAGCCGCCACATCGCCGGCTCCATCTCCCGACGGTCCAGCGCCCCCGCCGCCATGCATATGCTCTCTCCTTCCGCCGGCCCGCAGCCCCAGAGGATGCCGCCGAGGCCGCGGAGCCGGAATACGAGGCGCCGTCGCTCGGCTGTCGCTCGGCGCGATTCTGCGTCGACGGCTTGTAGGATCCGCTGGTAGGCGTGCACGATGCTCGGGATCAGCGCGGCGAGCAGCATTAGGTTCTGGAACGAACGCATCATGTCCGGCCCCGGGCTGCGATCCGGTGGCTCGAGCCTAAACGAGCACACGGGGCAGTACACCGCTTCGTAGGCCGTCCTCGTCGCTTTTCGCGCGTGCCGGATCGATTCTTCGACGCCTTCGGGCTGTTTCTGCATCGATTCGAGGGCGAGGTATAGGGCCGCCGTATGCGTGCAACCTGTCGGTTTAGCCGCCGGGGCGGTACTACACAGACTCCCCACACTTTCGGGCGTTGTAGCTGAATTAGGGGTTAGGTTCGGCAGTTGATCTATGCTCGGTAGGTCTGCCGCCGATATGAAGAGGGACGGGTCGATGTTTAACGAGGAGAAGGACGGCGCGGTCTCGGGTATAGGGTCGAAACCTACGTCCCCAAGGCTATCCCCCGCGTACCCAAAGGACCACGAGAAGCTCTTCTCTTGCGGCGAACTTATCGGCGCGTCGAGATTATTATTAACGCTGGGTTCTCCCGCCGCCAGAAAGTTGATAAAAGACAGCCCGAGGTCTTCCGTATCCGGCGGGATCTCGGTCATGGCGTTCTTGTTCGCGGAGACGGCATTCGCAGTGTCATTGCTCGATTCGTCTCGGGGACGTTTTCGCGGGCGACCCATCTGCTTCTGGGCAGAGTAGTGGCAGGCGATGCTCTCGCGCTTGCAACGAGTGCAGCCCTCGGGCTCTTTGGTGCAAGCTAGCTTACGCGTGCCTGTAGCAAATGTAAGTCCAATCTGGACCCGCGACGCAAATCAGTGAACGATCGCTAGAAACGTACGGCATTCATCACAAGCCCTGTGCTTCGGAGCACTCTCCATAGCTGGGCTAACAGCCTCTGCGGTCGTCATCGTAGCCATCGTCGCCATCCTATGTGTAGATCTCGATACTGAGCTTCACTTGAAGTCGTGTCCTTTTAAGAAGGATGTTGCAACAGTCTTACGAGAGGAAGGATACGGCGCAGCTCTTCGTTCTTCAAGTCACCTTGAAGGCGGGTCCCTTTCATCGATTCGTAAGCACGAGTCGTACCTTGTCTTGTTCCATGGTTCATGTTGGTTAAGATGGAGGGTACGTTACAACTTTCTTACGATACCTCAAAATATAGATTACGCGAGTGTAAGATCAAGGTATCCTTTTCAGCTCTTCATGTACCGACTAAGCCTTCATCTAATTGACGGAGGGGAATTGTGGCTAATGCTGATATTAACGCCACTCTTCCCCCTTTAAATACCTACTGAGCAGTATATGTTTTCTCCAGGGGGCCGAGAAATAATCAAACCAACTCATCGTCTCCATTAAGTAGCATTAGCTACCTACCTAGTCTAACTACCTACTTTGTGTAAACTGCTAAAGACTGCTTCTGTCCCCAAACACGTAGAACCGACGTGTTGGTTTTGCGTCTCCCGTAAGCCAAAACGTATGAGACTCGTCTAGGAATCGGTCTAATGTATACCTCTCTTTCTATCCTGTATTTTGACAAGTCTCGTAGACCTCGCAAGTCACTCTTTAGCACATTGGCCGGCTGGGTCTTCGTCTTGCATTTCACCAACCGCTCTTAGATCCGCTAGAAACCGTCGAATCCTCAATCCAGTTTTTGTCCGTATCATTGCATCATACGTATTATCTGCTGCCGCGTGTATGGCCACTTGGAGACCCTTGATGACGTCTCTGTCGCTGATATGTGCGTCCTCATAATCAAAGAACACGTCCAAATCCTTTAAAATGTCCCCGGTCTGAGGTATCGTAGGTAGCGTCTTTTCCTTTGAGGGATGGGATGTTAGCTGTTTCGACGGTGGAGTAGGTGGCTCCCGAGTAGGCTTAGGCAAGGATGGTGATGGCTTCTTTGACATTGACTTGGGCGATTTAATGGGTGGCATCTTCCGGTTTACAAAGATGATCTCTTCGTTTAGTCTAGGCCGGCGTGTGGGAGTAATCCCGGAAGCGTAACGATTAGAGTGACGGGGTGAGTATTGCTTCTGATTCGTCTTATCTGTCAAAGTTATAGGACGACTGTATAACTGAGTCGGCTTATCGGCTTCCTGCTCCAACTTTTCGAGCTTCTGAGAAACTTCGTCCAATGCCCGCTCTAAAGAGGAAGCCCGGCTAACAGCATACCGCGCTGCAGATGGCAGTGAAGGAACCGTAGAAGGAGATGTCCGTGGCGACACGCTACATTTACGTTGGCCCATTTTAGTGACGGGAACTGGAGCATCTTTTGGTTCAGCGAAGGGATATATCTGAATCTTTTCCTGGTCTACATGAGTCGGAGACGTCTCCTTTTCTTCTTCGATGGTTTCAGGAAGAGGGAGACGCGCCATGGCCACATCTCGCTTCCGTAGACCAGTATGCGCTAATGGTTGCATCGACCCAGGTTCTGGACCAGCTCGTGGAGCCATTGATCCCGAATATCGTTCACGGTCGCCGCGCTTAACTTCGACCCATGACAACTTCCGACCAGATGGCTCACGGCGTGTAGGAGAAGCAATCGGTTTCGATGTAGCCGCACGACGGAATCCAGACGGGCGGATCCCAGGGCTGAGAGAAGAACGGTTATTCCGTGCATGTTGGGAATCTATAGTCTTTACCCGGTGGCTAACCTGGCTATCCTTGACGGGCTGACGTGTATACTGTGGCCTAGCTCGGCTGTCGCTATGGCTTTCCCTGGCTGGTGACTTCTTTCTTAACCATGGCAATATGCTTCCTCTGTCCTTAGACAACAATTTCCGCTTCGATTTGGATTTTGGGCTTGGTAATATCTCGATTGGATTGCCGGCTGGGGTGAACTCGACATACGACCCAGAGCTCGAGCCTGATTTCTCGCTCAAGGCATCATCTTGTCCATCAAATTCACCGTCTACTTGAACCGAGGCCTGAACGTACCTAGCCGAACTATTCATAGGATTCTCATTGCTTTTGTTTTTAATTAGAGGCCTTCGGCTCTGTTCTGCCGATGTCACGGCAAGGCCAGCTGCTTGAAATTCCTCTTGATATGGTAAGAGGGGCCGAACAGTATGATATGACATCTTGGAGTCAGAATCCGTGGGCGTCCTGACTAGAGCGACTGGAGCCTTGCCAACTGCTCCGGTGGCATCTGCATACTTCTCAAGTTGTCTTGTAAAGCGATTCAAGGCCTTGCGCTGGCTTGAAGTCCGAGAAGGGATTTCCGAGGACTGAAAATGCTCTACCGCTGCCTCCTCTGGTATGACTAAGGTTGATAACTGTCGTTGCTGGACTAGTGATCTATTAATTGCATCCCAGACGAGAGGATCTGCAAGGCCAAATCTTTTCTCTCGAGCCTTTCCTCGATTCCGCGTTGTAATACCCATACCCCTCCGCCGTAGGCCACCGGCTATCTGGCTACTATGCTCCATCTTTTTAGTTGAAGAATCTCTATTTCTATTATCAATAATATGGGCTTCAGTGCGATCCCTACAGAGCTGCTTATTCTCAATTGAGGTTGCCGTCTTGGGTTTCGTATTGATTATCTGCGATTGTCGTAGGGTACCCCAATATGGATGGTCCTCTGTGAACTCGGGGACTTGCATCAGCGAATACTGTTTACCGCCACTTGTAGACTCCCCCGTTCCTCGTGAGGGAAGACGCCTGCTAACTCGGACGCCATTTTTCTTCCGACTAATCCTGCGTTGCCGTTGTCGTTCTCCAACTAAAGGTTCTAGTAATGGTGGGCGAAATAATGCTTCGGTGGCTCGTTGGGAGAGCTGCTCATTCGGGATTGCCGATGGATGAGTGATTTTCGGTCGACGATGTGGACTCCCCTTCTAAGGTAAACTGAGTTTAGGCATCGTCGATATTCCAAGAGTGATCCCCAAAAGATCCTAAAGGTACCTAACGTATGTTATGAAAAGGGTGTATTGACTGGCCGCATGTTTTAAAGCAAAAAAAGTAGAAAATGAATTTCAGGGTCATTCCTGGCCTCGTCCTCAGAAGATACGAAGTGAGCGAACCGCTCTTGCCCTTGAGCGGTGGTTTAGTAGATCGATATTAGAAGTTGATAATTGTAAGAGTTTCTCGTATGATAATGAGCTGCGACTTCCTGCCCATAACATTGCTATAGTATGGGAATCTGAGACGGTCGCGATTGTAATATCCGTGGTGAAGTCGTAAACTAAGAACCTAACCTAGGTATATATTTATAGAAGATATCGAAGGTATAAATGATCGATCTCATCTAATATCTTTTATACCAGGTGCCGAATACATTTCTAATTGACGATGTCCTTTGCGTAAGAGGAATTCAATAACAGCAAAATCTCTCTTATCAACCTTGATACTCTTCTCGAATTCAGATCTAGGGTACAAGTTAGTCGCCAACACATGATAGAAACGTATCAATCCAAAGCCTTTCGAATAGAATACCTGATGAACGATTCAAAATGCGGCCGCGTAGCCTGTGGTCAGTTGTTAATTATAATTGCATTACGAAGGTTGAGTACAGCTACACGAACCACCGGCTTTTTGCGGCTCTCGCGGAGACATTTGCGGTAGAGTGACAGTACATCTTTTTGCAAGCCGGATAGACGCATTTTGAGTGATTAGGTCTTATCTAAGTGATATAAACCCACCAAGACGAGATTGATGCGACGGAACGGAACAAAATAGAGTATGCCTGTCATTAAGTACATAGGTAGTTGTGAAAGTCTCGACATCATCAATTTAGTTGCAACAATGTGGATCAGAGCTTACCTCCATTGTGTCATAAATATGAATATGCGCATCTTTAAGATTATTAAGAGCAGCTTATTTATAAAGCGAGTATTGTACTTATTGTACGTACCCCATGCGGATATTGGTATGCGAAATAATTATAAAAAATCTATTGTCTAATTCTGATATATTATCCATCATTCCGACCCGAGTATGTGAGTGTATTATTGAATAGAACCTCCCCTCCCTCTGCGGTGCTGCTTCATCGTTGAATTAGGTATCTACCAGGTAGGTAGCCCTATCGATTCCGAAAGTAAGCCCTCATTCCCTGGATAGCGACCCAGCCAGCGATGACGACCGTTACTATGATTCGTAGCTCGCGTACCGCAGCCGCAGCAGTCGGATCAAGGCGGATGATGTGCACGTGGTTGATAGCACCTGCGTGCTGTGCAGCAAGAGAAAAGGATTCCATAATTATTTCCCTCCTTTAGATGTTTTCAGGTTTGTTCACTGTAGACCGTGGTAAATAATGGTAGGCTGGTTCAATAATTGCGGTGTAGTATCTGTTGAAAATGAAATGCTGTTTAAACGAGAACGGCAAGCTCCGAGGCTAGGATTATATGGAATCGTTCTAGGTAAAAGGAGCTGGTGCTAATATTTAATTATAGAATATCGGTCAAGTCGAAGTCTATGATTCCTAATTCCTGCAGTTGACCGAGAGTAAAATTATTTAGCGACACAGGGCCAAGTTTTGTGGGTTCTTTTCTCCCCTTCAACGGCTGAAATAAGACTCAATTTGTTTCCGTTTTCTTTTTTCAATGAGACTATCTTATGTGAATAAGGGATCGAGTATATCAGTAAAACGAAAGCGACAGCTTGTATTCATCCACATTTAAGAACAAATGAGGGTGCTGATAAAACTCCTACTGGTATAAACCAGGGCGTCATATTATTTTGCTCAGTGTAAAATACCCGTAACAAAGACTTGAGCTAAAATCGCAGTACATCACTTTCAATATTCGAGCAAGAGTATTCGGTGATAGCATTATTTCATTTTGGCTACCTATTTTAAACTACCCACCCCCAGGATGAGGACGCCATAAAGACGCACATTGTATATTCAAAACTCCAATTATTATCCCTGAACCAGTCCACAATGACGGAGAGGAGCAGCATGCATGTAAATTCGTTAAGTGAGGGTATCCAGCATGCAGGAAGCGCGTCTCGTTCATACAACAACGGCAACAGAACCATTAATAACTTAGACGTCGCCAGAAACCCACCGACCATGACAGCCAAAAAAAAAAAAAACCATACACACGTTTTTAATTACACCTTTTGGGGCATGTCGTGAGTCTCGATCGCAACCTCCTTCTCGACCTGCTCTAGGTTCAAGTGAGCAACAGCCGCATCCTCGCCGTCGATGACCTTGACCAGCTCCTCGAGCGTGGGGCCCTTGGTCTCCACGTACATG